ACCCTTCTCTATATGATGAGGGAGCCTCCTAAAGAAGTCAATTATCAAGTAACTCCATTCCATGTCAACTAACTTTAAGGTTACTCTCTTGTTGTCCTCCTTCATCCTCTCCAATGGATCAAAAACCACAATGCCAAATTCCATTGAGAGAGATGAATATCGTTCCAACTTTAGGGTTGCTATCTTGTTCTCTTCCCTCAACCTCTCCAATGAATCAAAAGCCACATTGCCAACCTCCACTCGAAGAGATGGATATTGTTCCAACTCCTATAACAAAAAACACAGATTACTCATGTAAGTGTGTTCCTTCTACGATTAACCAGCAATCAAAGTAAAACGATTTAAATCATGAGACTTTCTCGATCAAAATAAAGCTAACATAATGAAATAATTGGCAACTTAGTGTAGAAAAGTAGAACATCACATTTATTCTAGTAAAATTCAAGGTGCCATCTCATTCTAGAAATTGAAAGACGTTGACATAATTTCCAAAATAAAACCTGATACATGTAATATTAACTTTTTATAATAAAACTTTTGGAACCTAAACAAGAAAGAAAAAAAGCAATGGTAAGTGTTCATGGTAATGAAAAATAATTTATTTATTAGAAAAAATAATCATTTTTGATCAACTTATATATCTCAAATATACTATAAAAATCTAGAGACAAACACCGAATTTAAAAAGTACAACATTTTTAGTGAATGGAAATATAAACCTAATTTGCATAGCAAATATGTGATATATCGAACACCTACTATGAAACACACCCAAATATAGGCAAGGACATCTAGAGCCCATAGAAAAGTGCCCCCATTAAATTGTAGTATATTGTAATAACCAATTGTATTTAGCTCTTCCATTCATGAACACATTCTCATAGATACCAATATGATTGCAAAGTTGTCCGCCACCGCGTCACCAAAATTTCTAATTCCAAACATGCACTATATCAAAAATAGTCACATGGAGAGATGAGATCATTCAGCTACCTAAAACTTGAGGAGCATGGCCTAAGAGCTCCTCGCAGCAGCGAGAGGATGATGATTTAAACTCCTGCAGGTAGAGAGCCTTTGAATTTCTTCACTCACCCTTGTCCACCTCTTAGAAAATAGCTCCCCCACCCTTAGGCAGCATGGGAAAACGGTGTAAGAAAATAAGAATGCAAAATTTGAGAGAAAGAATTGAGGAGAAAGGTCAAGTTTTCACACACAAAAATCCTATATCTTAAAATGTTACAATCTAACACAATTAAACGAAGGGAGAGAATATTTAAAGGTTACATTCATGCCTTAGGTAAGCCACCACCTTCTAGCCTAATAAAGATAGAAAAAAGGAACCAAATTAATATTTTTAAAAGTTATTTTCCCTGTCATTATGGGATAAAGCCATTTGGGTGCTTAGGAAGACGACCAAGTCTTTCCTTGGCCCTTTTATTGGTTTTGTCCATTTTCCGGTGTTTCTCAATTCTAGAATGAAAAGGTGCTGCAAAGTGCCTTCTCATGGAGAATTCGACAGAGGTTCTGAATCAAATATTCCATCCATTTTAAATTAAATGTCCACCCTCCTACTAAGTGTCCAAGTGACTCTCAATATTCAATAAACTTGTTGTAGCTTAGTACCTTTGTAAAGCTATCTATCACTTGATGCAATGTTGAGTACAAGATTGATTCAATAGAATTTGTAGCAACTAAATCTCAAATAAAATGGTGACAAATTTCAATAAGATTCATTATTTTATGAAATACTAAATTATTTGTCATAGATATTGTTGATATGTTGGCACAATAGGCTAGCATCATTCATTTTACATTATTATTTGTTTCAATAACATCTTATAAGATCTTCCACATCTATATTACTTGTTGCATTGCCACTAATGCAATAATAGTTTCAGCGTTTGATGATGGTAATGCTATAAATCCTATTTTTTTTAAATCCATAAAGTTACACTTGAACCAGAACTGAAAATAAAACCACTTGTGTATTTTTTTGTCATCAATAAAGCCCAACCAATCACTTTCAGAATAATCAAAAAAATTACATTCATGAACATGTTGGTAAAAAATTATTTAATTGATAGGTCCTCTAAGATGATGAATTGATAGAGAATGTATGAATCTTGAAGTCAGGCTAACTGAAAATATTTTTTTAGGTCACGTATGAGCTAAATAATCTAGCAACTAAACTTCTATAAAAATATTCATTTATTTTCACATTTCTATCGTTAAGACATAATTTGTCATTAGTATTCATATGATTAGAACAGATTTTGTTATTGAACATATTATACTTCTCAAGTAAATTAGATACATACTTATCTTGTGAAATGAATATACCATAATCATTTTGAATAATTTAAATTGTAAAAAAATAAAGAAGTAGATCCAAAAAAATTCATATCAAATTTAGCCATCATATAAGTTTTGAAATCTTAAATTAAAGATTAAGATAATCTGATATATATAATATATATCAACATATATGCATACAATCAAAATATCATTCATTAAACCTTAACATAAAATGTATGTTCACTATCACTTTGGTAAGAATTATGTTTATTAAGATATAATTTATTCTGCTATACCATACTCTAGGTACTTTCTTAAGACCATTGAGTGACTTATTTAATTTATAAACTTTATTTTTTATTCCATCAATGATAAAATCGTACTTGCTCAACATACACATCTTCATTCAAATAATCATTCAAAAATAACTAATGTCATATCCATTTGAAATACTTTTGATTTCATTTGTATTGTCAAGACAAATAATACATATAATTTCAAATCTTACAACTAGAAAGAAAGTTTAAAAGTAATCAATATCTTATTTTTTTGCGTATCTTTCACCCCTAGCCATGTCTTATAATTTTGAATATTTTAATCAAATTTATGCTTCACCTTATAAACTCATTTTAACACCAATTTTTTTGTTATTCAGCAGTAGATTCATTGTCTCTTATGAGTAATTATTTTCTATTGTCACAACTTTATTTTCCATTACCTTCTTCCACTCATGTTTGTCATCTACCTCCTCATAGTTAGACAGCGCTACAGTTATAAGAGTAAAAATATATCATTCATAGCCTTCACATAAAGATCTTATTTTTCTAGGACTTAATTAATATAAACTGTATGGCTATTAAAATCATTCTGATTTCTTAGAGACTTTATTTATGGTGAGATAGATGCTGTAAGAGCTTCAAGTGTTGAATCTTACCTAGATTATTAAATTTTATGTTAATTTTCATATAAAAGATATTTGACGAACTAGATTTTTACTCTAATTTTATCAAAACTATTTGCATCAAATATAACATCACAAAAAATCAATAATTTCTTAGTTACATGCTTATATAAATGAAAATCCTTACTCCCATTATTGTAACCATGGAAAAAAAACTCCTCAATTATCTTGCCTATTTCACAATGATTATTAGAATCAACTAATACACAAAGGTACAAACTTTTCTTTTTCAAATGACCAACAGTTAACCTTCAAAGAGGTCATGCATCATATGGAGTCACATACATGATTGTCTAGTCAAAATCTGATAAATCAGATCTAGATTCATCGTTCCCCCTTCTTCTCTCCTTCCAATCCACGACCCTTCATTTTCTTTCCCATTCCATCCTTCATTGGAACGAGTATTAAACAGTAAGCCTCAAATTCTAAATATTGAAAAGATAACTAGATGTTGCAACTACTTTAGCTCAAAAGTTATTTAGAAGTTATTCAAAATAAAGCATACTTAGAATCATCTTTTGTATTATTACATATTTTTTTCACCAATATCATTTTGTTTTGAAGCTTTTCTAATTGTTAACTACTTTCAAATATCATGTTTCTTACAAAATAACTCAAACTCATGAGATATAAACTTCCCCCCTCTATTTGTTCGAAAAGCTTTTATAATATACTCACTCAATGTTTCAACAGAAAGTTTTAAACTAAATAAATTTCTCAAGTGCTTTAGATTTTTATAAGAAGGTATACACAACTCATGTGTGTAAAATTATCAATAATTAATAAAAAATACTTATTATTATTCAAAGATGAAGTACTCATCAGTGCACATATATTACTATGTAATAATTCAAGAGAAAATCTTCTTATCTAAAATTCTCTTATTGGAAAAGATAATGTGTGTTGTTTACAATAAACACACCCTTCACACACTTCATTATTTATTAAAATAGATGGTAAATCAGAAACCGAATACTAATAATGCAACAATAATTTCAATGCATCCTAGTGTAAATATTCATAGTGCAAATGTCGAGATATAGATAATCATTCTCTTTGATGATCATTTCAAATTCAATAAACCTTGAAATATCAAGAATTTATTTTTTTTCAACCTTAAGAATCAATATAAGAAACATGTCATTTTTCTTATATTGGATAGTACATTTATCATCTTCATATGAATAATTAGTCACACTAAGTAAATTGTTTGCTAATTTTGGAACAAAAGTATACATCATGAGTATTTACACTTGATTTTTTATAAACAACAAAGATATTAATGTCTTCAATTTACACACTATTTTCATCACCAATTTTAACATGAAATTTAATAAATGTATCAATATTCAAAAATAATTTTCTTTTTCTTATAATATGATTGTTGCAACCACTATCAACAACCATATATTTGATTTACTTATAGTTGAAGATAAAAAAATAAGAAATATTTTTTTTTGATCATTTTCTCCAAAAATATTTTCTTGTTCCTTTTTCTTATCCAAATGATTTGTTTTAATATGTCCATGCTTACAAAAATTACACATTGGTTAAAAACTCATTTCTTCAATATTCTTTTCCTATGTTTCCTTGTCCTAACAATATGTTTTAATATGTTCTTGATCGTTAAGTAACTGAAATTAATATTTACAGAATCAAGTGGGTACTAATGTTTCACAGACATCGCTACTTCGTTTTGCTACACACCAGCGAACGCTCGTGAAGAAGAAGGCTCATGAAGATCTTATTCAGAATGGTATCGATGGCGACTGCACGTCTCCGCCAAATCCGATCTCCACCACTGCTGGATGGAGTGGGCGGCTCTCCGACCAGACGAAGCACAAGAGCTAACATGCAAGTCCGCCGAAGGAAGAAGGTGCAACGCCTCGGTCTCCTCCCTCCAGATGGCCAGGGTCCTCGCTGAGATGCAAACCCGGGCGGAAGTTCTCCATATGAACTCTAATTTATGCTCTGCCATAAACTCGCGGACTCCGAAATAGTCGATGTACTCGGCGCAGATGGTGTCCGAGGGGTTGACGAAGAGCGAGGGAGCCCATCGGGAGATGATCTCGAACGAGGCTGCCTCAGAGCTGTCCCCGAATCTATCGGTGGCGAGGGCCACCACAGTTTTGGTGACGGCCTTCGTGATCTGGAACGACTGCTTCAACTTGTGGTTCTTGATTCTATGGAGGGGGGCTGAGAGATACGGGGGGTTGAAGAGGAAGGATTCCAGGAAGACGTCCCTCATGGCCATGGCCTTCCCCACGGCTATGGCAACGGACGATCCCAGGGAATGGCCGGCGAGCCAGACACCGGCGCCTCCCCCCCCGCTGCCGGCGTAGGCGGTCAGGCTTAGGACGGCCTTCTTTGCGAGCTTGACCCGGTAGCTATCGTGGAGCTCGTGGAAAATCCGGCGAAGGTTAAGCTTCAGGTCTTCAATGCACTCTAAGATGGTGCCTCGAAAGGCAACGACGTACGCCGGAGCACGGAGGGACGATCGCTCGAGCTTGAAGACTGCACCGAAGCAGGAACCCTTTTCGTCCGACAGCTTCTCATGCAGTCGGAAGCCAAAGAATTGCCACCAAGCGGGTGCCAGAGCTTCGTGTTCCCTTCGGTTGTTCTTCCGGTCGTGGTCCAGAACGTATGTGGCCTGGACCAGGCAGGCTGCGACTGATCTCCGGTGGCCTGCGTCTCCCCTGTTTCGTAAGAACAAGATTCATAATCTCTCATATTTCTACGGTCATAATATATATATATATATATATGTACGCCAGATGGAGATCAGCTCCGTGCAGAGCAGACATAAAGAAGTTCTGGACACTTTCGGGTCAACGTGCTGATGGTTTTACCAGTCAACGTCTGTCAGATGATGAGGCCCTGACTCGTGAAATACATGCCGATCTCGCCGCATTCCGTCGTAGTTTCTCTCTCTTCCCCCTTCCCCCGTCTGATGATGGGGCCCTGGTTCGTGAAATACATGCTGCTCCGGCCGCATTCCATCGTACTCTCTCGCTCTTCCCCCTTCCCACGTCCGATGATGGGCTCCTGATTCGTGAAATGCATCCTGCTCCGGCCACATCCCGTCGTACTCTCGCGCTCTTTCCTCTCCACGTGTCCGAAAAAAGTCTGCGGCAAGAGAAGGAAAAAAGAAGTCAATGCGCATAAACAGCAATGAATTCTCTGTTAAAAATAGGCCCCGGCAAGGATTTTTCGCTCTTGATTCCCAGCATCGAGGGATCAAAGGGTGTCTCATACGGGGACAGCAATCGCGTAGACCAAAAAGCCACTGGAGTCAACGCCTCGCCAAATAATCAAGTCAACGACCCATCGTGGAGACGGCCATAAAAAGGACGCAGCTTTCCGTAGATAGTTCGGTTTAGATCATTGAAGCTCCTCGAGAACCCCGACTAGAAGGCGTGCGTGCGTTCTTGTTGATGGAGGTTGACCAAAAGAAGAGTACCTCTCCGAGGAAAGTCAATGCCAGACTTAGGCGCGAGGAACGGGGGCCGGATTGTTGCCGACGAGGATGACAACAACATGGAAGATCATCAGACCGAAAAACGGATGATCATCAAGGAACGGGGGCCGTTTTACTCCGTGCGGCGGTGGCGGAAATTGGTATCAGCCACATGAATCTGCGGGCAGATTGAAGAACCCAGGATTGCTCCGCGGGCGAGAAAAAAACAGAAGAAATCCTACCGAAACTCGCGTGCCCGTCAGAAGTTCCAAGGCGGAGAAGGAAGAAATAAATAGATTGAGTTCCTAAAAATAACAAGATTTGGTCTATGAGACGTTGAGGAATGGAACTAGAACTTACAGACAGAAGGGTCAAACGGGGGGGGAGAGGGGGGGGGGAGTTTCGGATTGACCGAAGAAGAGAGAGGAAGAAGAGAGTGAATATCAGATGAAGAATAGGTACCTTGGCCTGGTCCCTCAAGTAATATACGAACTAGACGACGAGGAGAAGCCACTCTTGGCAGGTACATATAGTTGGGAAATCGCTGTTCGCTGGAGGCAGGAAGGGTAGAGGTAGCGGCGTTGACTTTCCAAGGGGCACAAACTTATTACAAGTGGACGACGGTATCCATTGACCAAATATGGATACCGACTCCTCTCTCTTTGGTCGTACAATCGAGTTGAGACAAAACCCTCTTTGATTGAATGCGATATAAAGAATCGGATCAACCGGAAAGCGTGAAGCTTGAGGAAAAAATAGTGGAAAGAAATATCTCGAGCTCGGATCTTTAATGGCGTCAACCGTATCCTCATGACGCGTAACCTTCCGTTGACTTTTGAGCTACGCAAAATTAAATATTACAGGAGACGATAAGCCCCCAGTAAAAATCCCCTCAAAACTAATCATGGGTGAAGGAAAAGGACTTCACACATGCAATTCGATCAGCGCATCTAAGTGGCATCTTCCGGGCCTGCCCTACTTGAACTACGACGAAGGTGCCATCTGGGTTGACGTCATTCCAAGCAACACACTCGGCTGGCCAAGGAAGAAAAGGTCCGAGAACCAAAAGTCAAAGGGTTGAAGGTGAGTGAGAGAGACGAGGGGTACCAACTTGACAACACAGACAAGGATTCAGCAGGCGCAGACTCCGGTACCTTGCTTGATTCGGCCGTCATAGAACATGAGAGAGAGAGAGAGAGAGAGAGAGGGAGACAAGTGACCCATTTTGAGACCCAAACGAACCGGCCTGCGGACCAGCTCTCCGACGAAATCAAATCCGAATTACATCTAAAAGACGCAAAATACAATTTTCATACGCTGATTATATTGGATATATAATCGTCATGTAATCGATGGCGGGACGAAATAAAAGAAAGGAGAAATATTCTGAAGAAAAAATCGGAAGAAGAACTGAAAGTTGGCCTACTTAGACCAGGCGACGGCATCTATCTCCGCCTGGGCGCTTCTGTACAGCTCGAGCCTCTTGGCAAGGGCCGTCCTACGCTCCATGATCACTGGGTCCTCATCCAACAGAGATGCCAACTGCTTAGCCTGCAAAGGACATCACGCACATATAGAATAAATAAAAATGTCACTTCAGCAACTATTGCATTGCACTGGGTTTTTTTTTAAAAAAAATCCCTTTCGTCCATTTCTAGTCAACCATTTACAGAAAAATTTGCAGAATTTAAAAAATGTATGAAAATTAATTGATTGCAGGGTTGTCAATGGCCCAGATTGGGTGCGGAAATTCCGTACACTCTATCTAATACGAATATACATTATACATATACATATCTTTGCCTGTATACATAGAGAGAGAGAGAGAGAGTAGGAAACTTCACCTCCTTTTTGCCCAGTTCGGTAAAGAAATGATCAAGCAAGGCCCGTTTAGCCTCGCGAACTTGACAGTAAACAATCGATTTCGGAATGGAATTCCGCAAGGTAGCACAAACCATATTGACATATGACAGAACTGTGGAACCTGGGCAAAATCATCAACGAAATAAGTTAGCACAGATGGAAAATTATACCCTCCTTACTAGGTGTCTTAGCGTATGCATTGTTCAGATGAGAGTTTGGATTCCAAGGAAAAATAGTCAGATTACCAGCGAAATAATTTCCTTCACTGCGCATTGTTGACTTTTAAGAGAAGATGGGTGGGCTGATATGATACACTATTACTAAAGCATGGTTGACTTTTTATTGAAAAATTGAAGTTGAAGTGAAATAATTCACATAACACATCCAGTGTCTGTAGGAAAATTGTGAACAAACTGGTGTTGTAAGTAGCTTAAAACATTTGTACGAATCGGATACTATGTTCGTCAGATATAAGAATGGGCAAGAGACCAATTATATGTGTAATGGCATTTAATGGCTATGTAAGAAAACGATAGGTTTGACTTGCCCATGATCCCACATCAGTATCGCAGAAAATAGCTATTCTAATCTATCCACAAGAAAAACCCGTGTGAGCGGTGGAGTACCTATTCGCCGCAGATATGAATCATTATATCTGTCGAAAATTGAATGCGTCGGATTTCCACCCTTCTCTACATCATGAGGGAGCTTCCGGAAGAAGTCAACTGTCAGGTAACTGCACTCCATGTCAACCAACTTTAGGGTTGCTTTCTTGCTCTCCTCCCTCATCCTCTCCAATGAGTCAAAAGCCGCATTGCCAACCTCCACTCGGAGAGATGGATACTGTTTCAACTCCTATAACGAAAAACACAGAATACCCGTGTAAGGTTTTCCTTCTGTGGTTAACCAGCAATCAAAAGAGAAAAATCTAAATCATGAGACCTTCTAGATTGAAATAAAGATAACATAATGAAATAATTGACAACGATCCAACAAAGCAGAAGATCACAGGTATTTCGGTAAAATTCAAGGTGCCTTCCCATTCTAGAAGATGAATAAGATTAACATCATTTCTCAAGATAAATTTGATACATGTTATATTAGCTTTACAATGAAAAAAAAAACGCCAGTTTGATTCTAAGATTTATTTATTATTTAAAAGGCACAAAACCTACCGCAGTTTCATTCACTGCCTTGTGTATAAGTTCCTTTAATATGGAATGAACCTGAACAAGAAAAAAAAACATTGTTAATAGGTCACGGGAATCAAAACTGAAGTATTTTATTAGTTATTTCATATTCACTTTTATTCATCTCAAGCATACTGTAAAAGACAGTATTTGCAGTAAATGGGGATATAACCCCAATTTGCATGGCAAATGTGTAATACATTCAACATCTACTATAAAAGACAGATAACTACAGGCATAGCACGCCGAGGCCCACAGAAAACTGTCCCCTTCACACTGTAGTCTACTCTAATAAGCAATTGTATCTGGCTCTTCTATTCACGAACACATTCTCATGGAGACCAATATGATTGAAAAGTTTCTCATGTTACTAACTTAAGGAATGATGAGCGAGGCAAACCTAAATCAGAAACCAGGTCAAGAGATGCAATAAAGCATTAGATGAGCAAGAAAGGATACTTCTTAGATCCCGAGAAAGAGATATTTTTGGGCACCACGCCAATGAAGATTGAGATCTGAATCAAAAAATTCACGCTCACGACTTTAGCAGAGTTAGATACGTATTCCATATTCTGCTTCAGCACCTTGTGTCTCGATTTATCCCACTTGAAAACCTCGAAAGCCATTTATACCTTCAGCTAAATGGATCATACATCAATGGACATACATATGATATTGCACGGGATTACCTGGGTTATCAACAGGCTGTGTTTCTAGCACATGAATTCGTAGGAGAAGAAACGAAGTTAACAGACAATGTAATCACCCTTCTACAGATATAAAATAAAGTAGTTACCCTACAATAACCATAAATAGAGAGAGTTTGGGGAATTGATTAGACCTGTAGAACAAAATATACCAATCTCTCAAGACTAATGTGGCACACTACTTTACATCCTTTCCACATACCGCATCAACGGCAGCCTCGGCTGGACCTCTGATACTGACTAGTGATGACTCAATCAGGCGACGATATCCCTGTTCAGGGGCTATCAGGTGTGGTTGGTATCCATCTGCTTCAGTTATTGACTTCCTTACGTTTTCCATGGCAAGTTGCTTATCAAATTGCAATCTTTTCAAAGCTGCTGGAAGTTGATTATCAAACACATTGTAGATCTTGTCACCACCAGGACGTCTGTGGACAATATTTAATCATAAAATATGCCGTCAGAAAGAGGTGCCACATACAATTTTATCAAAAGGTTAACAAAGATTCAGGACTATGGGCATACGAAGGAGATTTTTTGAAGTAATGATCATCAAAAAATATACAAAATCGAAGCAAAGATTGTAAAAGCAAGATGAAGGCTAAGTTCTAAAATGTTGACCTATGGCAATGCACAGGCATGCCACTCAAAGACGATTAAAAAGAGAGAAAGTTGACTCACAAGGTGTCTTCCATGATATTAATATGCATACAGCTCTGAAAGTCAAGTCTGAATCATTAACAGAACAGGTTCTGCGGAAATAGCTCTTTCTTTGTTAACCAAGTACAAATCCCTATTCCCACATGTCACACCAACATGTAAATAAATCACAGATTTCTGGACGTAACTGGCAGGGTGAGGGTGCTGCCCATCAGGATAATGCACACAAAGAGCCATGACTGATACGGTAGTGAACTTCCCTGGGAATCATGGCTCAGAACACAGCAGGTATAATTTCTAAAAAGTTAATCGGTAAACCTGACGTTACCACAACGCATAGACCGACTACTCTGCCCCCAGGAGGAATAATACAGGAAAACAGATACCGAGAAATCAGTCAAACTCACTTGAATCTTCGAAATTTTTGGTTGAACATACAGAAATGCAAATTTTCCATCTACTGATAAAAGAACACAAACATGCAAAATATAAACGGCCAGTAACATTTTTGTACTATGGAATAAACTGCACAACTAGGTCAACTTGAAATAAAAGGCATTCTAATGGAAACAAAATTTTGCATGCCTACATGCCATCAAGGTGTTCTTTGTAGTTCTGATCAAAGATCCGGCAAATCTCCATAATCATATACAGCTTTCCCTGCATAAAAGAAGAAACCATTATGTGATGTCACGCTATTTCTTACGAGTGTTTTAAGGAGCTCGATCATATACAGACTTCTTTCATATTACAACAAATCATTCACAATAAAATGAAGGTAACAGAGCTTTTAACTGCCTTCGCGATAGTTGAATGCATTCCATAGTCCAACACTGAATCTATAAACTAGGAGGCATTATCTGGCTTATGGTAAGAACATTTTGCAACACCTAGCTATTTTTTAGCTTCAGAAAGAGGCATACTGTAGTGAAAAAATACAAACTGCGGAAGATTGCCTTCCAAATAACAAACAGTTAGCATTTACATGTACCACTGGAAAACTTACACCAGCATCTGCTGCAATTGGTTTTCCGAGACGGTTCAGTTCTGATTCCAACTCAGCAATGCTTTTACTGATTAATGACTGAATACCAGGAATGCGAGACTTGATCACTGTTTCTAAATGCTGCAGAAGGCAAGGGCACATATTAGTTAAACTATCTCTAATTTCGTCATAAACAGAAAGATATACATACATCAGTACCCAGACATCAAAATGAACAAATTATGATAAAGTGCAGTTATAGTGAAAGAGAAACCCTTACCTTTGAAAGCATCTTTCCAAGGTGCTCAGAACCCATACGATGAGCAAGATGCTTATAATCAGGGCTATTTCCAAAGTAATCTCTCTCTCTACGACGAGCAGCAATCATGTCAACATTCTTATTAATATCTTGCTGAGAACGATTGACAACACCGATCCATGGATACTGTAGGCGATATGCTTTACCCTCCAGTATCTACAAAATCAAAACTTGAGATAGATGCCCTATTACAGTAACAAGGATGCTTAAAATCTTAGACGAAGAAAAAGAATAACCAACACAAAGCCTCCCCGGAATGAAGGATTTTCAAGCCAGAAATGACTAATTTCGATACATTATATGTTATGCCAAGCCCCTGATGAACAAACGGGCAAACGGCCTCAGACATCTAAAAGGAAGCATACCATACGATACTATAGTGAGATAAGATGTTAGGGTACAGAAAATTTTCACAGAAGTAGTTATATCTGATTGAAAAGTATTGAGTTAGCAATGAAATTCCCTATTAATCAAAGGATAGAACAAAAAAAAGAATGATCTGATAAGATATAAGGAATAGACTATTTTGCAATAGCAATTAATTTCACACTCAAGTTCCCTTAAGTCATTACATCCCTCTGGGGTACACCTCTAATTTCGGTATGATTTAACGTGATAAATAAATATTTTTTCATCATGTTTTCGCTAAGCATTTTTCATAGCTTTTTGCTCTCTTCACATGGATTAAATTTCTAGAGTTGATTCCTTGAGGCATGAGCTCAGACCGCGCAGCAAGGAACATTCTAGTCTCCTATGAGTCTTACGAGATAGTAAGAGGGATCCTCTCCTCCCAAATTCTTCATTGCTGCAGTCTTACGGCATCAGTCTTTTTACAAAACTTTTCAACTATAGGTGGATGCACAAACAAGCGTGATGGACCAAAGGTCACTTCTGCAGAATTCTGAAAACTTGTAAAGTTCTCAAAATTCACCAAATCCTCTCATGAACTAGCTGGCACACAGTCGATGGATTAAAGCCCATGACTGCGTACTTGAATGAGATCTGAAATATTTTATTGAATGCTACACTAGATATCACATGGAATGTGATAGAAAAAAAATACACTTGTACTAAAATATGTCAAGAAAATAAAACGATGTTGTGAATCAGAACTTGGAACACAACTTATATGTGATGTTTTTTCTTGTAAGAATGGCAACACCATAGAAAAATTCCACCATAAAAAAGCACCAGTGTATGATGAATTCAGAAAATTGGAGCAATCATCATCAGAAAGATTAAAAATACGGCATCAAGATAATCTTACATCAACCGCATCAGTACCCTTGTCCATGAGATCAATCTTAGTCAGTACTCCAAATGTTCTCTCTCCTGGAAAAAAAAGACTTCAAAATTATGAAATCCAATTGGCAGAGCAAGCATAAATCATATCTTTGTCCGTCTACCCTATGAGCATGTAATGTTTGTAACAGCATCAATGGAACAGAAACAGTTACACTAACGTTGATTCTACTTGTCATATAAAACAACTGATTGCAGGGGTAACAAGAAGAACTAATATCTAGCAGAGTCTCTGTTAATTATAGGACAGTTGATCCAAAAATTGATGTTACCATGAAAAAAATTTGGGCGCCTATCCACTTTACATAGAATTAATTTACCAAAGATAGGCTAGATGCCTTATTTAATGTAGCAATCAAGACCTCCATCGCTTGATGTATCTATATCATGTCTAAACAGTTGCCACAGTTATCTAACTGCAAACCCCCATTTTTGGGCCATGCATTGTTTATTGATTCTAGGCAAACATTGTGACACGTCCACATATTTGAGACTCCACCAAATCATTGCCTTTGACTAGAAAGAGTAGAAACTGCATAAAATGTCCCAAAAGTGGGGAAACATTTTATCATAATTTTTTCATTATATGGTCGATCCGTTATTACACCAGTACTTTCTGAAAAATTATAACCATAGAACTATATCAAGATCAACTTAAAACAACATATATTAGAAACAAAATCCGGGAAAACACCTAAAACTTTTGACAATTTAAAAATAATAACAAATAAGAATCATAATTACCATGAGAAGATTTCTTTTGATTAATCACTTTTCAGACAAAGAACGCAAACTAGAGGTGCTTACCTTTGGGGTCCACTTCACGAGAAACCTTAATTGCATCAGATGTAGCCAGGTCCTGGTTGGCCGGCGAAATTGCAAGAATTATGCAATTAGGCTGCAAGATGAGGAAATAAGAAATGTATCAAACGATTTTGGAAAGCCCAGATGCATGGGAAAGTAAGTCTGAATTGCAGTTTCAGAGTCTAGTTAATAAAAATAAAGTCGTATGTCAGACCGTGCTTTTCTTACTAGGTAAATAAGCAGAAGAATTTTAATAACGTGTCCACTGATATGATCACCAAACCAAGCAAAGATAGAGAAATAAAACTCTATTCACATCAAGCACACAAATTATGCATAGATATGCAGCAGACAGTTTTTCCTAAAAATGTAGCGATGAAAAACCATCATAAATTCAGATGAAGTAAATGGAAAACCAGGCAACGAGTTAAATTATCAAAACTTACAGATCAAAACCAATGTTGGGATTGAAAATTAAGCCAAACGCACTTCTATCAGCAAAGACATGGGTTTTTGGTATGAGTCATGGGGTATTACTAAGATGAGCATAAGTTATCAGAATCCAATACTTAACGTGACAGTTCAGTTCAATGAAGATTCTATTGCACAATATATCCTCCGCGATCCAATCTCAAGATAGTTGATTAGTATAAAACTTTTTAAGGTGAACAAGGCGAATAAGCTGGTGAACTACTGCCTTTCTGCCTAAGTGGCATAAGTGATGCATACGGTGATCCTTGTCAATGTTTAAAAATAAAATTAAATCAAATTATAACAGAAATTTTTTGACAAATAAAATAAATGCATCATGTACAAGATAAATAAGATTACTGAAATAAAATTTAAGTAAAATTTCAAGTTATACAAACAATTAATTGAGTACTCAGTGCTTATTAAAAACAATTGGTCACCGAGAGAGTTGTTTGTAAATGAAATCTAGACATGAGATAAATATGCCGTCAATCTAGTGTAAATGCCCTTGTGCTCATTCTGTTTGCAATGGCAGACAAGCGTACAGCCATTTGCAAGTAAATGGCTGCGTGCTCAGTTCCATTTACAATAGTGAGCAGCCGCCCATGAAGGGCTGCTTGCCTAGGGAGGCTAGACAACTTGTACAAATCGCCACCTTCTCAATTAGGCGAACACTAGCTGCGGTGCAAATCATGATCGGAATGTAAGCAACAAAAAAGATAGGATGATTCACAGTGATATTTTACCTTTTCAATATAAGAGCGAACCATGTTCTCAATATCTCCGACAATGCTGTCGGGTTGACCCTCTGAAATTCCAATCATAGCGTTAAAATTTATTAAAAGGGAAATTCGAACTGTAGAAGAAGCAATCAACAACAATAAATAACTTACCAACAGCTACCTTGGTAAGCCCCGGGAGATCAATGAGAGTCAGGTTCACAACTGTCATGACAAAAACTCAATCAGAATAGGATAATTTACTGATCAGTAATATACTGGAAAATCTATAAAATGATGAGGTATGACTCTCCACAGTGTGATGTTTGTACACAAAAGCAATAGGATGTCCTAATGCACTTATACACCATGCTATTGAAATTGAAAATTCAAGAAAGTATCTGAACGCATGAAAAAGATAGTCATCAGACTCAGTATTGTATCAAGAAATTTTAACAAAGGATGGAAACTCTGAGAAAAAAAATCCCACCCATCAAAAGGTATCAGTAAGTGTTGTTCCACAGTGTCTCCAGAGACGAAATATACTGTGCAGTGCTATCATAGTATTAATACCCTTTGGGTTTTAATTTTAAGCTCTGCAGATTTATTCATTTTACGTTATTAGGTGCATTAAGGCCAATTTGATGTTCTAGGGTTAATTATTATAAATCAGACCCAATGAGCCTCCAACTAGGTAGCTCAAGGAGGAAGTTATTCCTTGTGCAGTGGCTAAGTCAGTTTAGGGTCTACAGATCTATAAACCAGGAATCTCTAATTGACGAGGGGTTAAAGACCCATGATGAAATAGAGACTGACGTCCCATCCTGAAGTACTTCAGTTCAACTACTTCAAGTCTTTCAGTTCTCCTTCCTCTGGTGGGCTCGGCATGCTTTAACCTTGGACGGCTTGTTTTGTCCTCCTTCTCCTATGAAGATTTTGCAGCACAATTAACTTGGCATAACCAAACTGAAATGATAGAGTGCAGACAATTGTCTTTTCTCTGTTTTTTTAGAAAATGGAGGCGTCTAAAAACCAAAGGTTTTCTCATAAAATATAAAACTTCCCAAACTGAGAAGATAACTGATGCCCCCAAATCAATATTGAATCAGATCACTGTATCAGCAAAGTTTGATACAATCTGGACAAGGATCAGACAAGCCACATCAATTGCTCCAGGAGGGAAGTACTCCGCCTTCGCCTTATTCTTCCTCCAGCCTCTGCTAGGAGGTCAGGGTCCCAATAACGATTTTACAATTCAAACAGCTACAACCATTGATGCAATTCAAATTGCGATGATAATTTGCTCAGATGTAGTTGATATATTCCAGAGGATCAGCACCACTGGCAAGCTCTCAGATTTGGCGGATCATAGACATGCAGCTATGCTCACAAAAACATTGAGATAGGTGGAAATTCTCCATAAAGATCATTCAACAGTCCAAAAGAGAGCCATCCGAGTCTCAAGCGTACAAAAAGAAACTTTTTACACCGGTTAGCAGTGAAACTGGATTACCCCCGTTTACATCAATCCAACACTGGGGAAAGATACATAAATGTCATGCTCTAAGGTTAGTTTAGAAATCAATTAGATAAGACCCAAATATGTGCTGAGTCGTTGACATAGATTAGCATAAAAACATACAATGATAATAACAAGAATTTGAGAACAAATCTGACCATTAGGAGAGTAGATGCTGAGATGAATTGGTACACTGGATATTTGCTTAGTGCGACCTGTCTCGCGATCAGTCTCATCAGAAATCTCCTTTCTTACAAGTGCTGCATGAATTCAATCTGGTCATTAGAAGAAAAATAAAACAAGACAAGAAAAATATCATCACACTGAGATCTGTTCCCAAATAATATTCACTAGAACGATATGATAGGGAAATTCACTGATAAGAAACATTCCAACTAGTCACTTTACAATCCATTAGTTGATCCGTATTTTACACATTATCAAATCCCTTTTAAAAGTTCACTCTCTGTTATTCTGCCATATAGTAGACTAAATATTTTACAATAGTGAATATCTACAATAAGAGACAACAAACCTTTTTTCTATTAGAGTGTACCAGTTTGGATGAAAGAAATACAAAATTTTAAAAAATATATGCCAAGCGAATCATTACCAAAATCGGTAAATCGTTTCCTTGGCAAGTGGAGAAATTCAGCATATTCCCTTCCTTCATCAATCTTATGAAGCTGCAATACAAGCGGACGCCGTGTGACAATTCCTGTGATATTGCAGTACAATTCAAATAGAAGTTAAAAAAGACACATCAATAATCAGCAAGAAGGGTGATTTGACATACCAGATCCCCGAGGTAAAAAATCCTTTCCAACTATACTCTCGAGAACTGATGACTTCCCTGAGCTCTGAAACCATGACAACTATAAGATCAGATATTCTTACATCTTAATGCTAACGCAATAAACAGCACGTGAGACAAAAAAATGTTGATTTCTAGAAACTTATATATCAGCATTTTCTAGTGATCCAGGGACCATGGTGGTTTAATGTCATTATCTGTATGTTCCTTAAATGATGAGGTAGTATCATATCCTCGTTCAGGCGTTTAAGTATTATACTTTACTCGGGACCAAGCTTTGCATCTTGCTAATTTTTTCAAAGATTTCATCACTACCCCCTTAATAACTAGCATCCCAGTGAAAAGGTATCTGCGACGTCTCTTATATCGGGGACTCTAGAAAAGGCAAACCCAAAAGGTCCAGTACAGCAGAAGATATCTTTTCTCCCTAAATATCACAGAAAAATGCATTTAAAAGGCACACCATATGGCAATTCTCAGGTTACTTCTCTCTTATATAGTTTGAATGGCGCACAATATTAACTCTGCGATCATTCAATGAAAATGACAAAATACTCATGACTAAGGAATCATTCCACGAAAATGACAGAATGCTGGCCTTATGATGACAGTTGCAGCACAAGTACTTTGCTGACCTTAGTGAGTAGAGAAAAGAAGTGATAACCAATGATCTTGACCAAAACAATATAGGAAGATCATCAAATTTTGTTTTTCTTTCTTGCGCGTCAAAATACAGTTAGATGGTCACCGCCTAATATGCTTACCTTCTTTTCTACTCTCTCCCTCAGTTTCCCTTCCTCTCTCTCCCCCTCTCTCCCTCTCTCTCTCCCCTATCCCTCTCTCTTACCCACTCCCTTTCTCAAGTGAACACAAAAAGTCAACCGATCGCAGGATATGAAAGAAGAAGCGAAGACTACGAAATAAATGATTATAATCGATTATGAAAACGTAAGGGAAGGACAACATTCGTTTAATAGCATATGCGACGGAAATAGTGGGATGAAATCTGGAAACTTATGGGAGAAAGAAAACTCCCTGCTCCAATTTTTTTTAAAGAAATACGAACGAAATGCAAAAGATAATACAGAGGCAAAAGAAGACAAATGTGCCCGAGAGTGAAAACCAAATGATCCGAGCTCCATCAGTAAAAGTATGCAAAGGCATGGGCTCCCCGGAAAAAACAGGAACATCCAAAATCAAAGTTGACATAAAACAATGAAAGTGGAGAACAGTGTAACATCCACTGAGAAATGCACAGATAAATGAGTAAAGCGGCAAGATCCCACAAGGAGACATAAAATGCAAGCAAAATGAAAGAGAGAAGAGAGACCCAGGAAACCGACCTGCCCTCCGACGACAGCAATGGCGGGCAACGAGTCCCAAAGTGTAGGCAATGAACTCCCCTCCCCGTGGTCGCCGAGGGCAGTGCACGCCCTCTGGAGCTTGTTCACCAGCGATATCAAATTCTCCATTCCCACTCCTCTCCCTCTGTGTCACTCCACTCCTCACCTTGGCAGCGAGAAAAGATCGGCTGGCGGGACTTATTCGAAAGAGGGAAGCCGAACAGCACGGCGATCTGGGGGAGAACGGGGAGGACGACTGTGAGAGACAAATCGAGAGTGAGAGCGAGCTGGCTCTGGAGTTCCCTCAAGAAAGATGACGAAGCAGGAGACTGCAGACCGGCCTCTCCGCGCGGTACGATACGAATTATTTCCTTTTCAAAAAGCAGGGGGAGCGGGCCGTTTGTCGTCAAAAGACAAAACGAGTTCCCAGCCCGGAGGAGATCTGAGCCGTCCAAAACATGGCCTCTGGGCACCCCCGCCGCCCGATCCCATCTTCCCCTGATTACCCACATTCTCTGCAGCCACTGGATAGTCTCCGTCCACTCCACCCCTCGGTGAGCTTACCTCCCTCGACCACCACTGAAGTAATCCGAAGGGAGAGGGGGTGGATGAACTCTCAGGAGCATAGTCATCGACGGTGATTTTTCCGCCCTTCGAAGACCACTGAAGTGATCCAGAGGGTAGACGAACTCTCAGGAGCGTAGCCTGCGTCTACTCCACCTCCAGGTGATCTTACCGCCCTCCACCCACCATTACGTAATCCGCAGGGAAACAAATATCGAGTGGCGTAGCCTCTGTATACTCCATCTCCCGGGAACCCTACCGCACTCGACCACCGCTCAAGTAATCCGCAGGGAGAGGTAGCAGGGTTCTCTCTCTCGGCCGATCTCGACGACGGCACACTGACTGTAAGACCCGTCCGACAGTCGGCGAAGGGGGAGCAGGGCAAACGATTCCATCGACGATCAACTCTCACTCTTGCTTGTTGAATAAACACGCAGACATGCACGGCCGGAGATCAGAAGCAGCCGGGGATCAGATGCACTGAGAGGTTTCCACAACGTCTGTGAAAAAGGATTACATCAGGCTTACTCTGCCGGCCCCCTGCGAGGAGGATCAGGGGTTTGCCGCCGGAGAAGGGGCGGGGGGCGGGTGGGGGGGCTCAGTCGGCCGGATCGGGACAGCCGTAGCCCCACGGGTTCATGCTGGCCCAGTTCCACTGGTCCCTGCACATCTCCTCGATGCCGTACTTGGCCCTGCAGATCCACAGAAAAAGGAAGGAAGCCAGATGGTCAGAGAACATGGAGCAGCGCAAGGTGAGCCTCTCGATTCGGCGCGTACTTCCAGTGGAGCTCCTTCTCCGCCTTGGCGGTGGACGCATAGACGATCTCGGCGTCCCCAGGCCGCCGTCCGGCGATCACGAGAGGGATTTCCTGGGCAAAAGCGGGCGAGTCAGCCGGCGCGAATAGTTTCAGAAATCCCGCCCTCCCCTGGGAGAGAAGGGACGACGGCTACTTCGTGTACCTTCCCGGAGGCCTTCTCAAATGCCGCCACCATCTCCAGTACTGACGTCCCCTTTCCGGTTCCCAGGTTGTAGACTTCGCAGCCTGATCCCCCGACGAGATGGAGGACCCATTAGCAAATAATAGTCATTGTATGCTAAATCACAGAGGGAGTTGACCAATCAACGGGCTGTTCTTGTTTTCAGAATTGGCGCACCTATTTCGGATCCGTCGAACAGCTTCTGCAGGGCAGAAATGTGACCATCTGACAAGTCAACGACGTGGATGTAGTCCCTCACCTGCAAGAAAAATCAGAGAAGGAATATAATGGTTATTATTTGCCAAGGCATTTGAACCGTATCAATGTCAAAGATGGGCATTGCCATGGCAAGAAGATGAGAACGGCAGAACACACGGTGTTAGTTGACCATAACTTGTAGTGACAGGGCCAGGGCAGAGCCTGGGTCAGCCATGAGCGAGGATCTTCAGGATCTATGAGCATGGTTAAATGAGTTTAGGGCTATACATCAGATGCATCTAGTGTTGGTCAACCTCGCTAAGCTGGGCGTAAGATAGCTCTCTGACAAAACCTACAGTGAGTTCTTAACCGACCATACATTGCGCAAGTCAACCAACTGTTCAGTTCGGATGATTATGCCCAAAAAAGGAAAAAAAATCACAATCATATTGGGAAAAGAAGTTTTTATTAATCCATTAATGCAACTGGCAACCACCGAGAAAAAAATATATAATGGATAAATAATTAACCAATTTTACGGTAGATCAAGCAACAATATGAAACAAGTATAAACTCCTTGGAAGGAAATCATACCCCTGTCCCGTCCTTGGTTGAATAATCATTTCCAAATACAGTCAACGCGGGTCTTCTTCCGACAGCAACTTGCTGTACAAAGGGCATGAGATTGTTTGGAAACCCTCGGGGATCCTCACCAATGTGACCACTAGGATGTGCTCCGACTGGATTGAAGTATCGAAGTAATATAATGCTCCAATCAGGGTCGGAAATGTGGATATCACGACAGATCTCCTCAATGAAAAGCTGCGAGGACCCATGACAGGTTTCATCAGCAGAAGTGGTAGTTAAGTCAACGCTGAGATTCACGAAGGCTCCCTCTAAATAATAATTAAAAACTAGGCATGGGAGAATAAAGCGGCCCCGAAGATATATTAGCAGAAATAACTAGTGAACCAGGGTGAGAAGGATACCTTGGTCCTTCCATACGGATTCGTTGCAGACAGGTCAAACTCTTCTGTACAAGGAACTTCTTTAGGCCAACCGTAAACAGTCGCCGATGATGAGAAAACAAGCTGCACCAATTTTTTTGAAGTTATCTACTTAAGATGGGTTCAGAGCAAGACGGATTAGTAATGCCTGACCGAATTATAAAGGACATTGATGCAGAGCCAAGAGATACAAGTCAATGCCTCGCTGACTATGCAACTAAGATGAAAAAGTCAACAGAATGAACAGATTCTAATAGAAGATAAACTACACCCCATTCTCCTTCACAGGGATGACTTTTAGTTTCATATTCTGGTTAGAGACACAAGTCACCATATCAAGCAAAGAAACCGCAGAGGTGCATTTCCTATGACTATACCAATGCAGGATCAGATGCAGGATATGATGCAGAATCCAAAAATTTACTATTCCAGAAAGCTGTCTGCTCTTCTGAGTTCGTTACCGTTTTCCGTCAACAGACCTTACCTTCTTGCATCCATGAGCACTCATAACTTCTAACAGGTTGATCGTGCCAATGATATTGTTGTTGTAATATAACAGCGGTTTATGTACGCTTTCACCAACAGCTTTCAGTCCAGCGAAATGAATCACCGCATCAAATCTGTATCTAAACAGAATCCTTATGAGACAGCTATCCGGAATGAGCAACAAAAATACTGAAAAATTTAGTGTTACAGAGAAGTCGGAAGCAATCGGTGAGAATTTTTAGTGGGCGAATTTTTTTTTCAATTAAGTGATCATTTCTGCCGGTAAATCTGGACCTTCAGGGAACTGAAAGTTCCCGTTTCTTTCTCTGGATCATACTTGATGTTGAACTTCATCTTTCGTAATGGTACAATGTATGTATCGAACATAAGAATACAATAAAAAATTAGAGAGAGCATAGGAAAAGGATGTGTCTAAGGAAGTGGACGTTTTTAAGTGCCTACGTGTTGAAAAACCAATATCTGTAAGCAATAAAAATGAAACTGACATTAGACTCTGCCCACCACCACTCTACCTGTACAATTACTTCGCTATAGCTGTACAGTCCCTCATAAGATGGCGCGAATCAGACAATTAAACAATACTTCACAAACAAGGATCCCTCCAATGTCCCTAATAGTTATCTCAAGATCTAACCTTTACATAAGAAATCTGCAGCAAAGTGGGTGTATGTAGATTTCTCCAATAATTCTGTTAGAAGTATAAGACGGAATTTGAGGATTAGAAAATTTTCCAAGACATCGCCCATCAAAGTGCAGGCGCCAAAGAGCGTGCTTTCTGATAAAAATGTGCCTCGTGTACCCTGTTTACGTTCCACTGACCAACGATCTAGAAGAAAGGGATTTGTTACAATATCTTCCTCCAACAAAATTCAAACGTGAATTTTGAATCGCTTTCTGATTGGCAATTTTCCAAGGAATAGATCGGTGAGGCATTTTCAAAGAAACACTAGACGAAAAGATACTTAATCACTAGTGACAGACGACTAGGGGCTTTGCTTGGGATCCTGGAATGTGAATTTCGACAGTATTAACAAAGAACGTATTCTTCATTTCATGGCGAGTGAAGTTTATAATCGACATTTATTTCTATAAAAAACGGTTTGTAGTTATCTCCTTATCCCGGCAACGGATCAGCCCGTAGAGGTGTAAGAAAAATGATGTGAAAACCTCTTTTAGAACTATTCACACTTAAAGCAGAAATAGAAAATGAGCAAGTCTTACGTCGTGGAAGCAAATACTTTCTCCAGCGCTTCCTTGTCCCGGATGTCAATCTAAAAAAAAATAACATCTTTTATTATTGGCACCTGAGACACCTTGGCGTAGTTTTTCTCAGGGTTCTAAACAACGAAAACAAACGGAAACAAATAATCGATAGAGTGCCGTCATTTCTCTTTTATTTAGTTTTCTTTCTCAATGTAGCAGCAAACGAAATCACATTTTGAGAATCGGTGGATCGAACCATCAGGATTAATATTCGGAAGATATCTCAAGGCAAACGCATGCAGAGTTCCCCAAATATGCATCTCCAGGCCCTTTGGGAGGCAAAATTATGAAAATAATAAAAAAATAGCGAGCAACAGAGGGCGGCATTGCAGAATCTGACAGTTGTACCAAGCGGCACCTCACCAAAAACAATTCTCGTTTAGGATCTTACTGATCGTAAAAAAAAAATTGACCCAAATGCGTTCCCTCGACAAAAAACCGGAAACAGTAAAAGTAAAAATACGAAGATAAAATCAAATTAAAAATTAACGGGGTTCACACATGACTGCACCTCGTGCCCGCTCTCCCCAACCAGCCACTAAATCGACGCATACCTTGTGGAAGATGATATTCTTCCCGAACTCCCCGGCAAGCTCGGCCACTCTCTTGATAGCGACCTCGGAGGAGTTCTCGAGGTTGTCCACGACGACGGCCTTGAACCCCGCGAGGAGGAGCTGAAGCACCGTGTGGCTTCCGATGTAACCTGCTCCCCCCGTTACGAGCACGGTCTTCGCCATCGCCGGCGCGCAGAGACCTCGGAAAGCGATCGGGATATGGCCGGTGGCCGCTTCGGCCTCATAAATAACCACCGCGATTCCCACCGATCGCCTTTATTCCAGAACCCCGTTCGTCCACTGAATTTCTAGAGACCTCCGAGTCGACTCGGTCAGTGTCGTTACTGAGGCGCGACCGCTTTCCAGCGGGTCATAAACAACCGCCCCACGTGGACTCAGCCCTCTTTTTCTCACGTCAGTCCAAAAATTCCCCACCGGAACCTACGTGGCCCGCACAACGACCTGGACCCACGCGTAGACGGCATCGCTTATTACCCGGTCAACCGACCGAGTTCAGTCAACCGACCGACTTGAGTCAACCCACTGACCCCCCACTCTCTAATAATTAATAATGGCTTTGTCAGAGGAAAAAGACAGAAGGGAATGGTTGCACCCACTAATCTGTGATTAAGGCTAGCTAATCAATATTAGTGGTGGAATTCGGAACGGCCACGTGGACCCATCCATCCATGTAAGCTAACAGTGGGGGGAGACTGACTGTTGGACTTGTGACTACCCACTCTGACACAACAGGAAATCCGGCCGGCGGCCGCGGTGGTGAAGCCTGCGACAGGGGCGCCCGCATGTGCGGCGATGGGGATTCACCGAACAAGAAGATGGAGTCGGCGTTGCAGAGAGGAAGGTCCTGACCGGCGATCGGAGTCTGTCGTCGGCGAGCGGAATGCGGGCCACAAGTTCCTGTTTCTCTTAACTGCGGGAGGGAGGCCGGTGCACATGGGCGTGCCGGACTGCGCTCGAGATAAGCCATCGCAGGCTGGTTATAGAGAGAGAGAGAGAGAAAGAGTGAGGGAAGAGCAGAGAAGGAGTGGGGGCGAGGAAGAGGAGGGAGGAGGGAGGGAGTCAGAGAAGAAAGATGGACGAGGAGTGGGGGAGGGTGGAGGAGCCGATGAGCCCCGGGTCGAGGCTGTTCCACCAGCCGAGGTTTAACTGCTACATCGTGGCGCTGATGGGGTTCGGGAGAAGGATCGACCTGGACGTCGTCAAGGCCGGCCTGGAGTTGACCCTGATCCGCCATCCCCGCTTCTCCAGCGTTAAGGTAAGCCTCGAACCACTAGGGTTCTTCTTCTTCTTCTTCCTCCTTCTTCTTCTTCCTCCTTCTTCTTCTTCATCGTCATTTTATCTGCCAACAGATAGCAGAGGGGAGGGGGAGGCCAAGATGGGTTCGGACGAAGGTGGTGCTGGAGGACCACCTGGTTGTGGTGGAAGTGGACCCCCGGAAAGTGGAGTGCCCGGACCGGTTCTTGGAGGACTATGTCTCCGAGCTCACCAAGACCACCATGGAGGACTTCTCCAAGCCCCTGTGGGAGTTACACCTCATCAACCTCCCGACCACCGAGGCCGAGTCGGTGGCCATCTTCCGGATACATCACTCTCTGGGAGACGGCACCTCGCTCGTGTCCCTCCTCCTCGCCTGCACCCGCAAGGCCGCAGACCAGAGCTCGCTCCCCACTCTGCCAACCAGCGGCAGGACCAGGAGGATCCCCCACCGCCGGATAACCACCGGAGACGACAAGCGGTGGTGGAAAGGACTCCTCGCGATGCTTCTGAGCCTGTGGGCGGCGCTGAGGCTGGCCTGGAACACGGCGGTCGACATGCTGCTTTTCGCGGCTACGGTGGCGTTCATGAAGGACGACGAGACGCCGGTAAAGGGGCAGCCCGGCGTGGGGGTCAACCCCAAGAGGATCGTCCGCCGCACGCTCAACTTCGAGGACATGAAGACCATCAAGAAAGCCTTGGGATCGGTGACTCTCTCTCTCTCTCTCTCATCCCTCCTCCCCATTTCGCCTCTCATAAGCTTGGAGGTGGGTTTCTGGTTCAGACGATCAACGACGTGCTGCTCGGCATGACATCTGCGGGCCTCGCTCACTACCTCCACAAGCGATACAAAGGTACTCTGTCAACAGGTCAACGAGAACCCGCAGTTTATCGTTTGGCTCTAACTCTAGTCTCTGACGGTTTGGTTCGATGGCTAACAGAGGAGGGCTTCGCCGGGAGGAGGACTCTGCCCGAGAATCTCCGCGTGAGGTCCGCCGTCCTTGTCAACATCAGACCGTCCCCGGGCATCCATGTGAGCTCCCGTCTCATTTATCCCTCTCACTTCTCTTGATTTAATATCTGGCTCTTCGCCAGGATTCCGTATCCCTTGTTCCCACAAGTGGTTCCACCTCTCTCTCTCTCTCTCTCTCTCTCTCTCTCTCTCTCTCTCTCTCGCTCTCGCTCTAACTCTGGCCCCCATGGAACCAGGCTCTGGCTGACATGATGGAGAAGGGCGGAGAGGGGAACATGAAGTGGGGCAACTGCCTCGGCTGCGTCATTGTCCCCTTCCCCGTCAAGCAGTGCGAAGATCCGCTGGACTACGTTCGCATGGCGAAGGCGGTGGCGGACAGGAAGAAGCACTCTCTCGAGTCAGTCTGCACTTTCCTAGGCAGCCTCTTGATACTCAAGGCCTTCGGCATCCAGGTAACCTGCCCCCCTCACTCCTCTCGCTCCAACTGTGTGGGGAAGGTCGTCCGCTGAACCACTTCATTCCCCCCTGCGCCGGCTCAACTCTCTCTCTCTCTCTCTCTGTGTGGAACGACAGGCCGCAGCGGTTCTTCCACACAGGGTGTTCTCTCACACGACGCTCTCCTTCTCGAATGTTATCGGTCCAGTCGAAGAGATCGCCTTCTGTGGCCACCCTCTGGTCTACCTCGCTCCCACCGTCTACGGCCACCCGCACGTAAGTATCTACGAATTTATTCGTGCATATAATACTTTCTTTAGATTATGTACTCGGGATCCGGTGTCTGACATAGTCTGAAACTTGCTCAGGCTCTGACGGTTCACTTCCAGAGCTACATGAACAAGATGGAGCTCGTCATTGCCGCGGACGAATCCGTGATCACCGATCCCCACAAGCTCTGCGAAGCCATCGCTGGATCTCTCAAGCAGATGAAAGACGCCTCCGCCACCGTCGTTCCTGTGGGGAAATGATAGATAGATAACGGTATACGTGAAGCGAGGTAGATATTATTATTAGATATCAGTGCATGGAACCACCTATAGACATTATTATATGGCCCGAAGGTAGGTGCTCAATGGTGGAGAGAGAGAGAGAGAATCGGAGCTAGCTTTGAATTGAGTGGTGCTGCAGGGGGGTATCTCTCCGTCCTCACGTATCAGGAGAAGGGTCAGATTCTTCTCCTTTGACCGTGTAAGATCCAACGTCTCCCCGTTCAAAAATAGTCTCCACCTCCCCTTTCTTTTCTCGTGTTCCCCCGCCCTTAACTCGCTGTCGTTCCCTATTCCGAGGCCTTGTCGGCACAGGGAACAGAGATGGCGACCCCCGCCGCCTGCAATCTCCCTCTAATCCTGTTATTCGTCGCCGCCGCCTTATTCCCATCGCCGGCAGTCGCCGGCGGCGAGCTCCGGGGCCCTCCGATGGGATCCGTCGGCTTCCTCTTCCCCGGCGACGGCGGCGGCGCCGCCGGTGGCAAGCACCTGTCGCGGGAGTTCCTCGACGCCCACAACAGGGTCCGGCGATACGTCGGCGAGGCCCCCGTCGTTTGGGACCGCTCGCTGGCCATGTACGCCCGCCGGTGGGCGAAGCGCCGCCGAGACTGCCGGTGCATCCACTCCGGCGGCCCCTTCGGGGAGAACATGTTCTGGGGCACCGGCAAGGGCTGGCGCGCCGCCGACGCGGTGAGGAGCTGGGCCTTGGAACACTACGATTACGATCGCAGCAGCAATTCCTGCCGCCCCGGCAGGATGTGCGGCCACTACACGCAGATCGTCTGGAACGCCACCGCCATGGTCGGCTGCGCCCGCACCGTCTGCTTCGACGGCGGCGTCATCATGGTCTGCAACTACCACCCGCCGGGCAACTTTATCGGCGAGAACCCCTTCGATTCCGCCGCCTGAACCTCGCCGGACGTCACAAATAACGAATCCTCTTCCGATAAAAGACGACGACGATGATGATCTCCTTCCATTTCCCAATCCTTCCTGTTTCAGGCGCTTTCAACGCGCCCAGATCGAGCACCCTTGCGGCCTGTTTCAGGCCTCATGTATCCATCTCTATTATCTACGACGGAGGAAATCCAGCGCCTTGCCCGGCTTCGAGCATCTATCTGATCCCAAGACATAGCTCAGGTCTCTGCAATTAGACCGTTCCCTTGTATTATTAGATCCTCTGTAAACACATCAAAGGGCACTTCTCCTCCATTCTCACGATCATTTCTGAAAGGATGCACCTTTTCTTAGTTCGAGTTCGAACCAGGCGCCCCCCCCCCCACCGTCCTTCCATTGTCATGCGAGGGAAACACTGCGGGCTTCTCTCATCCCCTAATGGGTTTCACTGCTAAAGCATGCGATAGCCCATGGAAGTCTACCCATGCAATAAAATGAAAAAAAAAAATGTAAATAAATTTAGAGAGAGAGAGAGAGAGAGAGGGGGGGGGGGGTGCATTCCTTCCTTCGGCCCATGTAGGTTTTGGTGGACATCGGAAACCTCCCCGCTGAATCCGACGATCGAGGAGCTACGTCGATGGAGTGCTCTCTACCAGGAGCAGCGTCCGCCTCTTCATGATATTTCTGCTATGAATTGATTAATTCCCCCCAACCTTCCATTCTCTAGTTTATTCGACGAACTGAAGACGGTGCTCGTAGATTACAGACAGGGGTTTAACTTCTCGAAATGGACGTGAGATTGTCGTTTCAGGACGAATAGTCTCGACGACAGGCCTCGGTTTGTCCCGTCTCCATCACAGGATAGAAATATGTCGAGTACAGTGAAGAGATACAGGTCGGGGCATCTGATGTCACGCGAATAATTGAGCCGTGTAGCGCAAATGAGCCGACAGCGACTAAACTGAACCTCAAATAATTCTCCGCGGTGGCCGCCAAGGGTGTCTTCCTCTCCGCTGCTACAGGGCATCCTCGCGCCACCTGATTAGGGCGACTGGGGAGGCTCTGTTCGTCTCCCCCGAAGGAAAGGACAACGGGGGACGCCGTCGCAACGGACGAATGTCTCCAGGATCCGCTCTCCCCCTCCGAGACAGGCCCTGAGTCGTCGTCGTCCTCCCCGAGCGAGTACACCGAGGCGATCCCATCGCGATCCCCCCTGCTCGTCCCGTCCACTCATCCCAGAGAGCGAAACCCTTACACGCGTCCTTTCCTAGGACGCTTCGCGCCCCTCCACCTCCGGTTGTTGCAGGCACCGACCTCCCCCATCGTAGCTCCCCTGTGTCCGAACACCACGTGGCGAGAAACTTCAGACCATGGATGACACGCCGGTGACAGACGACCGGGGGGGAGCGAATTCGGATGGTCTTATTCATCGCTCTCAGCAGAAGCCACACCCCCCTCCGCAGATGCCCACAGAGGCGACGGACCCCACAATCACCTTCTTTTGTCCTCTCCCCGCGGTTAATTCAACGCAAGGATCGAGCACGTTTCAACGTGCCTGCGATTTAATGTTTTCACAAAAGACTGGGTTTTCCGTGGTTTCGTTAGATCCGAGATCCGCCACGATGTGACGTTCTTGACAGGTGTTCGACCAGCTTCGTGCTTCAGCCTCGTCGAGGATAGATCTCAAGCCTCAGAAGTTAGGGTTCCGAGAAGATCAGCGGTGGCCTGGGCTGAGAGGGAGAGAGAGCTTGCTGCGAACCACCGGAAGCCATCGCGCGGTGTCCGAGGAAATCATTTAATTACTGGGAGACTCTTCAGCTGGTCGCTGTCTTCGCTGATCCCGACGGGATTTCATGTTGTCCTGAGGGATCGACTGTCACTTCCTTGCTCTCCCAATTACGACTTCCACGATGCTTCCCCTAAAACCCCTATTCCCACAGTTCCAAGAAAGATGACGCTTAACTCAGGATTATCCCTTGTTCATCACACGAACTTCACCTGGAGGGCCCGGTCAAGTATGTCACATGGGTCCACCTTGTAGCTCCTCTTTTAGGGTTTTTCCCTGACCATTCCCCACCTGGTAGAAGATGTCCGGCTCACGGCTGTGTTTGGCGACGCCGAGGGGCTGCCCAACCAATGGACAAACCCCGAATAAGCTCTCTGTCGATTACTGGGGAGCCCACAGCTTTTACAACCTCCACTAAGCGGGCATCTAGAGCTGACTTTATGATCTTGATGCCCACTGGAATCCTTGTCCGGCTTCCCTACCTCCTCTTCTCTCCTCCATCCGTTTTCACCCGTCCAGTGCCATCTTCTCATGTCAAGTTTCACGCCCGATTAATGATATCGAAAGCCTTTTTGGTCCCGATTCAGTCAGGTTTGACTTGGTGAAATTGATACTATGTCACACCAATGAGGTACGGCGTTCGTACTTGGATACCGTTGGAACTATCATACGAGTAATCGTAGGGCAAATAACCGCAAAATAATGGAAAATAGTTTGAGACTGAACGAGATAACCTCAGACCTGATACGAATGATGAGGCAGGCCTGATTTACTTGGGATAATCCCGCCGCCCCAATACGTATTACGGAGGTATTCGCAGTTTGGTGAGCTGAGGAGTTGGAGTGTTTACAGGAGGTGTGGTGTTTTGGGGAGGAGGAAGAGTAGTCACAGTAGAAGAAGAAGAAGAAGAAATAATGGTGCAGCTGGTTCGCTGTTCATCTTAGGCCAGGTTTGTCTCCTCGCCATCTCCCCCCCCCCACCCATGGTTCTGCTTCAAGGCGGTCCTTGTCGGCATCGGCACAGCCAAGATGGTCAATTTGTAAGACCAGACTAGGCACAAGGTTTCCCTTGTGATTAAAGGAGCGTTGTTTTACCCGTGGAGGGGAGGCAAGCGGCCCAGTCGCGCCCTGGCAGGCGTTCTCGTGCGCAGATGGCCATGACAGAAGAGACAGAAGGGTCTGGGGGGTAGCGATTGGGGGAGCGAGAGAGAAGAAGAGGAGGAGGAGGAGGAGGAGGAGGAGGAGGAGAAGGAGAGGGAGGTGGTTGGTGGGTTGGTGTGATGAGTGAAGAAAAGGCCAAAAGGCGAAAGCAAAAGGGAGATAGAAATACAGAGAAAGCGAGCAAATTTGCCTCTTATATTGTCGCGAAGCTGAGAAAATTTCCTCCGCGCCGTGTGCTCTCTCTCTCTCTCTATCTACCTCAAGAAGAGACCTGCGTTCGCAGGATATAAGAGGGGGAGGGGAAGAGTGGTGGTCCGCTCGTCGAGACTGCTTCGTCTTCTTAGACGGTGCTCTCGCTCTTCCGTTGGGGGGACCGTCTCTTGGGGGTGTTTTTCTCTGAGATATGCACGCAGAGGCTGGGATGCTATTTCCCTACCTCCAAGCCTTCCCTCCGGAGCTCCCCTACCACTTCCACCCCATGGAGGAGGAGCTCCTCTGCCGCCTTCAGACAAGCTCCGGTCACCTCCCCCCTCTGAACAGTCCCACGGTAACCATCTCCACTCGAATTCTACAGCTCCCTCCGTTTTGTTGCATCTCTAGCCTTCTCTTGTCTCCGGCTTCGCATCCCACCTGAGGACCGTATCATCATCCCCCCCCCTCTCTCTCTCTCTATCTATCTATCTATCTATCTATCTATCCATCTCTCCCACCGCCTCTCTGGAAAAGGAGGTAGCAGATGTGAAGGAAGGAGCAGGAGGAATGCGGCGAGCTTACCCTTTCCTCTTCCCCGGGGTAGAGCTCGGTACCTTCGTGCCACTGAAGAGGGGGGGGGGGAGGAGGAGAGAGGAAGGAAGACATTAAATGTCCATACAATGGCTCATTTTCACGGGAATACCCCATCGCCCGTGCCAAAGCTCCGACGACACCTCCGCCAGTAGTTTAGTGTTCTGCGGTACTAGATGACGAGATTCTCTCTTGGTCTCCGTGTACATAGACGTTGACAGGGGGTGACGAACCGCACAGAGCGAGAGATATTTAATGAGATGTTTATCGCCTTCCTGCACAGAGAAACATGGTGAAGACACCGACCGTCTCCGACTACGACCTGGGCGGGGAGGGGGACCTCTTCAAAGCGCCGGAGCCCATCGTGGAGGAGCCGGCGATGGTGCTCGACCCCGTGGCGGCGGCCATGTGGATGATCTCCAACGGCGATGCCGTCATCTCCACGAACACTTTCGAGGTCCCGGACGTCGATCCCATTCAGAACGAGCAGTTGTTGATTGACGCCGTCATCTCCACGAACACCTTCGGTATCCCGGACGTCGATCCCATTCAGAACGAACAGCTGTTGATCGACGCCTTCTACGAGTCCTCCCAGCCGGAGGGGTTTCCGACGAGGGGGGAGGAGGAGAAACCAGATGAAGGAATCAAGAAGAGCGTCAGCTCCGGGAGCTTGGAGTCCTCGACACGGGTCAGCGAAGCATCGGCCGGACCAAATCTCTGCGCCGCCAAGGGAATTATTTCCGGAGATGTTCTTGTGATGCGGAGGGCGTGCAGTGAAGGAGATCTTCAGGTAAGAACTGTAAGATTATTACTCCTCTCTCTCTCTCTCTCTCTCTCTCTCTCTCTCTCTCTCTCTCTCTCGCTCGCTCTCGCTCTCTCAAATCAACCGTAGCTTCCGAGAATGAATGAATCGATGTCGGCCTTCTCTCGTCGACAGACGTACAGCAATGGCGGGGGGATGAGCTTCAGCGGGAGCACCATTCACCTTCCTTTCGAGAGGCTACTGAGCGTCGGGGAAGAAGACCGCCGGCAGAAGCTCTCCAGGTACAGGAAGAAGAAGACGAAGAGGAACTTCGGCCGGAAAATCAAGGTGAGCAACGGACAGTTTGCTAGCTCTCTCTGCAACTCCGACGCCCGATTATCGCTATCGCCCCCCTCCCCGTCCTCCCTTCGATTTTTTCTTCTTATGGGGAGAGAAATCTAGCGACCTGATCATCGACAGGGGAAAATTTCCATATAATTCACTAAATGAAAACAACCTAAAACAAAAAGTCAAACAGTTTCACTTGGCAGTTTGCTGTACAGCCGCAAATTGGATCTTCTCTCCTTTATTCGCCATCTGTACTTCAATTATGGGGGACGGTCACAGACTCGGACACAGACACAGAGAGAGAGAGAGGGGAGACGTGCCACGTGGCGAAAAAACGAAGCTTTCGCCTTCTGCTCCCTATGATACACTGACCGCTTAACTGCATATAGAACTCCATTGATTTCATGACAAGTGCCACCGTGTCTTACGCCTCTCTCTCTCTCTCTCTCTCTCTCTCTCTACTCGCAGTACGCTTGCAGGAAGGCTCTGGCAGACAGCCAACCGAGGGTGAGGGGGCGGTTCGCCAAGACGGAGGATCCCGAACCGCCGGCGTCCAGCAAACCCGTTTCTCCTGTGCCGACAAACATGTAAAGAATGCCGTCCCTAGATTGTATATTACTGTTTATAGGCATGCGCACATACCCGGCATGTGGCGGCTTATGGAGAGAGAGAGGAAGAAGGAGAGAGAGAGAGAGCAAGCTCCCTTTGCCCCAAACATGGAGACGCAAAGATCCAGCCCCTGCCTCTACCGGGCGCTGTAAACAGCCTTGAATAACGCGAAACCCGGCCATTCCAGTTTCCCCAAGTTCAGCGTCTCCCTCTTCCTCTCCAGGGAGCTGCTTCTTGCCTCTGCTCCAAGGATTCGCTGAGCAAATTGCTTCAGCAGGCCCGTGAAAAGGGATGGAGACTGGGGACTAGAACGCCCCCTACAACCTGTGGATCGTCATGTACAGAGAAATAAAATTAATTTCTCGGAGGGCAACAAATAATCTTCTGCCGCAGGAACAGGGCCGCTAATCCAGGTTCGATCTGTCCGAGCCCTCGGGCGATCCCAAGTTGCAATCTTCCCGCAACGTGGTCAACCACGAGTCCACCTGGAAACAGAAGAGAGAATCGAGAGGTAAGACAGAAGGAACACAGATCTTCGCTGACTTTTCCGACTGGGAGCATTTCACATAAATGAGTGATCTTTGACCGTCTCCTATCTACCCATCAGTCTGACATTCTAACCCATCAAGCCCCATTCCGGTGCCATCCTCTGTCACGTCGCAGATGCCCAGGACAAGAGGTCCATAAGAAGAGACAGCCATATGACAAATAGGACAAACAGGGCAGGGCAGCAGAGGGAGAGAGAGAAAGAGGGCCCACCTGCGCTCTGGAGGGGCTGGCGCACTCGAATCGCAGGCCATGGCGCGTCAGGATATAAAGCGCATGCCGCGCTTCTTGATCCTCCGTGACGATCCTCGGCAGCAGGCCCACTTCGGTGATGTCGGATAGCAGGGTGGAGTCCTGAGGACTCAGATCTGCATGAATCGCAACCTTCTTATGCACCTATATTGATATTTAATTGAAATACAGAAGGCATATATTTTACCTGTGGATCTGAGGTAGTAGAAGAGACATTGACCGCTGAGGACGACGAAGCGGGGGAGCCAGTCGTCGACCTCGACGTCGTCTATGATCGGTGGTTCTCCAGGAAGCTGGGTCCATCTCTGGAAGAAGAGAGGAGATTAAAAGGATAAGATTGACCGCTCTTGCATGATCTGAGGCAGCGAGAACGTCGATGCGGCTGGGATTACATTTCGGAGGTGGAGATAGCCAGCAAGACGGGCAGACCTCAGGATCTCATCGACATGTTCCAGCCTGGGCACGCCACAGAAAGGTGAAATCTATCAGATTTAATCGGCAATCGGAGGAGGAAATCGCAATGGGGCGGCACTAAATCCGATGGGGGTGGAAGAAGACAGCTAAAGAAGAAGAATTGAATCTTCGGTCTTTCATTCCAAAGTAAAAAGACCCAGCTAGAGCAACTCGAAGCTCGGCCGAGGTGGTGCTTACTGGGCTTTCAGATGGGCTTCTCTCTCTTCTGCGTCGGCGATTTCTGACCTGAGAGATTCCACTTGAGCGGCGGACAGCTCCACCTTCAGCCAAGAAAAAAAACCATTCTTTTTACCGAAGACTGAAGAAACCCAGATCAATTCAGGCTTTGCGACAGCAGAACCCACCTTGTCGCCATCGACCCCAGAGGACCAGGGGAGGCCTGGAAGGCTGAACAACCTCAGCATTGATCCAGCGTTCATCAGTCGTCCGCCAACCCGTGTACGACGACGGGATCTGTCCTAAAAGAGGGTCAACAGAGCTAAATGAATTCACGTAAAGTCAATAAAAATGGGCGAAAATAATCGTCAGCAGAATCTGGCACCTCAATGGACACTCGGTCTTCCCTGTCCGAGGAGAGTCTTCCGATGAAGCTGGGCCTTGGAAGTGATCTGGGATGATCTCTATCTTCCCAAGACCATCGCCCATCCCTCCGACTCCACCTTGAGTGAGTCGGATCTACAGCGTCAGCCAAGATCTTCTGGCGAGGCTGCAAGAAGAGGTGTTCGAAGGAGTGTTCAGTCGTGGAACCTTTCGTAGTCAAGAGTCATTAAGCAAGCATGGAGACGGACAACCACAGCTCACTAGAGGACGAAAGATGAGAGACCAGACAAGGGGGGGAGGCCCTGTCAGAGTTATTAGGGAAGTCAGCTCATGTTTCTGAAAGGGGGAGGTCTGGAATGAAGGCGTCTCATGCAAAATCGCGGAACCTTCCTTAGTCAGAGTTATTAAGGGAGCATGGAGACAGACAATCACAGCTCACCAGAGGAAGAAAATGAGAACCCAGTGAGGCCAGTGAAGCACGATGGCTCCTGTCCTGTTCATCTGATATTCAGTCGCTCTGCTTGCCAGAGACAACCATTTAAGGAAAGAAATAATTTATGCCTTAAATGAGAGATAATCACCAGAGAAATCACTACTCATCCAGGTTTCTGGGGGAGCATCTGGAGAAGAAAGGAATCCCTCAGGAAGGTCGGCTTTGGAGGATTTTACCCATCCATGGCTCGAGCAATACCCTTACAGCGGCTGATGACGAATTGAACGTCCTATGGCCATGGATCACAACTGTCTTAATGAGCGGGCAATCACAACGGTTCCCTTTCAATCTGTCAAGAAATCCAGCTTATGCATCCGCTTTCCTCCGAGGAATCAGGGTTTTCTTCCGATCAGATTTTTCATGGGTCGTTAATCTTGGTACTCGGAGATTAACAAAGTCAGAAATACATATATGGTTTAAATCTGAATCGAACCTCGTCCTCTACCTCTAGATCGCCCGTAACAAGCAACAAGAAGAAGAACTCTTCGTTCTTTTTAATGAGTAAACCGGAAGGTTCAGTAACCCCGGAACTCCTTAACAGAGAGAAGAGCACCCGATTCGATTGAAACGGAAGCCGAGATCTGAGCATTAAAGTAAGCAGTTCAATCCGCGGAAACCCACGCCATGTGACAACAAAAGACGATCCGACCTAAAAGCATCCGGCGAATGAAAAAGGTAAACGACAGCCAGCCACCTCTTGTCCACGGAGATGAATCGGGACATCGCCATCGGAAAATTTCACACCGCGATCAACCGACCTGAGAGCGATCAACGACGCGGGGTCTCTCCGACACACCGAGCTCCTGCCAAGGAACAGGAACGAGGAGAGGGATTTCCTCGCGCCACACCGGCCGCAATCTCTCGAGGCGCTGAGAATCTACAGCCAAAGGTGAAAAGGGACCTCAAGACGGCGATGCTTTCCCCTCGGCCTTGAAAGTTTGGTAAAGCTGTGCAGCCGGCGAACGACAGAGGAAGAATTAGGGCGAGAAGTAGGTCAACACAAGGTGGGAGTCCCGTTTTCGGGACGTGCGAGTCTTCCTGATGGCGAAGACGTCGCCTTCACTCGTACCTCCAGTGAAGCCGACGAGAAGTCTCTCCCCTATGGGACGTTTTTACAGTTTTAATCGTGGGAGGAGGGGGAGAGGCAGTTTCTCTCAGGTCCTGAGGCACGTGCCGATCGGCACGTGGGGCCAAGCTTAGGATTCCCAAGTAGGCTCGAAGTCTGCGACCGGGCCGTCTCTTATCCGAATTTACTCGGACCACTAGGCAGGGCCCACAACGGACCAGGCGTCGCCACGTATCTTATTATTTTTTCTACGTGGAGAAAGTCCGGCGGAAAAGGAAATGCGTCAAAATTATTAATTATATCCACGAGTGAAGTAATATATGGGTACATATATAATTTAATAAATTATATATGTACACCCCCACCATAAAGGGTAGAAAATCCTCGTCTTCCTCGTCATGGAGATGGCCCATTTGTACAAGACGCAAGAGAGAGAGAGAGAGAGAGTTACAACGTGGTGGGGGGGGGGGGGGAACCCTTCGTCTTCCTCCGTCCGTCTCCCCTCGGAAAAAGGGGGGGCGCGGTGGGGCGGTCGATCACCGCAAAAAAGAGAAAAAAAGGGGGACTTGGAGAGAATAAAAACAGGAAAGAGTCGTCGCCTTCTTGCCCCCCCCCCCCCCTTCTCCTCTCCCTCATCTCCAGGGTTTCTCGTTCCCTGGCGCAGCCGAGTCATTCCGATTCGCTGTCCATGCTCTCCATGCCCTTCAACCCCCTTCTCTTCTGCAAGCAAGGAAGAAACCAGACCATCAGAGAAGAAGAAAAGAAACCCACAACTCGACACCATCGACCACTCTCTGTCTCTCTCTGTGTCTGTCGGTCTCTCTCTCTCTCCCCCTCAAAGGGAATAAAGCATTAATGGTGTTTCTGCCGACCCAGAGGAGGGCGGCATTCGGGGGCATTCAATCCATCCCCCGCCGGCCGCAAGAGCCCGAGCCCCAGAGGAGTCTCTCTCCTTAAAGGCGTCGTTGATCCTCGGAGAAAAGAAGAAAAGTCAGCGGGACAGGAAGGGAGGAGGAGGGCTGCGATTACCTTCTTCACGGACTTCTTCTCCCTGACTTCGTATCGGCCTCGCGTCAAATCGGAGAGCCACATCCCCGGGAACACGTACTGCCCAGAAGAACGGTCAACCGTGGAATTAGGATCGGGAAGCTCGATCGAAGATGGTATACCCGGAGAGAACATGCTCACGAACATGGCGGATTTCGATCGATCGAAGATGGTATACCTGGAGGGTCTTGTCAATGTTCTTGGCCCGCTTCTTGGGTCGCTGGGGGAGCTTGGAGCCCTTCATTGCCAGGAAATCGTCCTCCTTCTCCTTCCTCGAGAGGGAGAGGTATATCCTCGGCCACTCGAACAGATCCAAATTCAGCCTCTCTTTCGCGGCCGCCGCCGGTGGCGGCGCCGCAGCATCGCCGCCGTCTCGCTCGGCAGAGGGCGTGGAGCCCACGCCATCCGCCTCGTGGAAACCCGCCCGCAGGCCGTTGGCGGCGGCGCAGGCGGCGGCCATCTTGCTCCCCTTGGGCAGCGGCGGCGGCGGAGATCTGGTCTCCGCTCGAACCACCCCCCCGGATCGTTCCTCCCCGCTCCTGATCCAGGAAAAAAGGGAAAAAGGGGGAAGACGACGATGTTAGTGAACGGGAAGTGGTGACAGAGAAAGACGTGATATTACATTTATATTGAGAAATCTTGTCTACCCGGTCGCCTGTCATTGGAGAGAGAGAAGAGAGAGAAAGGCCCGTGGAGTCACAGTGGGGCACAGTTACCATCCAAGGTAAGGCGCGGGGGGGGCTTTAAAGCGGAGGCCACAAAAGCAGAACCAGAGGGAGGGGAAGGAGACGACAGGCTAGGGTTTCGGGTGGCAATTCGGACAGGATCCTACCCTCCTCCCTCTTTCCTCGCAGGGAGCCGACGAGGACCAGACGACCAGACGACGCAGAGCGACGAAGAAAAGGAAGACGAGATTATTATAAAATAAGATTCACCTTCAATCGAATTAGAAAGAAATGCGGGGGCGGAGGAAGGTATGAATGGCGGCGGATTAGGTCCAACCAGAGGGAGGAGACGATGGAGACAGAAGACCAGACAGCGGAGAAGAACATCAGCCGATGCAATAATCCACTCGGGCACGAGGAGCATAAAAAAGAAAAGAAAAACGGAAAAAAGGGGATCGCCGGTACGAACAGCGACTCCGCGGTTCTTCTATCTCCTCCGGCGAAGAAAAAACAAGTAAAAAAAATGGATCGAAACACAAGAGTATGCTGATGCGAGAGAGGAGCATTCGATCTTACGAAAAGGCAGAATTAGGAACAGAAACTTCACCGGAGAAACTCAGATCTGATATGGAGGAAGGAGAAATCAGATCGCAAACCTGTTGTTGGCAGCGGAGCCCAGAGAATCGCGTACGGACGGGCAGGCCCTCAGGTTGGCTCCTCGGCTGTAGCCTCCTCCGGCAGGGGGCATCGCAGCCGCCAGCTGCTTGTCGGAGGAGGGAACCGGCATCCTCCGCTGCATCTTGGCCACCTGTTTCGAGCGGGAGGAAGACGACGGCTCGTCCCCGGCCGCACGGCCCTCCGCCCTCGAGCCCCGGGACCTCTTGTTGTGGCCCCACTGAAGCACGATATCGCCGCCTCGGGTGTGGTTGCTCCCATTGATCTCATGATGGCTCAAAACCTTCGCCGCCGCGTGGTTGTCGCGGTGGTGGCCGGAGTCCGCCGGAGGAAGAGGGTAGCTGGGGAAATGATGTTCTTGGCCGGCGGAAGGGTTCGTCGTCGTCGTCGTCGCCGCCGCCGCCGCCGCCGCCGTCGCGGACGACGAGGACGACCTCACTCTCAGGGGCTTCGCCTCGCTGTAGCCAGAGAAATTGGGAATCCTGCCGTTTTCCGGGCGGTCGTCGTCCTTGGAGCTCTTCACGCTGGACTTCCTTCCATTGCTCAGAGGAAGACACTCCGGACTCACTCTCTGGTATCTGCAAACAGGTAGAAAAACGAAAAAGAAATCACAAACAGAGAAATCCATGACGAACATCGGCTGCTATTCTAGGAATCGGGAGAAATCTCAACACAGAAATCGTTCTCGAAATTACTCAAGAAGGAGGTGATCCCCCTCTGCGGTGGATCGAACGGCGAGAACCGGAGAAAGATAACCCCAATAAAGGAAGGAGAAGAAAATGGAAACGGGGTATGGAGAGAGAGAGAGAGAGAGAGATAGAGGAGGGTGGAGGGATGCATACCCTTCGCGGCTTCCCACTTCTCCGGTTGACGAAAGAAATGGGAAGAAAAAAGACATGACAGAAGGCGTCGAAGCTCTGAGATCCATTACGAAGATCAGAGCGACAATCATCAGGGAAAAAATTCGAATCAAATGCACAGAAGAACTGAATCCTCCGCCGGATCCCAACCAGATCTTGACGATAAACGAAAAGCGACCGGATTTTGTATCACGGAATGACGAAAAATACAGCGCGTTGCAGAGGATAGGGCATAGGAAAGAGAAGAACACGGAGATGTTAGTGCTCCTAGGTTTATCCTGGAATCTCAACTCCCTGCCCCTCGGACTCGCATAAACCGATCTCCCATCTGCGACCGAGGCAGAAGAACAAACTTCGCGGGAAGAAATTTATAACCGAGTTCGGCAAGAAGACGGGGTACGACAATGGTCGAGCCGCAACCAGGACGGAAAGCATAACGACGAGAGATTTTCGAAGGTCCTCTGGCTCCTCCGGTGATGAACAGACCGGAAACGATGATGATAAACACAGAACGATAGCCATCGGTGGAATCAGAAGAAAAGAGTGGTGGATGCAGTGGAAAAGTGCCCAAAAATACAGACCCAGTAAACTCTCGAGACTCGGCGAAGGGATCCACCGGAAAAACGGAAGCAAGAGGCATGGAGTGGCCTCCGACGAGAGATGATAGCCTGCAACTGATGAGAAACCCGTCTCCGGCGATCCAGGTCTGTGGGAGGTCAGAAGCCTCCGTGACCCAGCATCCGCGGGATGATCTTGAGCTGAGAAAAGGCCTCCTCGTTCCGGATTTGACAGGGAGTCGTCATTTCCCTGGGAAAGGACGGGAAACAACGGAGAGAAGAACGAGGGCGAGAATAACCAGCAAGAGAAACGCCGATCTACGAGAGAGGGGAGCCATAGGAAAACGATTCAAGCAAACAACGGTGAGTGGGCCGTCATCGAAGATAATGGAAATTTCCTGGGAAATCCCAACGAACCTCATCATGCCCGATATCAGGAGGATTCAGGCAGAAGCCCACGCCACAGCGGCGCTGAACATGGCATGGCTGTCTCTACAGAGCCTGTCATCAATCCCAGCACCTTCTCTTCGTCCGTCTTCCGGTTCCGTTTCTCCCCCAGCCAAAATGTTCTCAGCGCAGGAAGGAAAATGAGCAAGGCAATGAACAGCCAGAAGGCAGGAAAGGCCAGGGAAGAGGAGGAGGAGGAGGAGGAGGAGGAGGAGGAGGAGGAAGAGGGCAATGAAGAAGAGAGGTTCAGGGGGATGATACACGGCGGAGTGCGAGCAGGAGCGGAGCTGCAGGTACACGGGGTTGAAACAGATTAATATAGCGTTTTTCTCGAATGGCTTTCCCCACGATACCCCTCTGCCTCATACTTCCCGAATTCTCCGAAATACCCCCCCCGCAGCAGCATCTTGCCGGAGACGTCTCCGCAGGGGCGGCGCCGCCGTAGATCTTGGGCAGGGAAGGAAGAGAGGGGGTGCTACTCCGACCGATGGGCTCCCCCGCTGCCGGCGCCGCCGCCATCGTCTTCATCCTCTGGGTGGAACTCTGCGTTTCTAGGGTTCCCTTGGTAGCTTCGGGAAGACGCTCACCGGACATCGCACCCCGCTCCTCCTGCGATTATCTCCCTCTTTTTCTCTCCGCATATTTATATTCATATATAGAAGCTGTCTCCGAATCACTTCCTAATCCGGAATCGAATCCCGGATTTCAGAGGGGAGTTAAAGAGAGAGCTCTTTAACTGCCCCATCGCCGCTCTCTCAGCCGTCGTAATTATTTAACTAATCTCTCTCTCTCTCTCTCTCTCTCTCTCTCTCTCTCTCTCTCTTCTTCAGTGGATAACCGTCCGATGCGTGACCGCGTCATCAATCGGGTTCTGCGGTTTGATCTGTTTTGGGCCGCCCGAGGCCCGAAAAGACGGATGGCCCTCGATCGCATCGACGGAGCCACAGTCGCCGATCCGACGGCTTTTCCTTTTCCTTTTGGGCCCCACGGCCCCGTGCGACCAGTTTTCAAACTCTGATGGGCGAGGGTTTTTCTCATAAACACCCTCGATTCCCCGGAAAATTTATATTTCCTAGGATCATTGATCGGACGGCTGATGGCCGGTCAGATGTGATCATGGTGGACCCTTCCGCTCGCGGGCAGACCGCCGCTACCGGACAAACCTCCTGCCGCCGGTCATGCGGAGGACCACACGCCTCTCTGTGTCCCCTAGAGAGATAGGATACGGATCGCGTGAGCGGCACTCACGGTCCGTATCAAATGCACCTAGGCGCTACACTCGGCTGAAACAAAAAGAAACCAAGGGAGTCGCTCTCTCATCTTCAAGTAGGAGGGAGCACGTTTGTCGTTATGCTCGGCTGGGAAGAGCGCAGCCACTTCGGTGCAGAGTGAAACGTGCTAGAGGGAATCAGATGCCCCGCCGTCGTCGTTGGCGCGACGCACCGAGAGCGTGGACGCTACGCATCGTACGCGCCATGATGGTTGCCGCCCATCGCGTGTGACCGTTGCCGGGTTGGGTTCCACCCATGGTGACCGAGGTACGCACTGATACGCATCCGTCCAACGATAGCGGGGACGGTCTAGCGGCCATGGGCCCCACCATGGCAGCCCACTCATGACCATTAATAGTAATAATGAGCTGGGACGGTGACGATTATCGGCAAATAATTCCCCCCTCCAACGCGTCGTTCTCTCCTTCAATAATGGGCCTCCAATTTGGTCCAACATATGCGCAATACCGGCCCAATAAAGGTTCAAATTTTTACACCCGAAAAAGTCTGAAAAATTCCAACCCGTTGACTCTACAAGTTGTCAACTCCTCTGGTTGTCAATCAACAGGGCATCGATGTTCCGTTTGCCGTCGGGGCCCTTCCGGTACCACGAGGAGACGTAATCTCCATACACGACGCCGCGGTACCGCGCCGGAGAGCCGCCGCCGCCGGCGACGAGCGGCGCCGCCGGCAATATCTCCACGCTCTTGGAAGGATCGTAGAAGGCGGCGACGGAGAGCCGCGGTCGGTCCGGGTTGACCACCGCGCGATGGACGGAGCTCCTGTACTCGCCGTTCGTTATAATCTGCGAAGAAGGAGAATATCCCACGGCAGTCAGAGAGAAAAGCATCCCATCGCCGGCGAGATCTCAGAGGATTGAATGCATCAATGGTGATGAAGGGAAAGCCAACCTCTGTTTGGTCAGCCAGGATGACGATGACGGCGCCGGGAAGAGGAACAATGGGGATCCAAAGCCCGTCCTTGAGAACCTCAAGGCCGCCAACGTCGTCCTGGATCAGGAGCGTGATGGCTCCCATGTCGGAGTGAGATTGAAGGCCGAGGGCGAGCTCCGGTTGAGGGCACGGAGGGTAGAAGCTGACTGTAATGTTCTGGTAGACCTCTCCGATCGCCTCCTCGATGAAGGAAGGAGCCAAGCTCAGGCTCTCAGAGGCCATCCGCAGGAGCTTCTGCGCGAGCTCCCTCATGGCGTCGCTGTACTCCGCCACCACTTCCCTGCGACATTTTTCCGAGACACAAAAATCCGTTCCCCGGCCGAATGCCATCACGATCAAGAACAACGAGCAGGAAGAAAATTCAATCCACCAGGAAGAACAGAACAGAACAGCACAGCCTTCTTCATTCCATCATCGATGATCGACAGAAAGGGGAAAGAATCGGCAGCGCCAAACGTACGAGCAGGTAAGCCCTAAATCTGCAGAATCGATGGATGGATGGAAGATCGACGATAACCTAACCTGTAATCCCCCAAGTCTGGCCACCGGCTAGGGTTCCGCCGTGACAGAGGGAGGGTGTGGTGGTCGAAGTAGTCCCGCCAATCGAGCACGCTGTCGTCCTTGGAGAGCATCCGACTCCCGTAGCCCTCCGAGGCCGGCGATCTGGAATCGCAGGAGTACGCCCGCTTCTCATCTTGGGGAAGATCGAAGAAGCGCCGCCCCGCGGCGATCATCCGCTCGAGCAGATCGCGAGGGATTCCATGATTCACGATCTGGAAGGCGCCCCACTCCCCACACGCCCTCTGAATCTCCCTCCTCACATCCTCGAAGCTCGCCGGATCGAACAGGAACAGATCCACCACGGGAACCCCCTCCCCGGGCGCCGGCAGGGACTCGTTCATCCGCCGCCCCGCCGGGCGAGCCTCCGGTGGCTGAATGTATTCCCTGGGCAGCTGCTTCAGACCCGCTTCCGCTATGCTCTGCACCCTCTGTGGCGGCGCTGTCTTGGCTTCCATCTCCACAGAGATAGAGACAGAGAGACAGAGAGATCGGGGGCTAGGTGGGGAGATTAGCATCCTCCACTCTGCGGGGAAGATCCTGCCTATTATCCTTCTATTATATCTAATTATTACTATAATATCGCAAATCTTGAGCATGGTTTTCCTCCAAAGTCGCCAAGAAAGAAGCTTCATCACATGCCAGGAGAGACAGACCAGAACCAATTGGGTAAAATTCATTCCAAGTCCAGACGAACGTCCCTCGAGAAAAAAGGTCCCTTTTTTTTGCAAAAAAAAAGAAAAGAAAAGAGCCTCGGCAACATGGTCAACGGCGATTACCCACTGGATCAAACTTGAGAGGACACAATTTCTCACAGAATCAGTCAACGTCATGGCCCTCGAATCTTACATCATAAGGTTATTTTTGTCGGAAATCGAGGGAAAATGACGGCCAAATTGGGGCTGAAGAAGAAGAACAAGAAACACCAGCTAAAATGAATGGTCCCACAGACATTACAAAAGCCACGGGGGGCTGTGAAAAAAAAAACCGAATGAATGAAAAAAGTCAACGGATGCTCGCACCTCGACCCTCCCTCCAACAGGCGGTTGGAATCTCCTCTCTCTCTCAGAAGAATGAAACGCCTTCTAGTGAACCAGATCCTGGAAGTACTCAGAGGGTATTGAAGCCGGGCAGTACTTCTTCGCCACAAACTTGTACTGGACGAACCCAGCAGGGTCAATCAGATTGAGAAGTCAGGAGTTAAAGGGAAGATATTCGCGTTGACTTTTTACCTTATGTTGACTGTACTTCTCCCTAATCGCAGGCAAGCTGCTGGAACCGCTGTTGCAGAAGAGCCGATGTAGATCCTTCACGCAGACACACAACGCCGAGGGATGATACTGGGTGTAATGTCTCAGCGTAGCATTCTGCATGATTATAATTACTTATTTATTTAATTAATCAACCAACTGGTCAACTGATTAATGTGTCAACGTACCCATGGTCTTTTAGTGGGCAACAGCATGAATTTCGCCAGAAAAATCGCCGAAGCAGCGATAATCGATGGAGAGTAACTGAGGAAACTGTACTCGAGAAGGGATAGCTCGGCAACGTAGTTAGCCAGGAACTCCAGATGCAATGGGGGAACCTGCAGAATGCATTCTATATAAGCATCATGACGAAGGGAAGGGAAGGAAAGGAGCACGCAGGTTTGGAGGAGAGACATACATCCTCAGAGTGCTGAGCAGCTCTGACGAACCTCCTGTGAGGGAGGTAACCACCAAAGCTTAGGATTCAGAGACATGGTTGAACAAAACGATGGAGGAAAGCTCGCATAAGATTAATTACCTCAAGAAACATTTCACTGTCGGCGCTGTCACCTCAAATTTCAAATATCTCAGGACCGTGGCTTCCATATCCAATACCTGGATGAACTCCTCTAAGCGAAAATTCAAGGAAAAAAAAAAGAAAACAGAAAAGGGATTGTCCTCCATAAATTACTACACTCACCTCCTCTTTAACATAGGTATTGTCAGTTATATAGCAAAATTCTTCCACTTGCGGGGCACAGATCTCCTCATATTTGCTGAAAAAAACCAAAATCGTTGGTCATATTTATCTTAGGAAAATGTACAGAGCGAGGAAGAATCGCCACTCAGAACTATTTTCACTTACGCGGCAATCAGCATAGAAGCCACTCCGAGCAACTGTAGCTGTTGTCTGTTCATCTCATTACCAGAAAGATAGCGGTCAATGTAGTTAACAGTCAAGTATAATGTGTCCGGTACAAGCCTATATTCTTCAGAAACCTGCATAGGAGAAACAATTGATATGCTAGAAGAGAAAAAAAGGATATAGTTAAGTAGAAGAAGCAGTATGCACCTCCACAAGCCAATCAACTAAGATCGCACGCATGCTAGGATTTATGTCCTTTTGAAGCACCTCCATGAAATTTGTCGATGGCCTTCTTTTAGTCTGTCATAGGCCACAAAAATATCAAAAACAGAACATGCCCCAAAGATGTCGGTGAAAAAAATTCATTTAAAGAGAAATAATTGGGAAATTTTTCAATAAGGGAACTTGTTAATAATAAACGAGCAGCTATTTTATTTTTATTTTTTATTTGAAACTGAATTTTCCCATCGTGCTACTTTTTGCCTCTGACTTTAGATCTATAGGGACAAGTAGAACTATGCATGCCCTCCTATGCTCCATCATCAGGTCTTAAAATGGTCGAGCCTTTGATTTAGAAGATCTGAAAATATTTTTCATGACTTCTAAGTGAAGAGAGTTTCTTTTCTGTTAGTGTTCATAGAGAATTGAGAAAGCTTCACTATGTCACTCTCATGCATTCTAATCGACCAGATGGGCTTAAACAACAAAACAAAATCGTCCAATGACTATAACAAAAAAAAAAATAAGAAAAATTAAATCCGAATCAGAGAAAGCATAGGCAGTGGAACATTATAGCATCTCCAGATAATCGGAAAAAATATGTCACCTCAGCTATGCGTAGATGGTTGTAAATGTCACAAGCTAGTGATGCGCAGAATTGTGGATCACCATAATTAGTATCAACATCAACAACGTCAAGTTTTTCCATGCCCAGTATAACATCCTTCTTCCATTTACGTCCTGAAGAGATTTGGCGACATCAAAAAGAACAATAAATTGAAAATTTTCTGGAGTATTTATGTTTAGGTGAAACTGACAAATAAACTGCCTCGGATTGATTGCTACAAAGATTCTTAATGCAAAATGAGGTATCTGACGAAAAAAATCAAACCTGCACTGTCCGAATGCTCGGAGATGCAGAGGTTTTCAGATGCCCGGCTCCCCAAAGCGGTCACTGATGAGGAATCTAAACTATCTAGGTACTCAATATCAGGACTTTTCATAGAATCGCAGGTTGACAAAGTTTCGTCAACAGAAACAGAACATCCAGCTGACTGAGGTGGTGACAGCACATTATTGCAGCGAGCAAGATGTCCAAGAACACCACTACTAGGAGCAGCACTGACCGGGGGCATTCTCTCTTTCTGAGGAATACCAATAGAAGGCTTCACCAACGACGACGGAACCAGAGGAATTTTCTGGACGCCTGCATCAGCAACTCCTCTAGCTGGTTTCATTGTAAAGGATCCGACTGTATTTGGAGCATGTCCTTTCTGAGTAGACAGATTGAAAAAACATTCAGAATTAAGTAAAATTGACGATAAATTATTGAGAAAAAAAATCGGAAAAGTACCCATGAATAGGCCAAAGTCAATTATATAGAATGGACGTGAGTAAGCAATGCGTCGGTATGATCCCAAAGGAATACATTTTCGTTATGAACTTTTTTTTATATCTAAGTGATGCAAATCCTGAGTTGATTCCAGTGAAGTGATGAAAAACTCAAGACACGTGGACCAAAATCACCATTTTTCATCAAGCCTCCTAGTACCTAGCATGGACGACGTCTCCCTAGATACTAATGATTCCCAGGAATCTACGATAAGAAAAAAAGGATGATTAACGAATAAACGAGGGAAAGAGTGAGGTGGAGATAGAGCTCCTCTTGTGTAGCGATTCCGAATCTAAAAAATGTTTGACACGTGAACAAAACCAAGGTAATTATCCAGAAACCCAAGAGGCAGTTGACCTCTAAGATACATGATTACATGCGTGCATTAACGGCGACGAGGAAATCAATTAAACGGTGGACAACCAGAAAATTTTCTGTAAAAACTTTTAACGACATGCATTTTTACCTTCGTGGCCGACGGACGCGCAGAGTTACTCCCCGCGTTGCTCTGGTTCGTCAGGTTCCTGAGAGCAACCCGCTTCTTCGCTTGCTGTTGCGATGTCTGCGCTACCTTCCCGACGTTCTCCGCCGCAGGCCTCTTTGCCAGAGACGAAGACGACGGAGGAGGAACCGATGAGCCGAAAGATGACCGCCTGGAGACGCCAGCCATTGCTGCTCCTGAGATCTCCAACCCCTCTAAACCCCTCCCTTCTCTCTGTCGTCCTGTCGATGAACCGAGGGCTCCCTGGGCGGAGAAAACTCCCGAAACCCTAAACAGAACCCCGGCTCCTTAGGTTTCCGCCGAGGCTCCCTTCTTTCGGCATCGCCGGGCCAAACCTCAGGTTCCCTATCCGACGACTTGCTTCCCCCCACCTCCCGGTCGCCGCCTTTCTTTTTCTGGGCAAGATCGGGAGGAAGGGAGGAGGGAAATGAAGGGGAAGGGAGACGAAATTCGCGGAGAGGAAGCGACTCACTGGAGATCAGTAGCTCCCTTCCTCCATGGATGAACGAGGACGGCAGCATGGAGAGTCGGGAGCCCCTCGTTTCTTTAATTAGTTTATAAAAAATCAGCTTCTTGCGAGGGAGTCTGGGAGATTTGAATCCCAGCAAGATCCCCACCGTCCATCAAGGCGATCATCCCAGAGCGCCTAACCGCTGGAGAGCAGGGCCCCGCTCATTTTGAATCCCCCCACCCCCAAACGGAATCCCGTCACCCCCGGGGGTGACAACAACCGCTCCCTCGCCAGCAGGTGAGGTCCCGGAGGGCGGTGAGCGTTTTCAGGCATCTTTCGAATTCAAAAACTCGGATCCAATGGTGGGGTCCGCCTACCCTCGTCCCGCCGAGCCGACGTGTCCGTCCGAGTCAGCCGCGGCACGAGAAAACCGGCACGTGGTGCCTGAAAGCCAGCCTCGATGCCCCTCATAACAAGCATTTTTTCTTTACCAATTAGGATTTTTTAAAACAAATTAAAATATTTCTTCGAATCAGAAGCAGGTTGGCGGCTTAATGGGCTTAACTGGGCCAAAGCGGATCTTTAATCCCTCTGATTTCGTGAGGCCCATTGCGGAGAAATGCCGTAAACTGGGCCGCCGAAGTAGATGCCCCGCGTTGCCCGCCGGGCACATTTAGTGACACGGCCCGCGCCTCCGAGCCGCGGAAGCCGTGAATGCATTTAACGCCGCCACGCTGGCTGCCTAGCTGTCAAGCTCCTACAGAGAGACCGCAGCGTGAATAAAAAATCAGCGACGATAACGATAAAGCGGTAGCGGCCCGCAGCGTCCGCCACGCGTTTTTTCACTTATTCGTTTCTCTCTCCTCCTTATCTCTTTCCTTTCTTTCTTTTCTCCTTAAATTTTGTGCTGTTACAACAACTGGTGGGCCCCAGATGATAGCAGCCCCCCAACTATCACCCCAAAAAAAAAAAAAAAAAAAAAAAGGAAGGGAGAAAACCGAGAGCATGTGCTCTACCCGCCATTCCCACCGAGGACATGGACAGCCACCGTCATCCCCAGCTTGGGAAGAAAGGAGGGGGGAAAAAATACACGTGGGCCGGGCCGCTGTTATGTAAAAAGAAGCCCGCCGTCGGCAGCTCAGGAGTATACCCACCAAAAAAGAATGTCAACCCTTCAAGTGCGGCAGCTCGGCGTTTGACCGAGAAGAGGAGCTTCGCGGTTCTTCCCGGCCATGAGAGCAGGCTAATGTGCTCTACGAGGTCAACTCCGGTGAATCGGATCATTCCTTCACCTCGACGCCCATCTGGGGCTCGCCCGCGCTCTTCGCCGGCCCCAGTTCGACGGCCTTGAGTCCCGCAATCAGGGGGTCCAGCTCGCCCGCCTTTCCAACCGGCGCGGCGGCGTCACTCGATTTCACCTGCAAGCGTTTGAGCTGCTCAGAAGAAAGGGTCGTGATATCTTGACGATCACTGGGTCTGCTGGATAGAGATGCTCACCGAGAAGCCCTCCAGATGGGGCGCGTGGGCCTTTGACCTCTTGCTCTGCATCGCCTTCTGCCGGTTATCATAAAAGCTGAAGTCGTCCAGTATAGAAGTCTTGGAAGAGAAGGCCTTGAAGATCCCCAAAACCTCCATTCCTTGCGAGAATTTCACCTGAAACAAGCAGGTGATCGATCAGAAAGAAGAACCCGTCACAGCAGCTCTTTACAGAAATGCCCTTTGACTTTTGCGAGAGATAGAAAGAGAAAACAGAGTGATTCGAACCTCTTGTGTGTCTCTACTGTTGGTCACAGGCTTATTGTCATTGTTCTCGAGTATGATATGACGAAACTGGGAATTCGGAACGTCCTTTATTATGTGCCACTTGACAGGGAAAAACCCATTCCATTTGTCCTGCTGCCAAAAATCCATGTTTTTGTTGAAATTAACTCGACCGATCATCTCAGCGACCCCGCAGAACTGGCCACTTGCGTTGACCTGTTCCGCAGCAGGGAAACACACAACTCAGAATACTCAGCATAATTGACCAGAAAAAAACATACGAAACATAATTGGACATGTATTAAAGATAATTGTTGCTTTGCTCTGCGCACGTGGACATGTGATATTGATTTTCTCTCTCTAAGGTGAGTACTAAAGACGGAAATACATGCATACATACCGAAAAGAATAAGAAGACGGGGCATTTGCTGCCTTTCTCCTCCATTTTGGCCTGTGAAATCTGAAATGCATTGTCAAGCCTCTGGTTTCCGTTAGGAGTGCTCGCCCAAACATTGTATTTAATGCTTTTATGAATGTCATCCTCGCTGTATGACTTGATGACGAAGAACAGCGCGTGTTCATATTTAGTCGGAAAATCTTCAAGGTTGTAATCCTCCCGCTTTATATCTATGTCAGGCGAAATGGTATTTTGACCATTGCAATCATCGGCACTGAAAACTCCAGCTGCATCAGAGCCTGATTCCGAGGCTGACTTATGACTGCTTGTCCTGGGACCACGATTCTGCTCATTAAGGAAGTCAATATCACCAACACCGAGCTTGTTTCGGGTCTTCAGTTTGTCGCTGCCAACCCAACTCTGCCCATTTTCTTTAACACTAAATCCGCTATTTGTGTAAGGAACACCACTCTTCACTTGGTTATGATACGGAGGAAATTTTGTCACAGGAATGTAGCCCTTGGATACTACAGATGCAACCTGAAATAGTAACATCGAATAACATATATTAGGGAAATATAGTGCAGTCTTAGCTATGGGAAGACATGAATTGACGAGTGTGGAGAAACAAAGAGATTTAAGCCCAGATGACCTTGTTCCCAGCCTTTGGTGTTTGACCGTGTATAGCAGAGCCTGGCGACACTGCCCTTCCTGGGGAAGTCCCAGACTTTGAAGGTACCGGGACCCTGGTAGGAGAGTAAGCTTGCGACAAGCCACCTCTCAATGCTGGAATTGGCGAATCTCCCACACCATGTCCATTAGTTCCATCACCGTATATGTAGGATGTGTCCCATGTATATTCAGGAACAAGATCGGGCCCGTAAGCAGCTGAAGGAGAGAAACACCCTGGGGAAAGGACAGGATGGGGGAACATGGAGCCAGCATAGTACCCTTGTTGACCCAGGTATTGTCCATCAGTGCTTATATAATCTCCAGGCAAGAACGGACTGTAAGTGCCAAAAGTAGATTGAAATCCGGGTTTATAATACAGTACTGATGAGTTATCAGTTGGAAATGCCTGAAAATAAAGAGGAAAATAAAAGTGATTCTCCCTTCGCAATGAAATCTGCAGATATAGGATTGGTAACAAAAACTAAGCTTCTAAGATTTTAGAAGCATGAAATACGCAGTAACGCGGAACAACGTTACTTGAAAAATCTAATTATACATACGAAAACAACAGATATTTTTTTCACAAAATAAGCAAGGGAGGTCACCTAAAAATAAAAATCAACAAGATAAAAAACATATGGTCACCTTTTAAAAAAAGAAAAAATAATAATTTGGACACCAATAACAACAACTCTAAAATTGACGAAATTTTTCTTCCCCTGTAGAACAGAAAGCAAAAGATCCAATAGATATCCTTACCAGGGATGGCTCAAGAGAAGAAACTAAACAAGAATTACGCGTAATTTATAATGAAAAAGAACTTACTGGTTGCTGGAACTCCAATCCATCGCTCCCCACAACATAACTTTGGTCATCCCGCTCAGCGAAGGAAACTACAAATAACGTCGCATTGATATCATCATGCGGTGAGTAAGAATAAATCTTCTCCAAAAAATCTTCAAATCTAGACGACCAATGGAATATACAAACCTGGGTAATAATAGCCGTAATAATTCATGGGATAATATGACAAACCCTTCACGCTGCTTGTCGCATCCCCAGATGAAACACAAGAAGCAGCATCAGAGAGAGTCCCGTCCTTTACAGGAGCCTAGGAAAAACGAGAGCCAGAAAAGATAAATAAGTAAAAAATCAGTTACATAAAACATGCTTATGATGAACAATTGTACACTACGAAAACATAAAGTGGCGGCATTCGACGATTGTAATCGATGCACATAAATAAATGAGACAGAGCCACATTGCATTTACCACCAATACTTCAGAAGACGTATTTATTTTCAACTTCTTCTTCGCTTCCTCAACAGCTGAGTAAAATCCAGTCAAGGTAGACAATGTTGAGGGTAAATTAAAAGTTATCTTATTAAGATCCGCTGAGCAACTATTTAATTGTGCCTAGCTGATATGAAGCATGCACGCAGATTAAAAAAAGTATATGCAACCCCTCAACCAACCACCGACACAGATCTGAAAAAAAAAGGAGAGCGTCTAACCAGAAGAACACAGGAAAATTGAAAAATGACGAAGGAAAACAGATAGTGACTTGCGACGGCGAGACACCTAATAGAAGGATCGTGGATCTCAATAATCGATAAAATTGAAAGGGAAGTACACTGTAAGAGAGAACCAACAGGCACGGAAGGCGAGAATTTTACACGTGAGATCTCCAATCCTCGGGAGACCACATCAATTCACCTTAAACGGAGTGGGATATTAGAGCGTGCGTATCGACGAACTCCGGGAAGAGCTCAGGCAAAAACTAGACCAGCGAACACGTATCTAAATGCATTACTGAAAAGCGCTCCTGAGGTCAGCAAGAATTTTTCCGAAAGCTTCCAACAAAATAAAAGGACGCTGCAGAACGTATTGGAAAGAGTGAAAAAAACAAAAAGAATCCACATGAGAGACCATGTCGCGAAGCACAAAATTAGAAACGTGGTTGTGCTTCAAGAGAGACGAAGCGAAATACACATTAAAAATTCGTCGCAATCACAAATTACCGGACTGGGAGCGTGGATCAAGGAGATCAGGACAGGGAACGAGCACAGACATGAATGAAAACACAGTAGAAAGGATACGTTTCTCCGGGTTTCTTTCAGTGGCCATGAGATCACACCAGTGCTCTCCGCAGAAGAACCCCAGGTTGTCCTCCAGTTCGGGGGCTCGGGCCAAACCCTAAGCGTAGCTGCGACAGCTACCCTGAAACTATACAACCGAGGCAGCAGCGAGGATAACACGATCACAGCCGACGCCGGGAGACCGCCACCCGCGGGGACGAGTGCGAAGACCGGAGGCGATCAGAGAATAACAGATAAATGGCCGACGAGCAAGAAGGAAGCAACGGAAGAAGGGAAGAGGAAAGGCTTCTGAGGGGAATAAGACGTCGAGACCAGCGTGGGAAAGTCAAAGCAACGGTGTCAGGCGATCCACGTCGATCCCCAGTTGGATCCCACGGTCATTAGCCACGCTCCGACGGCTCGGTTTCCCGGGAGGATCCTATCACGTCACGTTCCTCCGGCTCGGTGGGCCCTACTCCTCCTTCCGCAGGCCAAAAATCTAGAAAAGTCCCGTTCCGGTGCCTCGTGGAAATATTCAGCGTAAACGGTGTCCTTCCCCTGCGACCCAAAGCGGCCGAGTCGTGAGCGTGACCCGCCTCAATCCCTCACGGACATCTCACCCGCCGGCTCGGTGCCCGACCGAGTCGGGGACTCGAGGGGCCACCGAGTGGATCAGGTTCGTTTTCGTCCCTCTGGCGCCAAATCGGCGTATTTCGTCATTGATGACGACACTCTCAAGCCGCCGGAGAATCAACGCCACTTTTATGGCGGTTGCTTCCGTGTCCCGCGGGATAGTCTAAGCCCTGCGGGGACCACCGAGTCGACCCGCGCAACACCCCCCACTCGTCTCCGGATTACTTCGTCCCCAAGCTTCCGAGTCAAAGCGATACGGGGCCCACGCGGGACTTGGCGGTCCGCCTCGCCGTTGATGGGCCGACGTGGGCTACTTCCCACGCCCTGAGGTTCTGGATCCTTCTCTGAAAGTCGGCGCCACATCCGCCATCGTGCAGTGGAGAAGCCCCCATCGTGTGGCCAGGTCCACCACACGGGAGGTACCGATTCGGGAATTCCCTGCCACGTCATCCCCGTCATTAATCTAATTGACAGGGATTTTATACTCCACCCGTCAGCCCGAGAATATATTTATTGAATAATTATTAATGCGTAAACGGGACGACGACGACGAGCCGGAGGTGGAATAATTGGTGGTGCGGCCCGGCCCGGTGGGGCCCGGAGATCAGGATCCCCTGATCGAGCCACATCGAGCCTAGCAAAGAAAACGTCGTACGACTCTTCGTGGCCTATTCCGCGCATGAGGGGAGAGAGAGAGAGAGAATGGGGCGATGACTAGACGTCTGTAATTGGGCCGTCTGTAAACCTAGTTAGGCTGATAATGGGCTCATATATGAGGCCCATTTTGGGAAATAATTGTTGGTGAAACGGGCCATCCATGCACTAATGGGCCTGTCCAGTTAAAACTGGCCCAATAGTTTATCCCTCCTGTTCCGTGCACGTGACGAGTGCCCCGGTTGTTCGCGATTACTCCAGAAGCGACAGTTCTAAATACCACGCCCTTTCGGACGATTACGGGTCGTTAGCGGGGCGTGGGCAGATTTTGGGAAGAGTCTGACGTGGGGGGACACGACAGCATCACAGCGAGGCCACGTGGGGGATGTCCCAATAAGAGTCAAGGGATGGATGGGGGTTTGCTGTGGGTCCCGCTGACAGCTGCCAAGCCCCACCTCACCCCCACACCGCCTCTTCTCTTGGAAGGAATGACTGTTTTAACCCTTTAATGGACTGCGGGCCATGGAAAACTCGGGTCCGCTACCGGGTCGGATCCCCCGCAGCTGTGGGGAGGTGGCCTTTGCGAGGACAGGGGGATGACAGGGTGGTTTGGGTGGCACGTTCTGATATATTTTCCTGACGGGGACCCGGGTAGCTGCCAAGACAACCCCCTCAAGCTTGGTTTAGGCAGACAGTTGGCGGAGAGGGCTTATATTGCATCGGACGTGAGAGAGAGAGAGAGAGATAAGAGAGCGAAAGAGACAGGGAGGAGAGGAGAGAGAACTAGAAGAGAGCGCGGGGGCTTGCCCGCATCCCTGTCTTCCTGCCTCGTATGTACCCCTCTCTCTCTCTCTCTCTCTCTCTCTCTCTCTCTCTCTCTCTCTCTCTCTTCCCCTTTTCCTCTCGGCTGTCGATAGAAGGGCGTAGACGGGTCTGGATTTTGGCTGAACCAGTGTTCTAAGGATTTGAAGGGATTTCTTTCTGGTGCAGAGGGTCGGACGGAGGAGAGGAGATGGGTTACTGGAAGTCGAAGTTGCTCCCGAAGATCAAGAAGGTCTTCGACAAGGGCAGCTCAAAGAAGGCTGCCGCTGCCGAGGCCACCAAGGCCTTTGACGACTCCAAGGTGTGGATCTTCTTGTCTGCAAAAGTGGTAACTTTTCTCTGTTTTCTAGTGGTTTCTTCTCACCTCCTCTGCTGTGCAGGAAGAGATAACCAAGGAATATGACGAGAAGAAGACCGAGCTGGAGCCCAAAGTGGTCGAGATCTACGGAACCACCCCGACCGAGATCAAGGTCCGCTGCCTCTCTCTCTCTCTCTCTCTCTCTCTCTACAGACACCACTCTACTTCCTACTCTGGTTCGATCTGTAGAGGAACAGGAGCATGGGCGGATTAATTAACGAAAAGTATGGTAGTATGCCTATGTATTAAGATTTGTTTCCCTTCGTTTCCCCGCAGACTCTGGTGAAGGAGCCTACGGAGGCCGGGGTGAAGAAGCACGCGGCAGGCGTCAACAAGTTCCTGGAGGAGCTGGTTAAAATAGGTAAGAATTGAAAGTGCGATGATCGGAATGGGTTTTTATCCTGTTAACGTTTTCCGGCGATGGACGTTGTAATCTGCAGAGTTCCCCGGGGCCAAGGCTGTCAGTGAGGCTTCCACCAAGTTCGGGCCCACCCTCGTCACCGGACCCGTCTTCTTCGTGTTCGAGAAGGCTGCTGTCTTCCTCCCTGCGGAGGAGCCCAAGACGGCGGAACCAGAGGCCGCCGCCGCCACCACCACAGAAGAAGCGCCCGCAGCACCGGCGGAGGAGGGCACCAGCAAGGATAAAGAGGTGGTGGTGGTGTCTACGGAAGAGGAGAAGAAGGTGGAAGCCGAGACTCCTGCACCTCCAGAGGTTCCTCCCGTCGTCGAGGAGAAGGTCGCCGCCGCTCCGGCAGCGGCCCCAGAGCCGGCGAAGCCGACCGAGGGAGCGGCATGATCGCCCCAAGGACTGTACAAGTATCCCCGTGTCCCTTGATTTGCCATTCTTTCTCTCTCCTCTGTGTATTTTGAGTCTCACCTTCTCGTCCGGGTCCCTGTGAAAGAAATATGTATTTATGACGCCGCCGTCGCCGTCGCCATCGTGTTTTTCCATTGGTTTTCTTCACCCCTATTATTTCTCCCCCTCCCCCTCCTCACATGTAATGAATTGTCCCATATCAGTTCTTTGGAATTTGAACATAAAGCATGCTGTATAGGGCGCTGTTCCCCCCCTCCCTCTCTCCCCCCCCGCCCGGCATGTGCATGCAGTGGCAACTAAGCTCGACGGAGAGAGGAGCTTTAATGGCGACTCTGAATCTGATATCTCTCCGTTAAAACTTGGAACCCCCTACTCCTGGTTCAGTTCCTTGGATGGGCCAGAGCGGGCATTAATGTTGACCCGCATAGGCGCCATGGCAGCCACCCAACACATGGGGTCTCAGTCACGTCAAGGCCCCCGAGGGCTTCGCCAAGTGGGCAGCCGTCCCCATCCCCGGCGAGAAGACAACGCCTATCCCCTGCGAGAAGACAACCCCCTCGGTCTCGGCAATAATAGAGTCCCCCCTCCCCCCCGCCTCCCCCAGGCTGTCGGAGAGCAAACTAGCCCGAGAACATGAGGGGGAAGGCTGGCTGGGCGAGAAGGGCGCTCGGAGAATCGAGCTCGCGATGCAGATATCAAACCAAGAAGACGACGCAAGCAATGGCGGGCGAGGATGCCGTCTCCGAGCGGCCGACTCCCTCGCTCCTTTTTCGGAGAGCGACCAGGTCATAAAGGATTTTTGAGCGAGAAGCTACGATATCCTGTCGTTGTTTCATAATCTTCATCCGTAGAGAGCTCGACGTAGAAGGCCGCCGCTCAGTTCCTCTGAGTCGTCATATCAGGATATCCCCAGAGAATCGAGACCAGCTGAAACTCGTCTCAGCCCCGGGGAGGAAGATGCCGAGCGGTGAGAGCTCTCCCACCGGGGATGAAAGCGGTAACCTAATCATCTCCCTCGGCGTTGGTCAGCAACGATACCCGCAAGTCTGACTCATAAATGAATTAAAAAACAGATTTTTATTAATAATTTCGTCACTAAACTTGGAGAACCGATTCTTTCTACAAAGGGAAGCATCGCTTTTGAGAAATATATCCAATTTCGTGTAATAAATAGTATCATCTCAACCTGCCCAATCCTACTTTCTCTCAGGAGGCCGATGTCTACTTTCTCTCTCATTCCTATCCCCTTCTCTCTCTGTAAGTCTCACCTACAGAGCGTCGTCGTCGTCGTAATGAGTCTATTTTTCCAAGCTTCCTCTCTTAAAAGACCGATCAAATATAGTATAGACCGTGGAAGTCAAAAGCTTCCATACGACACTCTTATAGGAAATATTCTACTCTAATTTTGGACCATATGCCATTAAGACGAGCATTCAGAGCTGCCCGCGAGGCCTTAAGAAAGAGAAGATCTTTAGGACTTCGGGCGTCCCCGCTGGTCGGAAACGACAAGCCCGGCCTCGATATATTCCCCTCATGGAGTCATGTTGTCCTCACGGCGGCGACGACGTAGACGACTACGGGTCCAGCGTGGCAGCTGGAGTAGCTGGCCGGGAGGAGACGATACCCGGTCAAAGGAATCAACGGAATCCAGCTAATCACCGGTGTCTTCGTGGATTCGGACCCACCGTTGGACGGTGCAAGACGAAACCCTCTTCAATGTCCCCTTGACCTGCGGGACGACGGACATTCGGCATTAACTTGAGAAATCAAATCCACGACATTTCCCGGTGATTAGCTAAGTATGTTTTATATGATTCATAGTTTTAAATCATATGGTACTCCAAAATATGCGAATTCGTATTCCCACCGGTGTTTGTGAGCCAGGGCAAACCCGGAGACCCCTCTCTCTCTCTCTCTCTCTCTCTCTACGTCGAAGAGGGTCGGGGGAGGGCCGATAAGTGGATATTTGTGGGGCTTTTGGTAATTGTCCACTTCGCCGGAAGACTCGTCGAAGTCAGCGGGGCGCTGGTATATATCCTTTGGGGGCGTGGAGGACGCGAAAGGGAGCGGCGTGGCCGCTCTACGAGGCGACGACGTGGGAGGGGGATTCAAGGTTATCCTTAGTTGATGCCCCAGATTGAGAGACAGCGACGTAGGGACAGACGAACCTCTCTCTCTCTCTCTCTCTCTCTCTCTCTCTCCCTCGCTCGCTCGCTCGCTCTTCTTATGAAACATCAACTTCGCGGGGTCTGCTCGAGGGGAAGTTCTTTACTTCACGGAAGGGAGCTTGTTGCGTCTAGTGAGAGACCAGGGAGGGGTAGTTGAGTCTGCCTTAGAAGCTTCTAGGATAGGATTAGGATGAACCCCTCTCTGTTTCTTGGTGAAGGGTGGAGACCCATGGGGTCGAATTCAGCTGGCCCCTTCGGCACCCCGTCGATAATATCTTAAGCGAATCTTGACCTGATGGGCGAAAGTCAGCCTACCCAAAGCACGGGGCTTGGGGTTACTTACGCCATGGGGACGTCAAAGGCAGAGTCTTTTATCCCTTCTTCACTATTATACCTATATGCTTTACCCCACGTTGAATCCCCAAAAGGTTCCTTGGTCACCAACCCAGACGTCCACTCAGCGAGAGAGAGAGAGAGAGAGAGAGAGAGAGAGAGGGGCGGCAGAAGAGAAAACAAGCGAACGAGGACACTATTATTCTCTCTCCTGTCTCTCGATTTGACAATAATACATTAAAACGAGGAGGTTGCCACACTCACCAACCTCATTGGGCCCAAAACCCCATCAAATCAGCCTGCTAATCTGACGTCAATTGGGCAAACAGCTCAGCTTTGGTTTGATAAATCCGAAATAATATCATATTTCTCATTAAATGGAATGTGGGTCCCAAGGTTACCAGATATTAAAAAAATATGAAGACTCCAACATGTATCATTTTCGTCCATCCACTTGAACAAGAGTTCTCTGATATCATAATTGGAGTTGCTCTCCAGTACGTGTCGACCAAATGAGATGACTGACAGGCTGGACGATCTAACACGAAAAAATATGCAATTATAGAAGGTTTTTAACCTGGGATTGAAGCTAATCTCGGCATGCTACGCCAAAAATGGCTTCTGGCAAAGAAGAGTATGCATCAGGATCTGTTCGAGAAGGTAAGTAAATGAGATATTTAATAATTAAATCAACAACAATATAATATAAATATTTTTTTTATAAATGTATTCGACAGCCATACAAACTGTGGTTTGAAGGAAAAGAAAAACGGTGATTAAGGAGGCAATATGACGGCTGATGGAAGAGTTAGAGCTTCGCTAGAGTTGCCTTGAGATGTGGTTGAAGAGTGGTTAGTAGTGTAGCCATCTGAACAATATAGGATAATTCGCCATTAGTCACTTCAAACACCCTTGTTATCTCCTTCACCTGCAGAACCGACATCAGTCAGCCCAAATCAGAGATGATTTCGCTAAAACAGTAAGGAGAATTAGATCATGAGCAGCAATTTCAGGTCGTTACCGATCATTTCTATAAAAATAATAGCGCTTGTTCACCGGTTAACGTTTCATAGATCACATTAATTCATCTTATGATGTTAAAAGAAAAATAATGTCCCTTCCACTCTATCCTGATTCCATGCCAGCAATTCCATTCGGAAATATCTATCCAACCTGCTATGGAATCCCATGTCCCCCCCCCCCCCCATCTGGCTGTGCGTATCCTTACATTAAATGGGTTTTTTGTGTAATGTCAAATATCGAAATTTAATTTTTCTTGGAAGTGATGAATGATGATCGATAGAAAGAAGGAAGACATAAAGTTTTATTAGTTAATGACGCCATTGCTTATAACAATGAAGGGTCTGAGCATAACGAGTGGACATCTACCAGGCAAGTCCAAACACCAAAGAAATACAATCAAAGAACCGGCGTTCTGCAAGGATTTATTCGAGTTTCGGATCAATCAAGGATAAATGTTGTCTTCTTACGAAAGAATTCAAAGGGTTTTTTTTTATGTAATAAGCGATGAGAAATACCTTCGACGCATTTCCAACAAGTTCGCTCTTTAGTTTTATAATCTTCTTTTCAGCATCATATGTACCTTTCTGCAAGATAAAATAGCTTAGAATGATGCATTGCAAACGAAATAAGAACATAGAACAGGAAGGTCGAGAAGGAGCACCTTTGGCAAATTTCCTTCCTATCAGCAAACAGATTTTCATGTGATAAAATCGGAAAAAGGCAGAATCCCTCTTATTCCCAATGATTTAATGTCTACTTACAAGGTTTCTTAATATGGGCAGATAAATGAGCCAAAATATGATTAAATCCAAAAATAGAAAATAGTGTCTGCTTCTCTTCTACAGAAAATAAGTCCACAGTGTAATCCTATACATCTGTTTCGAAGGTTAAATTTTACCTCATTATTCAAGAATTATTCCATTTTATGCATAGCAAAGTTTTGCCCACTGATTCATGCTGATCTATACGAGTTGGATCATTTTTCAAGCCTACTAGAAATTTGATAAACATCTGGAAGTATGTCTGATTCAACAAATTTGACAACTTAAATGCCTTGCTGCATTTTATATGATCCCATTGGAGTTGATGTAAATCTATCATGAATATCCACCTCACCCAAAACTCATTTTAATTCAAATCTAGGGCTAGAAAATCCATACAAAACTGAGGTTGATGATGTATCTACAAGTTGGAAGCGTTCTATCTCAGAATTTGGGATCATACTAAGCCAATGAAAGATTTTAAAATCTATATATTTTTCATATTTTGGTTAAATGTATTCGTGCTCATTGGAAACATCAAGAGATTTCGATTTTGGAGGTTAACAAAAAATCCAGAAAAACGTAAAATAAAAATACAAAAATTAAAAAAATCGAATAGTTCACGAATATCATGAAGCTACAGATTGTGAATCCTAATAATGAGTCTGATTCTTTAAGTTTATAAAAATTACGGAGCATTGAAAATGATCAAGAGCATTTCATGATGGGCTACTACAACTTACCCATATAAGGTTTTTTAAAGAAATCTACCACTGCGTGAAGAAAGTTTATCATTCGTGGCGGGCCCAAACAGCTAGTCATTACTCATAGCCCCCTAATCTTTCAGAAAGGATACTTCTCGGCTTCCAACAGCTGTCGAGGTGATATACTTACGAAGGAAGCAACAATAGTATAATTCATATGGAATCAATTTGGCACCCCCAAAATACACCAATGCATCCTTGCTGATGAACATCTCTCCCCCAACTTGAGTCCCCAAGAACGCTTTGTAATGAATTGCTTGAAATAGGAACAGCACTAACAAAATATCAAAGAAATTTCCCAGCCAAAGTTTGAAGCGGCTTAAGAAAATAGGTTAAATAAAGTTTTCACTCTTGAGTTGTATGAAAGGAGTACAGTTCAGTTCTATAGCTAAGACTAAGGACGGACAGAGACAGAAGAGGTAGGATCAATGGACGAAGTTCCATGTGTGTTCTCGCACGGTTTGCGTACTTAGGGTTCATTTATCTGATACATGAGGCGTGAGAAGAACCCTGAGACGAGTGACGAGGTTATCGCCAGAAAACCTTTCCCGCTTTCCATTTTCTTCAAATTGACTAGAGTATTATGCAAGAGTTTGAAAGCTTAAGCTGCTCTACGATTTTTCAACAGATGCGGTACCTGAACCTCGACGATGCCCGTGCTTTGAGCCAGCACAACCTCAATGGCGCCATCAGGTTTCGGCCTCCAGTAGCCGCTTTCACTATGCATGGGCTCTCCAGAGGCAAGCTTCCACGTCTTCTGACTGTAAGCGATGACCGGCTGCTCCGACCCCATCACAAACCCCACAAACGACTTCACATTCAGATACAGAATTCCATCCAAAAATGGGAAGAAGGAAAAGGCATCCTCTCCAAAATAACATTCCACTAGCTCTTACCTTTCCAGAGTGAGAGAATTGGATTTCCTCTCCATATCTGAAGGAATTGATGGTGGGGAAACCTCCTTCTCCTTCCCCTCGCCATCTCCCCAGAAGGAAAGACAGCGGCGCCACCGCCGGATGCAGAGGCGGCTGTGGCGCGGGCCCAGGAGGACCCCCGCTCCTACCTTCTCCCTCCATCAAGCGATCACAAGATCTCTCTCTCTCTCTCAGAGACCACAAGGGAGAGAGATCGGTCGCTCTCCTGGTCAGAGGCCTCTGCCAGCGAAGAGCCCAAGACGACGAATAGTAGTTAACGTTCCTCAGCACACGTGGCGCCTTTGAGATGGAAAATGAGCCCAATAAGTATATATTTAACCAAGAGAAGTAGAAATAATTGGGCTTTTCTGGCCCAAATCACTGGCCAGCTCGGAACCCCAGCGTCCCCCTGGCCAGATCGTACTCCCAGTATAAACCTCTCTGGAAGTAGCTGCCGATGATGGAGCCGTCGCTCCTGTTATTGGCCTTGATCCCCAAGCACTTGGTCCCCTCATCCGGCTCATGCACCAGGTTCTCCGGGAACGGCGTCAGCCTTGCGCCGCCGTCGAACTCGATCGTCACCGCCGGGAAGGTCTCCGGGTCGTAGTCCTCGCCGGCGAAGCAGAACCCTTCCTCCCCCTCCCACGCGAGCACCCCTCTCCGCCGGAAGTAGTCGCTGTAGAGCGCCAGTATGCCGGAGAACGCCTCGCCGGCGACGTAAGTCAACGGCGTGCCGGTGTCGAGGATCACCCCTCCGACGTTCGTCTCCGGCTCGAAATCCCAAACCCACGGGAGAACGGGCGCCCTCACACCGGCCACGAAGATGCCGGAGACTCCGACGAGGAAGAAAGACGGGGGTTCCTCGCAGGACCCGCCGCCGGCGATGAGGTCGACGTGCTTCATCCCCTCCCGGAGGGCGCCAAACCTGGCGGCGTCTCCGAAGGCGAGAAAGCCGCTGTCGCCATCGTACTCCCCTTCGTCGTCCCTGGGTACGTAGTGGGCCATGGCCCCTCCGCCGAGTTCCCGCCTCATGTAGCTGGTGAAGGACGGTTCCTCCGGGGAGAGCCCCAGGATGCCGTTGACCGTCAGAATGTCGTCAGAGAGCCGCTGCGTGCTGCAGCCCACGGTGACGTTGCGGAACTTGACCTCGTCTCCCGTGTCCGACCAGATGGTCACCGTGTCGAGGGCCCAGAAGCCGCTGACCGAGGTCCCGTCGACGTACTCCGCCGTGAACCGGCAGAGGTCGCCGGGGGAGGAGCACTCCTCGCGGTCGAAGCAGGCGGGGGAGGAGCAGTAGATGGGCGAGAAGGTGGATGAGCCTGCGACGTTGTAGTAGCTGGAGAAGTTGAGAGTCTCCGGGGAGCCGCAGAACATCCATGTGTGGGAGCTACCGGTGTCCGGCAGTAGGAACACCGTCTGAGCGGGCTCGCCCACCCGTAAGGCGGCGGCGCCGCCCGTGGACGAGTCGCCGGAGATGGGGATCTCGAAGGCTCGGCTTTGCCTCCGCCAGGGAGCTCGGCCCTCCGTGAACGGGAAGGACGACGACACCAAGAGGGCAGCGAGCAGGAGAAGTTGCCAGACGGCGGCGAAGGGGAAGATCGGAGCCATGGCGGGCGACCCCGCGGCCTGCGGCTGTATATCCCCCGCTCCGCCGTGCGCACCGGGCAGGAACGTGACGATAATGGCGTCATGAAGCGGAATCCGAATGCGACTGGTGTGACGCGACGGCATCCACCGGTCTTCTTGTTGGTGTCGAACCGTCGAACTCCAACACGGCGTCGCGGGGTGCAGTCGCCGTGGTTTTCATATGTTCTTCAGACGTCAGGGTTTCGCTAGATGCCGTGGAGGAGAAGATATCTCGCAGCTGGGGATTTTGTAAGGAAGCAATAATCTTATCAGAGAAATATTATTTGAAATAAATGATATTTTTTTTAACAACTATTGCAACCAAAGTATATAGAACCAAACAATTTTTGAATTAAATCATTTAATTATATTTTATGAAAAAAAAGGAGTGGTTCATACCCATTAGCCAAAAAAGGCAAAAATTGCTACCAAGATAATTATTTTCTCAATATGAGACGATCCATCGTGATCACATCCTTGCCATTTGGAAACAATACTAATAAAATAATTATTGTCCGTCACCTTACGGACGTTGTAAGTGAGATGGATGTTATTAAACGCTCCAATAAAGTCCTTACCATATTCTGAGAATATTATGAAATGAGAAAGTGGGCCCCCCAAATCGAGTTTGGCATGGGCTTCTTAGCATGCTCAAATCAGTTTTATGAAGCTAAGGCATAATAATGGATGATCGTATCGGACGTCTAATAAATGGAGGAAATGGATCACGGGCCGTCGATCCAGATCTTGATCACACCTTTAATAAATATCATTCTGAAACGCACATAGAATGATACTCATAGGAATTGCGGCAGCCGCCGGTCAACGTGGGTGCTCCCCCAGCCACGTGGAGCAGCAAAAAAACGCGATTTTTTTAATTTTTAAAAAATAAAGATAATGAGATGATGTACGACCCGTGGAGCAATGGAGCTATAACATTATTTAATTTAATAGAAAAAGACCGCACAATTCTAAGTTATTATGTTAGTACTTGGGAGGTCTGTGGAGGGTGAGAGAGATGGAAAGGAACGAAAATGGGCTCTTCCCACGTTATTACGTACATAGAAACGGTCACAGTCTTGTCGGACCTGTTGATTCGAGAGAGCTATGTGTACGTATAGGCGGGAAAGGAGCGAGGAGGAGAGGGAAGGGGAGACGATCTCCGCCTTCGTCAGTGGAGAGAGCGAGAGCAAGAGGAAGGCTCGAAGCTCACTCTCCTGTTGGCGATGTCGAACTCCCACAGATGGTTCTGCTGGAGGATGTTGCCGATGGTGGAGACCCCCGGCCAGGAAGCGGAGAGGATCCCTATGCACTTCACTCCGTCGGCGACGTCGATCAGGTAGCTCTTCACCGGCGGCCTCAGCGGCGCCGCCGCACCGCGAGGGCCGACCAAGTGTACCACCAGGCGGGGAACCGCAGCCTCATCGAAGCTCTGATCCCATTTGAAGCAGAACTCGAAGGGCTTCGCCTCCACCTTCGGGTACCTCGCCAGCGGAGCGCTCAGAGCGGCCAGGACAGCGCGGTAGGCGGGCTCGGCCAGCATCGCCAGGCTGGTTCCCGAGTCGAGTATCACGCCACCGCCGGCGCCAGAGTCCCACACGGCCTCGGAGATGTTCAGCAACTCGGCCCCCACCGAGACGCCCCCCACACGGACGGCGTAGAACGGCTCCAGCCAACTGTTCAGGATCAGCTCCGCATACCGCCTGCGGTCTGGTTTCGAGGGCCTGTGAATGGTGTCCTTGCCGAAGACGAGGTAGTCGGAGGCGTTCCTGGGGCTGAGGTGGTCGACGAGACAGTACGAGAACTTGCCGCCGAAGCGCGAGGCGGCGCGGGCGGCGAAGGAGGTGTTGCTGTATCCCAAGCCGAGCACCCCGTCCAACGAACGAAAGCTCGAGCCCGCAGAGGAGGAGGTGCAGCCGACTACGATCCCCTTGAGCTTCGCGCTCTGGCCGCCGGAGAGGGCCACGGTCGCCACCTCGTCGGCGAAGATCCCCCGCGCCGTCGACCCATCGGTGTACCTGCAGGGTTCGGCGATGCTCGATGATCATCGTGATCGAAGACGACGAAAGTGGATCTGAGCCCGCCTAGTCAAGGATAAGAACGGCAGCCTGGTCGGAACGGAGGGATATATCGTCTTTACTCCCATCGTCGACTGTTAAGTCTAACGGGCATCAATGCGCTCTTCTGGAATGGTGCAGCCCGTCTCGGTGTACAGTGCGCGCTCATCGGACCGAGTTCTTGCAGGGAAGAGGATCAATCTCTTCACGAGTAGAAGATCTCCACGTGCGTGCTCGTCGCCACCCTCTGGATGGTAACCAAAATCCCAACCAAGCCGAGGGGCCATTAACTGGAATCATGGGCATTAATTACTTCGCCATGATGCGCTGCTCTAACGGAGCTTCATGCTCGCCGGCGTGGATCGAGGATCGTCTCTCTGGTGACAGTAGGGATGCTCTCTCCCGTGAGGGTTCAGAGAGAAAGAGAGAGAGAGAGAGAGGGAGACAGATCCATGGGGGAGCAAATCCACGGGGGAGAAGAGGGTGATTTTGCGGCGGAGGATGAGGGGTAGAGGAGAGGGAGACGTACCCGTAGTCATACTCGCAGGGGCTCGTCGGGGCAAGGCATTTGGCAAGAGAGAACGGCAGCGAGTTCTTGCAGAGCTGCGACGAGCAAGGGATGGGGCTGAAAGACGATGACTGGTCCGCGCGGAAGGCCCGCCGCCATTGCGCGTCCCCGCAACCCCGGCAAGCTCTGTAGCGGCACTTCATCCAGGTGAGGTCGCTGCCAGTATCCGCCACCAGCAAGAATGTCTGCGCAGGCGTTCCCACCTTGAGCCGCACGAAGTACTGCCCGGTGCCGGTGAAGGCGGCGGAGGATATCGGCATCGCGAACGACGACGTCCGGGGGACACTGCCGCCGGCCACGCACGCGCTCCTCTGCCAGCCGATCCTGTCGGATATCATCTTCGCGCGGGCATGGTCGTTCCTCACGATCTCCCTCACCCGCTGCAGGGGGCTCCTCTGCCGGTGGTGCCTGCGGAGGAGCTTAAAGTGCATGGAGAGGACCGGCGGCGCTCCCACGACGGGGAGCCCATTAATAACGCAAGCTAGCAGGAACAGTGGGAAAAGCAGCTCGCAGCGCATTGACTCCGGCTGTTGGCGGCGGCACCGGCGTCGAAATGGAGGTTCACCAGCCCCTCCCCCCGCTCGGCCGCAGAAGATGGCGATGCACCGGCGGCTGACGCACCATCTCTCCCCTTGGTGAGCTTAAATACCACCACCACCTCCTCCCCTTCTCAGCTTTCTCCGAGCTGGTGGAGTCACGGGAGAAACCCAGATCTTCACCCCCCAAACCTTACCCCGTAGTTCGTCGGTCTTTCACCTCACCAGCAACACCAGCTGAGGGGATACCCCGTCACAACCTTCCTCATCCCCCCTTTTTATTGCCACTCGAGCGCCATTTATCCGAACCCCCGTCAGCATCTTCTCCCCCTCTTCCCTTCACCCTGACCATTCCTTTTGTTCTCCCCTCACGCGCCCTCGGTCTTCATCTCCCCTCCGTATTCTCGTTAACTCTCCACGTAACCAAAGCCCGCCATGGGGAGAGCGAGAGAGAGAGAGAGAGAGTGAGGTGTGGGGGTCAGCTAGGTGTAAGTTCCGTCCTTACTGTCTGCGAGAGTTTGATTAAATAAATATTATTTTCCTGGGCGCGGTCAAGTCGACAGCTGGTGAGCAGCTGGCTCCGGGCGTGGATTATTAAAAGGGCCGGCCTCACATGGGGGTTTCTCGCCTCCCCCGTCTGCCATCGCGGCGCGCTCGATTCCACAGAGGCCGTACGATGGGGATCCAAGGGAAGACTAGCGCGTGGAGGGGGGACGACGTGGGACCCGCCTCAGGAGGCAAGGGGGCTGCGCCTCCGCCTGATCAGTGGACCCACTCGTACGTCAGTGAATTAACCATGATATATCCCAGATCGGTGGACCCGTTCACGCCAACAAAGGACCGCCCCGCCACGCCGACGTAGAAAATTAGATAGGCCCAAGGGCAAAACGGGGATTTATGAATCTGATAGCCGCTTGGGGGAGGAGGGGCTTGCCTGGATTCGTAGGGGTCTGGCCCAATACATATTTTGGGCCTGATATCAGGCCCATGACCAATTAGTTTTTTCTTTCTGTTTCAATCGGCTCCCCGTCTATCCGCCACGTGGTTTGGGGGTATAATAATCTATGAACCGGGCCGGATTTGGGGTGATCTATCACCGAGCGTTAACTGGCCGCAGCCTGTTACTGGCCCGGCCCACGCACGCCTCTGTAAGCAAACTGGCTTGTCCAAAAGAATTCGGGTCGAGTCCGAACCAATAGAGACCCGACTAGCTCCATTAAACTAGATACTATAACCAGCGTCCTTCTTCTTCTCCACGGAGAGGTTTCCAGGGCTTCCAGAGCTCTGTCTTCCATGGAGAAGACGATGGGGAGGCGGATGATGTGGCTGTTGCCAATGCTCTTCCTCTTCCTCTTCTTACCTGTCATCTCTCTCTTATCCGGCAATGGGGTCCCAGTCGTAAGCTGGTGGTGGCTCCACCAGTCCTCCTCCATGGGTGGTGGATCGGCGGCCCACCCGGCGGCGAGTGAGAAGGCCGGCGGCGCCGCCGGCCTTCTTGAGGTGGAGAAAAGCCTGGCAAGGGCTCGTGCCGCCATCCGCCGCTCGGCTGCCGCTATCTTGAATTCTTCTTCTCCTCCTTTTCCTCCTTTGGGTAATTCGCTAGTATTCCAGGGAGGAGGAGGAAGCGGGGAGTTTGTGCCCAGCGGGGAGGTCTACCGCAACCCGGCGGCGTTCTACAGGTATGGAGGCAGAATTCGGAGGATATCTATCTATCTATCTAGCTATCTAGGAGTCATCAAGTTACTGTATAGATAGATGGTTAATCATGGGAAGACTGTCGTGACCGACATAGCAGAACGGGGAGATTGGTGCGAGCTGTTTGTAGGTAATTCTCGGCATGATCACGCGTGGGCCTAGTTTCTTGGTCTTCATTTTCTCTCTCTCTCTAACCCTCTTAACCTCCCTATAATGTTCTCTTTTTCTCTCTCGACCTCTCTCTATCTCTCTCTATCTCTCCCCCCCCCCCCATTTGTGTCGTTGCATCATTGCAGTATGTGCGAAGGAACACGGTCATGATGGTCATCACCATCTCTATCTCTCTTTCTCTCTCTGCGCTCATCTCGCCGCTGGCTTACAGCTTCAGTAAGAAGGGGTGCTGCTATAATGGTCACATCGCCTGAAGAGAGAGAAAAGTGCGAAGAATCTCTCTCTGGATTCCGTCTCGTTGCATGCTTAACTTTAACCATGCAGGGGGTGCTACTAATGATACTTACAACCCTTGAAGAGAGAGAGAGAGAGAGAGAGAGAGCGAATCATGGGGGATTACTCAACAATTACGTCGACCTCTCTCTCTCGTTCTCATCCCCGGACACTGTTGTCGTCGACGGTGGCAGGAGCTACCTGGAGATGGAGAGACGGTTCAAGGTATATGTGTACGAGGAGGGCGAGCCGCCCCTGGCCCACGCCGGCCCCTGCAAGGGCCTCTACACCACCGAGGGCCGTTTCATCAACGCCATGGAGGACCTCCGCCGCGCCGCCGCCTCCGCCACCGCCGGCGGCGGGAGGGGGCTATTCTTGACGGAGGATCCCTCCCGCGCCCACGCCTTCTTCATGCCCTTCAGCGTCGCGATGATGGTGCGCTTCGCCTACCGCGAGGGTTCCTACGACCTCCTCCCGCTCCGCCGCCTCGTCGCCGGCTACGTCCGCTCCGTCGCCGCCCGCCAACCCTTCTGGAACCGCTCCGCCGGCGCCGACCATTTTATCCTTTCCTGCCACGACTGGGTGAGACCCCCCCCTTGCCCCAAACTTGGGTTTCTTCTCCGTTGACATTGACGAGATATCTCGCCCTGCAGGGCCCACACGTTTCGAGGGCTGACCCGCGACTGTTCTTCAACTCCATCCGGGTCCTCTGCAACGCCAACACCTCGGAGGGGTTTGACCCCGGCAGGGACGTGAGCCTGCCGGAGATAAACCTGCGCACCGGCGAGCTTCCAGTGGAGCTTCTCCTCCCCCCGCCGGTTGGCGGCGACAGGCCCATCCTGGCCTTCTTCGCCGGCGCGGGCGACCACGGCCCGATCCGGCCGGCGCTCCTCCGCCACTGGCGGGGCCGCGAGGAGGGCGGCATGAGCGTCCATGAGCAGCTCCCCGGCGGCGCCACCGCCTACTACGGGATGATGCGGCGGTCGAGATTCTGCCTCTGCCCAAGCGGGTACGAGGTGGCGAGCCCGCGGGTGGCGGAGGCCGTGTACGCGGGGTGCGTGCCGGTGTTGATCTCTGAGGGGTACGTGGCCCCGTTCGGGGATGTGCTGCGCTGGGAGGCGTTCTCGTTGGCGGTGGCGCCGCCCGAGATCCCTCGGCTGAGGGGGATCCTCACCGCCGTACCGGAGGCGGAGTACCGGCGGCTGCAGGCCAACGTGGGGAAGGTGAAGAGGCACTTCCTTTTCAACAGCCCTCCGAAGAGATTCGACGTCTTCCATATGATCCTCCACTCCGTCTGGCTCCGAAGGCTCAACATCCGACTGACCTGGCCTAACCCGACCACACACGAGTGAGTGAGAGAGACAATATGAGAGAGAGAGAGAGAGAGAGAGAGAGAGAGAGAGAGAGAGAGAGAGAGAGAGCATTCAAATCAGGGTTCCCACGTGGGGAAAATTGTCGATGCATCTTTCGGACAGGGCATCCAAGCTGAGGAAAAGTTAACGTATCAAACACCATAGTTAATGCATCCTGGGCATGACAACTCTCATGCCCATAAAATCAATCCCTCTCTCTCTCTCTAGATAGACGAGGAGTCTTTGTGCGAGCCGTATACGATGAGTCACACGTACGATAACGAGGGGGGTTTAGCGATCTTTGTGCTGTATAGTTAATGGGTAGAGAGTGAAGTCTTAGAGAGCTTTTGGGAAACAATGGTGAGTATGTAAACGTATGGATGTGGGTATACATGTGGTGTTATCATCAGGAAAAACCCGCTTTTTTCTCGCTCTTCTCTCTCTCTCTCTCTCCCCCTCGCGCTAGATGGACGCATAGTTATTGGGTGGAGGACAATTGGGTGTTATTTGCAGAAAGGTGTAATTTTTAGCGGCGGATATTTGGCAGCCGTGTTGTAGGGTGGAGAACGGCGCGCCTTGGTGGTGATCTGGAGAACCGCGGTAAGATACCTCTCTCTCTCTCTCTCTCTCTCTCTCTCTCTCTCTAGAATCTGAGCAAGGGGACGGCCGATTTCATCCCCGTAGACAGAGGGTCATAAATCTATACGCAACAGGTGAATAAATGAATAAAAACAATAGAAGTATTCAAGTCTGAACGCCAAAATATCAGTTTGGAGAGAGGGAAAAAGAAGAAAATGCATAAAAAATAAATCAAACAGAGCTGCTGCTTCATCTGCGAGGTGCCCGGGGGATTTCTCTGAGAAGCAGAGAAGGTAGGATTGAAATCGCTCCACCATGCTTCACAGGGGCATCTGATATAACACCTCCACGCAGCTGTGATCCACAGAATGATGGTAATGGATAGGGAGAAGAAAGATCTAACCCACGATATAGAACTATTCAAGTCAGATATTCTCTTCCTTAATCTAGAAATATGCCTCGAATAGGTAAAGAGATCAGTTCATTCTGATTGCCGAAGATATAGAGGGTGATTAGTGTGGATTAGTAGTACTTATCATCTCACAAGAACATGAATAAGAAGAGGAAAATTGGGCAGGAATTCAAGAGCATGAAGAACTATAAAGGGCTATTCACATGAACATAATAGGCATTGCCTGTAAGGTGGGTGACGTGACTCAGTCGTTGTATATTAAATCACGCAAATCTAAAATTTATAAAACTAGAAAATACGAATTTCCGGATATTTAGAAGTATTTATAAATAAATATATCAATTATAATTCAATAAAAGTTCCAAAAATAGCGGTAATTTTCCAGATCGATCACAAGGATGTAATATAATATTTTGTAATTATTCAGAGTTTTTCTCAATGAATACGATTTTCTATGAATTTTATACTAAGAAATGAAAAGGAAATATATTTAAAATTCACGAAAAAAAAGAGAGGAAATAAGGGTGCGAACGACAGGATGACGTCAGCGCCCGACGAACGCGAATCGGACGGAAATAGAGTTCCGCCCGACGATTCTTACGTAAGCAATTACAGACGATTTAATTAATCAAATTAAGATCTGTAAAAGCCGGAAGAATCGTAATTGATCGAAGTATAGTTTGGTAAATTAAAATCACACAAAGTATCACTAAATAAAGCGTAAATTAAATTGAAAGCAGGAAACCAGAGTTCCGGCGTCGCGACGGCGATACGTCGGCGATGCACCGGAATCCTGAGCGTTCGGGAGGATCGTCGTGCAGTGTCCACGGCCTCGAAGGCTCTCCTTGGACAAAGACGACGTGGGCAATCTTTAGATCTTCTCGCGAAGTCTAGAGATCAATGAAGTGGGTCGTCGAGTCGTCTCCGGCGGCTGTCACCCGGCGGAGCGGAAAAACGGCGACTTTGCGGCTCTCCGGCGGCTGTCACTCGATGGAGAGGAGCTGGATGAAGGTGGGGCGCGTGTCAGGGAGCTTCATCCTCAGGTCCGCGCAGCAAGGAAAGGCTCTTCATCGCATCTGGTACGCTCTCAGGAGGTGGCGACTCGTCTCCCGGCGGATCGTCCTCTTCCCGACGACGGCTTGTTCGTCGATCAATCGGAGATGATTTACTCGATGGATTGCGATCCTTTTATCGCGAATCGTTCAGCAATTTTAGTAGCAATGCTCCACGAATCGCGTTGACGAGATTTTCGCCGATGATCCAGCGATTCCGATTGCTTAATCCTTCACCGGCGATCTGCAGGAAAGTCGCGATAATCAGTTAAAAATATATGAATTTTGACTTTGGGAGGATTCGAACCCGCGGCGGTCGCCCGCCCCTGAGCAAGGTGTGACGCGGGTTTAGTCCCACATCGATTGTGCGCAGATTATTCGGGCGAATATATAGTAAAGTTAACTTTCTAGGCAAAGTCCTCTCGCGTGTACGACCATTCCTTGCCTCACAACCGGCTGGCCACCAGTGACGTGGAAGGGGAGTGGCGCTTCTGACCCGCTTGCGGGCCCGGTTGGCCGGCGGGTCCCCCCATTTTGCAATATTTTTATTTTTATTTCTTGTTCTTCATTTATCTCAAAACTAAGACTGTAAAAATCGTATAAAATCACATAATTACCCAAAATTCACGTTAATCAACTGAAAACCACTTTTCATGCTTTAACACAAATATAAGTCTATTTATCATGAGTTAAGGCTAAAACTATATTATTTACTAATTATTAACTCATGATAATGAAGACTTATCAGTGGGCATGATTCACCTCTAATGGTGGATTTTGTGAATTTTCGTACTCTCTGATTGCTGGCCTCAGAGCTGCCATTAATGGGCTTCACATTGCTCATTATTAGCTTTTCGAGTCAGACTCTGAAGAATCAGTAGATATGCTAACAATGTGGTACAGTAATATACCTAGGAAGCTCAAGATGATCTTAAAAGCACAAAACATGCCCCCTATGATCCATATCAGTTGTGAGGTAATGAACTGGCCAATGCAGCTGCATCTTACTCTGGTGATTTGGAGTGAAAAAATCATCTGCAGCACCAAAGGAAACCCTCCCAAGAAGATCCTGATGAGCATTTCGTACTGACTACTAAATGTGGGCTTCCTCGCTTGAACATTCTAATTCTTTTCTTCTGCTGTAGGGCTCTTGCCTGACAGGAAATTCTCCACAGCAGGTAGTATTTGTTTTGTGTTTGTCTGAACAGTCAGTCTCCACTGCTGATCAATGAGATTTCAGGGACCAACCCGGGTCTAGAAAAGTTCAGGTAAAGAAAATATTGAACACTCCCTCTTCATCTCTCATTGCTGCCACTGTTGACTACCAATAATCCCTCCCTCCCTCCCTCTCTCAGACAAGTGAGAGAGAAACACTGAGAGTAATAGAATAAAAACTCAGTACAACAGCAATATATATATATATATATATATATATATATATAAGAAAGGGAATTAAGGACTATGTGATCAGAATATATGCATGTAATCCTCCTCCAACCGGACAAGAAAGAGGAGAAATCATAAAAGTGCACTGGTCAATAGGACAAAGAAGCCGTTGAACTGTAAATAGCTTCACGCAGACAGAGATGGTCATTTTAATACCTGCAGCTGAAAAATCAAAAGTCATGGAAGAGCATCAGTGTATCATCCAGCCGTAGAAGAGAGGTCTCCAATATTATCCTCGTGTTCTTCAGACGATCATATTCTTTGCTTTGGATGTCATTAGCTGGTTGGTTGGCGATCTGACAATGTAGCACTGATACGTCATATGCGGTAAGTAAAACTAGATAAATTAATCAAATGGACCCACCATATGATGAGTGAAGCTTAAGTAGCTCCCATATCAGCAGAAAAGGATTTCGCAATAACCAAGAAGAAAACAAAAAAGACGGCAAAACGAGGAAAAAAAGAGAAATTCACGATGTAACAAACTCCGGGAAACAGGATAAAAAATCTTTCAAAAGAATGGCATTAAATCACGACACAAATTCCTGAAACCTGATTCATACGAGCCATTCTTCGGACTGTCGTATGAACATAAATGCACAGTACAAGAGCAGTCCACACTTAATAATCTATATATATATATATATATATAATAAAAATAAAAATTCAAGAACACCATACATGATCGAATGGATGTATACATCTGACGGTACAGTTTCCTGTTCATTCCTAGGTACAATAACAGCTTTCACCTTTGGAGCTTCTAAAATGAAAACTGCCCGGGAAAAACCAGAAATCGGCAGAGAGATCATGAAGAAGACTTAGAGGTGGACGGGATGCGATGATAAACTACCCGTCATAAAATAGGCGGCTTAAAAAACTCACAAACCTCCTGCTGTTGTTCTCGATTTTGGGCGATCCTCTGGCTCAAATTTGCAGCAGCATGATACATATCATTCAATATATGCTCATATAAAGTACTTGTGTTCACTTTCCACAGGAAACGTTTTTCTCCCGGATATGCGACTGCAATCTATACAAAACAACAAACAAACCGTTATCAGGAACAACACAAATCGGGGGCAGATAATGAGCGATAAAGCAAGTATTTTCCTTGACGAAATGGGCAACGCATTATTTCTCAATCTCGATTGACAGATGGGTGAATAGTGACTCTGGTCATGAAATGAGCGTTTACCACAGTAAAAAAATATTGTACATAACTGGACAGTCTAAACAAGAGTTTTAGCAGAACTGGAAAGAGTAATGTCCATGTGCGTGGGCATATGCGCAAAGAAAGAGGAGCAGAGTTTCAAAGGATCACTAAAATTAATGATCAACTGCACATGACTGGCCATGAAGTTTTCAGATCAGTTTGACTCCATATGTCCAGCAGTATCCAAGATTTTTTTTTTGACTGCATCTGTTTAGAAAGAGCAAGAGAAAACAATAAAAGACTCCCTCACCTCCATATGCACGTAGTTGTCCATCCAGAGCTTGTATAAGATCCCTGGGGCTTCCTTTTTCTTTACAAAAGTGATCTCTGCCAGCTATCATGAAAAAAAAAACAAAAATTAGAGAGATATCACGGACCTTAACAGGGAAGAGAATTCGAATGAAACTCAGTATAAAATAAGATGATAGAGTCCATCAAAGATCAAGGCTCTCAGTGAAATATTTGATCGTCAGATCTGTCATTGGAAAAACAAAAAAGGCGTCAGCTGTCCCACTTTGATGCCCTAAGGCTTTACGATGACAATGACGACGGTGGTTGGCAACTGTTGTGAGAAAAACTGCATTCATCTGGCAAAACTACGGGAGACATTTCTAGGAAGTAAAAAGCACTTTACACTTTCTCCATTAAAACTAGGGCAGAACAATTGCAACTCAGAATCTAACAAAGAATTCCAAAGAGCGGCTGGGGTCAGTGAATATACTGATACCCACGTGTTATATGTTTTAGCAGATTTTTTAAGACTTTAAAGTCGTTAGAACAATGGAAGAAAAAAGAGAAGGGGGCCGTCATAAGAACACCGCTATTACTTGTTGCCTTGGCCTGCTATCATCTAACTGTTAGTAGCCACTATAATCTGCATGAGTTCAACCTATGGCACTTTCTTTTTCTTTTCCCTTCCCCCGCTTCTATCACCTTAACACCACTCTCACTTCTTTTTTCTTTGTCTGCTGACAAACATAGTGGTGTTGACGCCTCTGACAGTCAACCCCTAGGGGGTTGACTGTTAAAGATTTGTTTTTTTCTAGGAGGGAGGGGTTTAGAAAAAAATATTTTTACAAAAGGTGCTCCTTAAAACATTTTGTCTATTTATTGTTTTGAATAAAAATAGTGATAAGTATAATCTCAAAATTCCAAATATACTGTCCCATTTTATATTTTTCTTGATCGAGATGACTTGAGTAAGATAGAGGGTTCTCGAATCATGATGAGCTCCATTAGGCTAATTTAATATCGTCCACACTTGATTTACATGGTATCCTCTCCTAGGGCTCATAATCTACCCAGTAGTGGCTAAGCCAGCCAAGTCGTGTGAAAATCCAATCATCGGACCCAAAATATGAGCCAATATTTCCTAGTTGATTGAAGCTGGACCAAATCGGCCAACCGTGGTGAAGATGAAAAATGAAATAATAAGCTGCATCTCGACATTCTCAATCTTATCTGACTTATAAGTCAAGAAAATCATAAAAACATTATTTGAAGATTTTCTTCACATGGAATAGAAAATTACTGGAAAACTGCATTAAATTTCAAATTACAATCGGTACTAAGTCATTTCAATAAAAACGAGATTCATATAGTGACTTCTAAAATTCACAAAGTACCCTTGATCCAATTGATTGGAATTCGAAGGATGGTAAACGTGATGATAATGAACTAAAACTTATAAATATTCAGTGATCATATAATTCACCAGTAGAATAGAACCACGTTCCTTCTCATTGTTGCTAGAAGAGAAGAAACAAATGACGAGGTAACAGATGTTTAAATAGTGAGTCTCAATTTTCTGCCGATTACACGAAAAAAACCAGAAAAGGTGATTAAGATAAAGACGCTCGGAAGGGTTTAAAGCAAACAGACTGTTTCCTTCAAAGAGGAAAAGAGGACATACAATTAGACTGGCTGCAGTGGCATTTTTAACTATTACACAGCAATCAAAAGCCATAGTAAATAGACGTCTTCAATGTATGCATTTCTGACCTTACCATGATAGAAATGGCCCTACAAGACACTTGACTACATATTTTATCATCTGGAAAAGAAATACGAAATTCGATAAATTTTTAAAGATAGACAGATTTCTTATTGAAATAAGTCAGTTTTTATTCGTTTATATAATCCTTGTGGCAGCTTTCAGGGATTTATATAATAAAGATGAGGTATTTTATCATCTGAATGCACACCTTCAGGTTGAAGGCTGTTGCTACGGGATGTAAGCTCATTCCATTAGCAATATAAATAAGATACCCAGTCAAATCAACTAAATGGAACATGGCGTACATTGTCTGTCTCAACTGGCCGACACCTCTTCACTAACAGCCTGAACATCCTGTAAGCATCTTTCCCATACCTTTGAAGCACAAGAGATCCCACCTAGTTGAAAAAATATAATCAGGCTTAGAAAGTTGATAGAAAAAAATATAAACTTGGTGTCCCGTAAAGGAGAAAAAAAGAATAAAATAATACAGAGATTCATGTGTAAAGTACTTCTTCACTGCGACACTCTTCAACAATTTCTCCCAAGTCTAGGTACAGAAAGCAAGACATAACATCAAGAATAAGAAAATTGAGTCCAATTCAGATGTCAACACGAATTCTTCTCGTAGGCGCGTGAGTAAGAGATTACCAATAGCATAAAGCGCCTTCGTGTCTTCTGTGGATGATTTACACTTCAGCTCTTCAAGGCATGTTCTTACATGTTGCATAGTCATCAAACGTCCACCAGGTTTTTTCATAACCCATTCTAGAATTTCATCCAGTGATGATGTCACTTCAAAAAAAAAAAAGCATCAGTAAAAAATAAGGCCATAAACAATAAATTCAATAAATAACACCATTTAACTCTAGACTATATGAATTCCGATATCAGATGAATATTTTAGGTACACATTCTAGATGATGCAGACCAGAACTTTAAAAGCTGGAGCTGAATCATACTATCGTATGACTTGCCTCAGTTGAACATTTTTGAGACAACACAGATTTAAGTCGTTCAGCTCGATTAGTGGTTTGGTATGAATCTACATCCCTACAGGGCTTCTAATTCGAATATATTTAAATTAATCACTATTTAGAAGAAACTTTCTGGTGCCGTATAATTCATTTTATTGAGGATGAATGACTCCGACATGTTACTGTAATCTGACAGACCTCAGATTAAGTGCTACCAAAAAGAAAGCTGTAGAAATTTGCCTCAGGAGCACAAGGAGCAGTCCTCTTGGCCAGCGGGCGTTTCTACCATTTAAACAATTATCAGCCAAAAAAGATTGAGTACAAGGCTTTTATAATGCACAAGCGTCACACCAAAATAAAAACCACTTATCTGAAAAAAATAAATTTTAATAAATAAATGCCAGAAAACACTTTACAAGAGTTGTATTATAACAGATTACCCAAATTCTCTTTTGCCTTCTTGTGATTACTGGACTCTATCATTGCCTCCAAGACAACTGCAGCATCCAGACTCAGCCTCGTTCTCACACTTGTGACACATGCCTACAGGGAGAGAAATCTTGTGAAAAATCTCAACCATAAGATACAGTGCGCTATACAGAAAAAGAAGGCCTTTTAGAGACCCCCCAAACATGTCTGAGAAAGACACTACAATATTCGAGGTGATAGAAAATGGAGGTAGGGGGAGAGAAAGGGCTCTCACATCCAGTCGATTCTACACTTCTAAAGATGAAACTACTCATCCCGTTTGTGTTAAGAATGTGGAACTTAGCGAACAGAAACAGAACAGCATTTTATCTTTGACATATTGGCATGGTGTCGTTAAAACGCATTATCATACACATTCTGGGCACAAGAAATTCAAGAAGAAAAACTCTGAATGCTAGAAAGAGAAAAAAGAAGACCGCCTTGACGCAAGAGAAAGTATCTAATTCTCCATTTGCTAGTCCAGAGGTTCAGATAAATATACAATATTCAGTGTGCCAATTTTCTCGAGGAGGAAAGGAAAGAGTCTGGAAAGGGAGTTCAAACCTTCTTCTTAAGACAGTGAATGAATTTCTCAAAATTCGCCCGCCAAAGAACCTCATTCTCATTAATTGCAGCTTGAGTTTCTCTGTCAAACTCTAATTCCTCATGCTTGCGCTATTAAAGCCAAAACATCAAGTAATTAACTTCTATTTTTGAAAGTATTAAGTAATGAATATCATTAGGTAGAACATGGAAATCCTCACATTGGTTCATGAAATTCCGAAAAATCCTCACATGTGAGACATGACTAGCATATTGAAATACTAATGAAACAGGTAAAGTTATACACATAAAAAACTTAGATAATGATAAAGATATCATGGAATAAATGACTGAAGGATATTTGAACGTATTGTATAGAAAAAATAACAAGGTTGCAAACCAAAAAAATAGTGATTCACATCTGAATATTCGTTATGATTTATTCTTAGAGCTATTTCAAGAGCACATCACATGAATACTGTATTTTAATTTTTTTACAAAAAATCACTTTCCGATGAGAAACGACTGAAAGAGAAACCTTCATGTTCTATTATAATGGGCAAGGGTAGACTTGTTGAAGGAAAAGAGATTTCATAGTTCACAATGTGTCAACATTCCAAAAGAGTACATCAAGAGTCAATTAAAGGGCAAACCGCAATGTCAAAAGGGACATCCAGGTCAAGAAGCTGACCAGTAATTATGAGTAAGCAAAAGCATCCCAATAAACTCTGAGGTCTGGTGATTAACTACAGATGGAGTCAAAGAACAAGCTGAATATTCACAAGCTTGCTTCCTATAGGCCTTATTTTTAGTAAACAAGCGCAAAAAAATATTATACGTTCTTTCTGAGAAACCCAAGTAGCTAAGATAACACAAGAAGGTTAATCGTTTCACGTAGAATAAGGGTCCAAGGCAGGATCTGATTACTCGGACTACATTGTACCGTAAAACTACCACCCATCAAACGACTCACTATGAAGTGAAGCCACACTCCACTATATGCATGAAAACTATTCGGTTTAACAACTGGCAGAAATAAATCGTGGATATATTATAAGTAACCTTTAGAAGCACAGTATCTACCTTTTCGCCAATATTTGTACTCGCCGAAATACCTTTAGCTTTTTCTTCTAACTGATTGCTATTCGATTCATCGCCATTGATATCACCAATTCCCGAGAATCTTTCTGCATCCAGGAGAGCTGCAGCTGCCAATGCCTTCTGCTCTAAAGTCCCTGTATCTATGGCAGACTGGAAAAGAGAAAAAAAAAAGTTCAACATGCATAGATAAAATACAAACATATAATGGTCAAAATCATCACAGGACAAACTTCAAGTTTACTTAAAATGATACTGCAAGGAGGGCGCGCACAAATTTTACTTCTTAAACTGGTCTTGTTCACATAATAATCGAGACTAACAACATTCATAACATATGAAGCAGACACAGAAGACTGAAGATACTAAAGAAGGTTTTTCAATAATATCCATCCTACTAATAAGGTTACACAAAGTTTCAATAAACGAAATTCATATGAAACATTAAGAAAACATTATAATGGATCCAAGTCACTAGAAGTAGAAGTAGATTCTTGTCTTCTAAGCTGTAATTTATACTTAGGTATGAGCAACATCAATCGGAGCATATCCATAAAATTCTCTTACTAAAACAAGCCCTTGGTGTTAAATTTAAAATCGGGCATGCACTTGCAGTTGACTTAAAGTAATAAGAGCTGGAAAATATGGAAGTGTAGTCACTGCTGTATCCTGAACATATACAGAACATTCAGATCAGAAGAAGATATATATTGCACCGAAAATTTTCCATTTATATGATCAATACATTTCTGAGAATAATGATGGAACACATTGCACATAACTTAGAGCCACGTTTTCTTGCTGTCGAAGTTTCATCTTCTGATGTTGCCGAAATGAAGGGCTCAGGCTTTGGGCAACGCTCCACATAATGAGCTCGTATAAGTTGATCCAAGCTGCCACGCAAAGAATCCCTGATGGCCATGGTCCCTGATTAAAGATTATAATAAAATCAAGAACTGATGTATGACTCAACTAATGACACCGAGAAGTAACCAAATATAAACGCAAGACAATTTGTCGTTATACAGATAACTCTAGTGACTGTCCTATATGTATGTGCACCGACATTCCATAATGAGAGCTTCAATAGATACATTTCCTTGACAGCCCGTCCACCATTTGGTTGAAACAATAAACAGCCAATGATTATAACACATTTTTGGAAAAAAAAAAGTAAACAAAATATGCCATTATTCTTTCCCTAAGATGCCTGCAAAAATTCAATATCTACAGTAGCTTCCTTGTCATTATCCTGTGCATTTTTCTTTCTTTTTTTTACCCCTCCTTGTTATTAAAGTTGGGACTTTTTTGGCAAATCAAAATAACCCTGAATCAGTCAACTCATAATCAACTAGACTAACTTTAAAAGGCCTGGAATAGTGTGTGAGAGGGACAACAACTACAGATGGAATCTGTTGCCAAAATGGATCTGGTGTCTTCTAGTTTTATAACGTTGGGATCAGATATCAAATAAAACTCTTAGTAAATATCCACTGGATATTTAGAAATCCAAGATGAAAAATATTATCCACCAACCTAACCAAAAACAACATTGATAGAACTCGTAAAACTTCATGCCACATTGTTGCGGGGTTTAAACCGTTTCTGTAACTTTTTCTGCATGTTCTGAATAAATAACCTACCAGACACATGGCAGAGGAGAGCCTTCTCCAACGTATAACGTTCCTCACTGGGAGATTATTTAAGGAAACATGTTCCACGTCAAGTCGGTAGTTACTTTGTTAACACTGGATTAGATATTCTAAAAGCACTATTATACCCCAGGGCCGCAGCATTTTTTCAAAAAAAGGATTATTGTAGTCTATCCAATCAAATAAAGCATTTCTGACGGGAATAAAAACTTACGTTCACTTTTTGTAGAGGTTGCACGCATGACAAGCTGCTCAAATGTAAGCCTTCCATGTTGAAGCAAACCTTCCACGAGAGCCAAACACTGCCATAAGTGAAACAAGTATGATGTTATACTACGTTCTTATGAGCCATTCTCTGAACTTGGGTGCCTTGTTTCTAGAAGTTAGTGGTTTGGAGTAGGGAACTAAATCGTACAGGCCAGCAAAAAAACCATAATTGTGATATGAAAAATATTCCGAATATCCTCCCTCATACCTCCCTTTTAACTGCTAAACTCTGATGCGCATATAACAACTGAAACTTATCTCACAGATTTGCCCAGAACAAGTAACTCTTCATTTGGCAGTTCTAAGAAAACCATAATAATTATCAGAAAAAAATAGTACCTAAAATGCCATGTGACTCCTGCTTGATCTTACAAGAAGAATCCCAATTACAGACGATTGTTATTTTCATAAAGAATTGTGTGAAGGGCCTTAACTTAGGTTGAAGAAATGTTTTCTAGGCCGTTGTATAGCCTATGTAATGGGAAAATACTTAGGATATTGACAGCCGCTGCAAAAATGGTTGTCTGAAAAAACAACATGGAGACAATGATCAAACAAAGAAATTTCAGCGTTCAAAAGTAACAACTGGTTTGAAATTTTACAACGGATCAAGGATCCTTGAAAACACAAAAGTTTTACGATTCTTAGTCACTTTATCGTGGAGATGGATTCAGACAAAAAAAATCGTAGCTGACTTTAAATTCTTATTTGGTCGACCTAAATCCTTATTCGCTGAAATCATTGGCACAATTTCATCATCTCTGGAAGCGACCCAGAGGCCGAAAAATGCTCATAAATAGGGGTCTCTAGAAATCATTTGATACATTAGCAACATTGGTGAGGCTGTCCCAGAGTCTCACCAGGGGGTCGTCAAATTCTGCCGCCAAAATCCCCAGAAATTTGGGAAAGCGCATGCGATGGAGAATATTGTCCAGAAGGCCCATGTACTGGGTGACGGCCTTTGGCAGCGGTCCGCCTGCAAAAAGGTAGTTGTGAAATAAAACAGTACTCCACGATAAGAATACAACTTCCTCTCTCGTCTATGATACTCATCCCTTCGAAAGAAGACTTAACCGGGAGTCAGGACGTACCTGCCCGAGGGACAGAGTAAGCCTGCACGCAGTTGTGCTGGACAAGGACGAGGAGACAATTCTTCACCCGTGCCGGGGGTAGCCCGATGTCCCGGACGATCTCCTGAAGAGAGAGAGAGCCCCTGCGCAGGAGGCAACTGCATACCTTCTGAGGAAAACATCAATAGAGGGGAAACTAGTGTCAGGAGGAGATTAAGATGAACAATGACGACAGAGATTGGATAACTCAAAAATATGAAACACACCGAAATAGGAAATTAGCAGATGCCACAAGTAAAGTAAATTGCGGCAGCGGCCGTGCATGGAGAGGCCCGTGAGAGGAGATGCAATGTTTGGTTTCAGACGTAAGGAACAAGGCGATGGGAACTGACCGCGACGACGTCGCCGAAATGGGAGGTGATGATCCCGACTGCGAGGTTCAGACCTTGTTGCCCGACCATCTCTTTCTTCTTCTCTCTTCTCTCTCGCTGTTCCTCGCACCCCACGCGGGAAGCCCTGAAAAAGACGGCCGCAGAGTCGGCGAAGCAAACTGCCCGGAAGGGAGGGAAAGCGCGAGGACGGAGTGAACGACCTCCTCCCGGAAGCGATTCGACGGGGCACACGCCTCGCACGTGCCAAACAACGATGATTTGTTGTAATATTTCGGATTCTTATCGGTACAATCTCAAAATGGATCCAAGTTCGGCCATCATTCTCTGCCTGGATCCGAAATCCATAACTATGGGCCGTATATGCCGGGAAACGTGAAACATCGGGAGGCGCGCAGATAGAGACGCTGACGTGTCCACTATGTTAAAGGACCAGGGAAAAGCTCGCCGAGCAGTCTTGTTCTTCTGTGTTCGCGATTCCTGTGAGCGGAGGAAAAGAAGAAGAAGAAGATGTTGGAGTTCTTCATCCTCGGTTGCACAGGGGTGGTGGTCTTCCTCCACGGCGCTAATTTCTTCTTCCGCGCTCTCTCGCAACAGACGGCCCTTCGACCGATGAGGTAACGCGGCACTCGCGCCTCGCCCTTGCCTCCGATCATTTCTTCCTCATCTGCGCGCCGCGATGACCTCCCCGTCAGAGAGAGGTCCGTAGGTTTCCGTGGCGATTCCTGCATTTTTTTATTCTCCCATTTCGATGTTGCAAAGGATTCCCAATTTCGGATCCGTCGACGACCCTTCCCGGCGGCGATTCTTAAAGTTTGATCGCCCATATTTTTGTGGCCTGTTCATGGATCATGCTCTGGTGTTCCTCTCTTTCTTCCTGTATTCTATTCATTTGATAAGAGTTTTCCCCTTTTCCTTTCTCCGTTCCAAGGTAGGATATTCCTCCCGTAGGATAGATATTATCTAATTCGATAAGTCTGACTTTGCTGTTGTTTCCAGCATTCTCGGCTTTGTGGGATGGTAGCCTGCGGCGGGAGGGGAGGGTGGGCGGATCATTCCTTCGTTGCAGCCGTGTGAGAGTGGCGATCCAGTCCTTGTAAATCAAACTAACAGATCAATGGTCAAATATCCATGAACAATCATGGTATCAGGCATGATTCTCGTGGACGATGATGACATTGGCGATCCATTCCACGTTTATGATCGTCCCCTCTCCCCTCATTCCTCATTTGATTAGATAAAGTGACGGCAGTAAAAATATTGACTTGATGATGATTTGAGCGAGTTGGTGCAACGTGAGTTGGAGATAGTAAAATCTCATCTTTGAATCCACATAAGGCTTGATTTATGCGAAGATATTTGATCATGAGTTCATAAGATGAACAAAACTTCGACCTTTGAGTCTATGAGGGCTCGATCTTGAGTCCACAAGATCAAAATAATTTCCTTGAATCTACCAAAAATGTTGGAATCCACCAATAGAAAAATAAAATATCAAAAAAAGCTAAATTTAATATAATTATTTTATAAAAATACCAAAATAAATAAATTTGGAATACCTCTAGGGCTACAAAAAGATTTTTAAATAGACTGCAATATACTTATAACAAACTTAGAAAAATAATAATATTATATGTCTCCTAATGATAATAAGGATTATGTTAGAACACCATTAAGGAATAGGAATGCCTTTAACAGAATAAGAGATTATTTGAAATAAATAAAATGTAAGAAATAATAAATGTATGAATTGAGATTTAGATACATTTAATATATGTTCAAATCTCTTATTAGGTAATATCAAACTGAATTTGGGCCAAAATGTGTCTTCATGCATCGTGTGCTTTTAGTCCACTTAAATTGGGCTGAAATGGCTTGTACTCCTATTGAGTGCCAAAATAATATCTTTTAATCACTCTAAATACTTAATCTCTTAGTTTTGACATTATGAGTCAAAAAGTTCTAGTCTTTCTTTGATAAGATTTATTGAGCTACATCATAAATGTATTATCGGTTATGCTTCAAGACTTAAAAGATATAGATTGTGATATTTAGATCCTAAGTTTTTAAATTTTTTGATTGAAAATAATATCACATTTTATGAATTTGTATTATTATATCCAAAAATAGATATTTCTATCATACACAATACAAATTTTTAAGACAACATCAAAGTAGGTAAAGTTTCAAGTTACCCATCCATGTTAGTAGATCAGTCATGCAAATCATCTTGTAAGTTTTGATTTATAACAAGAAGAGGTGAACACTCAAAATCAAGATTATTCTTTGGCCCGAGATCGTTAAAGGAGAGAAATTAGACCACCATTGAGGTATGATTATGAACATATGATTTCTTACACATTATTTATCATTCAATGAACTATTTCAGATGAACCTGAGATTTTATGATGCCATATCCTCTAATAACTCGCATGAGTGGCTGATTGCTATAAGAGAGGAGACTGACTCTCTCTACAAGAATCAAACTTAAGAGTTGATGGAACCTACCAAAAATAAAAAAATTGTTGGCTGCAAATGTGTCTTCAAGAGAAAAGAAAATTTAAGCATAGGAAGTGTAAAGTACAAGACATGATTAGTTGCAAATGGCTATAGTAAAGTGTATGGTATTTAATTATATTGATATTTTCTCACATGTTGTTAAACATGGCTCTATTTGTGTTTTACTTGTACTAGTCGCATTTATGACTAGGAGTTAGAAAAAATTGATGTTAAGATAGTTTTTCTCCATAGTGATCTTGAATAAAAGATTAATATACAACAACATGAAGGGTTTGAGATAAAAGGTAAGAAGGATCATGTATATCTTTTGAAGAAATCCTTGTATGCCCTCAAACAATCATCAAGATAGTGGTAGAAGTAATTTGATGTGTTTATGAGCATGATTGACTTTACAAAGAATAAATTTGACAACAATTATGGTTACCTTCAGAGATCTTCAAATGAATTTTTTATCTATTTATACTTTATGTTGATGATATTTTGATTGCAACAAAAGAGATATATGAAGTCAATGAGCTGAAAACATAATTAAATAATGAATTCGAAATGAAACATTTGAGAGCAGCTAAGAAAATCCTTAAAATTGAGATTCTAAAGAATAAAGAGGTCAAAAGTTTGAGATTATCTCAAAGTAAATATATTGAAAGGATACTTATGTGTTTTGATATGTAGGATACTAATTATATTTCTATACCTCTTGCTGCTCATTTTAAACTTTCAAACTCCTTATCACCAAAGTCTCATAAAGAGAAAAATTATATACTAAACATCTCATACTCTTGTGCTGTTGGAAGTCTATGCAATGGTTTGCATACATCTTGATATTTCACATGTAATAAGTGTTGTTAGTAGGTATATAAGTAATCCTAGAAAAGCTCATTGACATGTAGTGAAGTAGATTTTCAAATATTTACATGGTACCATACATACATGTCTAGAATTTATGAGAAGTGGTGATGATTTGACATGTTTTGTTGATTCATATTATTTATGTGATCTTGATAAACAAAGATGCGTTACATCTTACATATTCACTATTGTAAGATGTTCAATCAACTAGAAAGCTATTTTATAATCTATTGTAAGATGTTGATTCTATTGCTAGGAGACAATAAAGGAAGCTATTTGACTGAAAGATTTATTGGGTGAGCTCCATCTCATGTCAAAGAGTAATTTTTGTTTATTGTCACATTCATTTGACCAAAAATCTAATGCATCATGAAAGGACAAAACATATTGGTTTATGATATTATTTTATTTATGAAATTATAATTAATTCATAAATGTTGGTGTGAAAAATTGCCACTGAAGACAACCCAATAATTAACCAAGCCTCTTCTTGCAACTAAATTCAAACACTAGTTGAAGATAATTGGGTCTTGTGGATCTTAATAGGATGCTCTAATCCTTATCTTTTTAGGAACATTTATGTTTTTATGTCTTGTTCATTTCACAGTTGTTATGTCATGTTTGCTAGGATGACATACTATGAAATTATTTTTGATGTTGATATCAATTGACCAAGTCAAAGGCAGAGATTGTGAAGGTTGACGTAAGAAATAATAAGAGAAAGGGGAGACAAAGTCTTGGAAGTTTGTACAGTTGTGACAAAAATTTCTCTTGCAGTAGAGTTCTCCACTAGCCCATTCTCTCTTATCTATTTAGTCTGTGTCTCTTTGTGTATGTTTCGAACATTGTCATCTTAAGCTCTAATACAACTATATTTATAATGAAGCTTATTCTTTTCCTCATTTAGATATTGTTTGAGAGTAGTTCTTGACTGATTATCATAGTCATTCTATTTCCTCATGGTTTTTTCTCTCATTTAAAATTAGCTTGTCTCTATTTTCATACTGTCATTTAAACCCTTGATTCAATTCTCAAGAAAATTATTAAATTAATGTTTCTTATTATCCACATTTTAATGAATTTGGAATCATGTGATTTCTACAGCCATGGTTACCTTTTGTCCTAGTTTCTCTAGCCAAAGTTTATCTTGAAAATAATTGTAGGAATTAAATAATTAAAAGAGAGTTTTCACTGTGAAAATTTCAACTTAAAGTGGATAAAAAATCAAGAAGAGAATATGCAGTGAAATCACTTCAAAGGAGGTCATCCTCCTATTATACCATCTATGTTCCTCCGCAGCGTTGACCTCCTGGTTCTCGACTGTTACCCTTGAAAATGGGCCGTGGCTCGAGCCTTTAGAAGCCCAAACCTGGCATTAGTAGCTTTGTCCCGACCAGTTACGAAAGGAGACCATGAGAGTAAAGAGAGAGAGAGAGAGAGAGAGAGAGAGAGAGAGAGAGAGAGAGAGAGAGAGAGTTGACCTTCGATCCACGCTTTTCTCGATCCTAGATGGACCTTGGTTGCCTTAGACGGAGGCGTTATTGTCGGGTAAAGAGCAAGAAGGCTGACCTTAAATCTGAATGATTATGCATTATCTATTGACAGTGTCGGTTTCCGATTAACAGATCCCGAGCGGACAAATCGACGATAATCTCAAATGATTTTCGTTGACTAAGGTCAGACGTAAACGAGATGGCCGGCGCTCGCCGGAGGATCCACGCTCGAGAAGGATCAAAGCCAGCCCTCGGTCAAACAGCTGCACGGTCAGCTACCGATCCTAAGGGCCACGGACAACCGGCTACCATCTTCCAGCTCACGCCCGTCCGGCCCTCCACCTGCGGCAACGGTGAGCTATCAATAGCTATGAATGTCTGGAAATTTCTAAGAATGAAGAGCGACCTAATCTGGTTGTGGGTTTGACCCACTTTGACTTTAAATGATTTCAAGATCATATGTTTTTCTTTATCTTTTAATTACCTTTCGGTCTCGCTTTTAATTCCTTTGTGGTTTCTTTTCCCGTTTCATCTCCTCTTTACAGGGGACTTCACCTGCACCACGGCAAAGGGGGAAGATGGAGCACGTGTGGCGCCGAGCTTTGTAGCTGGCCGGCCACCGGCGTCGTCCCTTTTGGTTCGCCACATGGAGCTCCCGCGAGCTGCTTCTCCGATGGAACGGGCACCCGATTCTATCCTCGGCGGCGATCGTCTGCCGGCGGCGGCGGCGGCGAGGAAGAAGAGGACTGGGAAGCCCGGATGTTCGACAAACTGCAAAGGAGCACATTACTATGCTCCCCCTTCCCCTTCTTCGCCCCAGACCTCACATGGCACCGCAGGCCCACGGAGTTCCGGCGAGGTGTTCTCGCCGGCGGATGAATCGAGATTAGCCAACAACCCGCGTTGTTACATTTCCGTATAAACCGGATTCGAACGCCCCCGATGGACACAGGTCTGTTGTGGGTCTTCGCCGACTGAGGACGGCGGCGAACAGGGGCTCCGGGCCCAGACCATCAATCCTGCGACGAGACGGCAAGACGCCGCCATTTCTGGAAAATTTCTCATTCTCGGGCATTATTGAGGGCTCTCCTCTCCGGCTTGTTTTTTAGCGAGGAGCAGGGGCCCCTTTGTTGGTTTCCCCGCGGAGCATCTCCCTCTCGGTCCGGCGAGTTGACTCATTGTTGAAGGTAGGCAGGCGGCTCCACCGGCCGCCGGTGGAAAGGAGAAAGAAAGCAGTCCCAATCCTGTGAGCCAGCGTCTGACGGCGAAGCTTTTCCTTCGGATCCTCTGCGTCGCCCACCGAGAGCTACTCTGTCTTCCGAGCCAGCCGTGCGGAAGCCGGCACTGCCCGTTCAGAGCGATTTCTTAATAAAAATGCTCCTTTTATTTAGAGAGAAGGGGGACCCAAAGGGAGACAAAACGGGGGACTGAGTAGAAGGGGAACGGAAGTTCTCGACGGGGGGTTAATAGAGGACCGGAGGCGGAAGAGTAATCGCTGAGGTGTTGTGTGAAGGCCAGCTCATGGGTCCGACAGAGACAGGGCACCAACAACTCTCAGCCTTCTTTACTCAGCTTACTCGCCGACCGCCCCCTCTGCATAAAGGCCCTCTGGATCTCTCTTTTCTCACCATCTTCAGTCCAGTCCATATCGGCTATCCTCCCTCCCCCCTGCTGCCACCGCCGCTGCCGCTGCTGCCGCCGCCGCCGCGCAGGCAGGCTTCTTTCTCTGATACCTCGGCTGGCATTGTGCCTCTCCTCTTTGCCGGCATTTGGTGAACACCCAGTAAGAAAACCGGTAGCGGAGTCGCCGCCGCCGCCGCCGCCGTAGATGATGAACTACGGCAGACTCGGTTCCCCCGAGTCCATCCCCTCGGTCACCGACATTCCCTTTCGGAGCGAGCGTCGGGCCCTAGGCGATGACGCCCATCGGAACCGCCGCCGCCGCCGCCTCTTCCTCGTCGGTCTCTTCTGCGCCTTGTTCCTCGTCGCCGGCGGCGCCGCGGCGGCGTTCCTCGCAGGGTGGGGTGGCGGGAGGGAGGGGACCTCCGTGCCGACGACAATACACAGCCCCAGCAAGGCCGTCTCTCGGGCCTGTGGCATGACCCGCTTTCCCAGTCTATGCGTCAGCTCCCTTCTGAACTTCCCCGGCGCGGTCGACGCCGGCGAGAAGGACCTGGTTCACCTCTCCGTCAGCATGACGCTGCAGCGCGTGAGCAGGGCCTTCTACGGGGCCTCCGCTATAGCCAACGTCCACATGGACACGCGCCTGCGGACGGCCTACGAGGACTGCATCGAGCTGCTAGACGACTCGATCGACCACCTCTCCCGGTCACTCGCCGCCGTGACCCCCGGCCGGAAGGGCGGCGGCGCCACCAACGCCGACGTGCTGACTTGGCTGAGCGCCGCTCTGACCAACCACGACACCTGCACGGAGGGGCTGTCGGGGGCCACCGGCGGCTACGTCAAGGACCAGATGGTGGCGCACCTCAGGGACCTCTCGGAGCTGGTCAGCAACTGCCTCGCCATATTCTCGATCACCAGCAAGAACAAGGAGTTCGCCGGCGTCCCCATCCAGAACCGGAGACGGAGGCTGATGAGCAGCGGGAGCGAAGCCGGCGGCGGGCCATTCCCGGTGTGGATGAACCGCAGGGACCGGCGGCTGTTGCAGGTGCCGGCGGGGACGATACCGGCGGACATTGTGGTATCCAAGGACGGAAATGGGACGTTCACGACCATCGAGGAGGCGGTGAAGGCGGCGCCGGAGTACAGCTCCCGGCGGTTCATCATCTACATCAGGGCCGGCAGGTGAATCTCTCAGCATTCTCCCTCTTTTCCGCCGTCGTAGGCTTCACCGATCGTATCAGTCCGACCTTCAGTAAGGTGCTCCGAAGAGGATTCTGGGCACCCCGAACTGTCGAGAAAAATCGAAAGTTTTTCCCCTCTGAATTCGTCAGATTTCGTCGATTATTACCTCGATTCGTTCTTGTTCTTGGGGGAATTCCCTCGGAGAGCGATCGATCCGCGCACTCGCACGCGGCCCTGTTGGATTTTACTTTTCTCACTGGATTTGCTCGCCGCGGCCGAGAACATGGGCGGGACACGGGGAATCTATTCCCTCGTGAAAGACCTGCCCTCACTCAATGGGATACTGTCGGTGACGCGCTCGTCGTCTCCCCCCTCCTTCTCTCTCTCTCTCTCTCCCCTTCTGGCCCACTCGTTCGTTGACTCCTGTCCAAAAACTGAGTCTTTCCAAGTGTTTTTCCGGCGAGTCAAAGCCGCCCACCACAGCTGGCCTCTGTCCTTCTCGTGGATCGGGGTCAGGTGTTGGGGGAAGACGGAAGCTTCAGAGATCCAACTCTCCTTCTCATACAATAATAGCAAATATCACGATGCAATCGACATTTTTTATGCATTTAAGACCGCGAGGGAGATGATATCTTGATAGCGACGTTGCAGGATAGATAACTTCTCCCCGTTGTTTTCTTCTGGTTAATCCTTGTTTCTTCCCTCCAATCTGGTTTCTCGCAGGTACGACGAGAACATCAAGGTTGGGCGGAAGAAGACGAACCTGATGTTCGTCGGTGACGGGAAGGGAAAAACCATCATCGCCGGCGCCCGCAGCGTTTTCGACAACTTCACCACTTTCCACACGGCGACCTTCGGTGAGCCGCGCTCGGCCATCCCTCCGCCATGGCCGCTGATTCTTTCCACTGACGCAGACAACTCTACCGCCATTGCAGCGACGACGGGGGCGGGGTTCATTGCGAGGGACATCACCTTCCAGAACTGGGCTGGCCCCGGGAAGCACCAGGCGGTGGCGCTGCGGGTGGGGGCGGACCACGCGGTGGTCTACCGGTGCAACGTGATCGGCTACCAGGACACCCTCTACGTGCACTCCCAGCGGCAGTTCTTCCGGGAATGCGACATCTACGGGACGGTGGACTTCATCTTCGGCAACGCCGCCGTGGTGCTGCAGAACTGCAGCATCTACTCCCGGAAACCCATGGACCTGCAGAAGAACACCATCACCGCGCAGAACCGCAAGGACCCAAACCAGAACACCGGCATCTCCATTCACGCCTCACGAATCCTCGCCGCCGCAGACTTACTCAACTGCACCAAGGGGGACTACCCCACCTTCCTCGGCCGGCCATGGAAGCTCTACTCCCGTACGGTCTACATGATGTCCTATATCGGCGACCACATCCACCCCGCCGGCTGGCTAGAGTGGAACGCCACCTTCGCCCTCGACACCCTCTACTACGGCGAGTACATGAACTACGGCCCCGGCGCCGCCGTGGGGAAGCGGGTCACCTGGCCGGGCTTCCGGGTCATCACCGTCCCCGAGGAGGCCAGCAAGTTCACCGTCGCGCAGTTCATCTACGGCTCCTCCTGGTTGCCCTCCACCGGCGTCGCCTTCCTCGCTGGCTTGTCAACGTAGAGAAAAGGAAGCTGCCCAGAATGCGGATCATCATCCATCTCTCCCCACCTTCTTCTCCTTCTCCTGTATCGTATATAAATTATCTCAAGTGTTATATATATAAACTTCCACATAGAGTAGACGGCTCTGTTTTTATTTTTTCCTTCTTGGAATAACATTGGTGTATCAAGTTCTCTCTCTTCTGTCCATGGCTGCCAATCAGACAGATTGTAAAACTCTCCTTCTTCGCTTTTCTCTCCACTAATAATCAGCGCACAAGCTCTGTAGAACGAGGGTCCACGTGTGGTTGTCGGTGGGCTGTGGGTTCGCCGGCCTTATTTCCGCCGCGTGGCAAGTGGCGCCGGGTAATGGATAACTCCTCCCCTGAATCTGAACTCCGCAGTGCGCAAAGTGTTCGACAAAACGCGTGTGGGATCGCAGAGCGGGAGTGGTTGCTTTCATCGAAGATTTTGACGGGCGGCGCCGGCCGGGGCCAGTTCACGATTGGGCCCTCCGGCCGTATAAATACCGAGCGGTCGCGCACGGCTAGCGCAGAGGCGGTCATTCATGATCGTCATAAAACTACATCGATCTGGCCCGATCCCGGCGGCCACCACCGGCGACTTAAATTCCAGCCACCCGTCGGTACTCTGGTCGAGCAGTCCCGCTCAACCGCACGAATAAAAGATTGCGGGGCTCCCTCTGACCCACCCTACTGTGTACACAGAATAACACACATTTATGGTTGCTTTTAATGGCATCAAGCATGTCAATCTCTCTTCTTCGAAGTCAACGAGGACCCTGATAGTTTTGACGATGACCGATCGCACAGTCGCCGGGAAGCCACCAGAGGGAAACCCACATTCAGCATTCAGGGCAGGGTGTCTATTTCAGTACAGAATGTGACGTTTTTTCAATACCAGCAAGAGTAGGCAGTAGATACAGACAAGTGAAGTAATTCCCGGGTCCATTTGATACAAGATTACTGGTTCTTACAGAGGGATATTAACGCATGAAAGCGAGACATCTATCTACATAGGCAGCGTACCGAGGCGACGATCCATTGCTTCAGAAACGGATTCCAGGAATGCGCTCTCACTGGTCCCTGGGATGACGGCTTCACTCGCTTCACGGACGATCTCCTCGATCACTGACTCCTTCTTGAGGGTTTCTCTGCACATGATGCTACCGATGGCGAAGGGAGTCAGGCCCTTCTCAACACCCTTCTTCAGAAGCATGGTGGATATCCTCAGGGTGCGGGCACATTCGAGGGAGAGCTCCCAGCCGTGGAATTTTAGCAGGGCTATGTCCTCCTCTGCGTCAAGTGATCTTATGTACTCGATGATCTCGGGGCTAAATGGTTCTCGGGCTTGGGGCCAGTACAGCCATTCAAATGTGCAGTCTTCAAACTGTGGGCAGGAGCAAAGGGAATGAGAGATTGGCGGCTCGCAACTTCATGCATTGTAGTGCAAAAAGGGAAGGAAAATAAATAAATCTGTGCAGATATATTCAAATTAGATATGTTGTCATGTGAGAATTCAGGGACTTTTCAAATAAAAAATGTGCATTTCTGTATTGACCTGGTCTTCCATTAGAGGGCATTATTTTCGAATACCGTAGAATCTGACAAAAATTATGCACATTCACTAGATTCCCATCCCCAGGGACATTATTCTGTGTGACACAAATCAGAAACCTTTCTTTCGCATGTTTGAGAAGAAATCACTTAAAGAAAGGCCGTGAAGCATTATTCTCTATCACCTGTTCGATTAAATGGCTCCAACACTTGATGATTCTTATTGTCACTCTTTACAATCTAAACTTTATAAACGCACAACATTATTACTGGTGGAATGAATTCTCAGACATCGATATGAGATGGTCCAACAAGTGGAGCCTGAATTAGCCTTCTTTCTTGATTGGGGTTGGTACCTGATAGAAAAAATTAAAAGATGACTCTTTGGGAAAGCAGTTTCAAATAGGGACATTGGTTCAGCCACAGTATTTCGTGGCTGATGCCTCGATGTGTGTGGCATTCATAGACTAAAGGCAAAAAATTATCATGGACAAATGTCCTACTCCCTGAAAAACGCACCCATAAAGTTATGAGAGACCTCCAACTGTTTCTTGATTTCCATTTCGCAGGCTTAAGAAAATAGCTAACAGAAGTCCACCCTATCTTAACATTATACCTTCCAGGGTTCAGCAATGTTGAAGGCAGTTAAATGGCTAACAGGAGATATCAATATGGACAATGGCAACATTAGAAGATCATGGGATCCATAGAAGTCAGAAAAAATCTTACCCTACATTGCCTACGACGTGTAAAGGATTGAAATCACGCACAACCATGACTTCAACATTAATGAAATTAAGCAGAAATTTGGAAGAAGATAAAAACTGAAAGATAAACTCACATTCTCCGGCAAGCAATATCCATGATCAATAGGAACCAGCCGAATCCGGTGTTCTTCTCCCTCTTTGCAGACTAGGATGTTCCCACCATGCCTATCAGCATTGGCCAATCGGATATCCAGAACAGAGATTTTATGAACATTTTCAAGTGGAAAAGCTCGAGGACCCATATCGTCACAAGTGCCTACATTCTCCATAAACATTTGCAAGGATCCGATTTTAATATTTTTAGCTGCACTGGTGAACCCATCAGGATGATTAAAACCTTCATGCAAGCAACGGGCCATCACTGTAGGAGGAACACCTGCAAACCCTGTGCCACTGTGCAAAGATGAACGGCGCCCACCGATGGGATGGTCCAGCAGGTAGGCTGCAACCTCCCTCAACGCACCCTCTCCAACCCGTGTCCCTCTCTTTAAGCCTTCACCATCTACTGATAAGGGGAGTCCCTGAGGATTATTCACAGCCATTGGTTCCTCATCAATAGGCTTAAAAACTGCAACATATTTCTGACCTGATTTTCCATGCATGAAATAGGCTCCTCCTGAGCCTTCCGATGACCGGACAGGCACATTGCCCTTCTCCAAACCAGCAACTGTCGCACGAATCATGTCATGAATAACGGGCAGCAATTCGACTTTGGGATTCACAATAACTGGCTCGAGCAATAAATATCTACTCTGCTGTTCCCTTTCAAAGATTTGAGGAACCTCGAAACTCTTCGACTCGCAAATATCTGATGTCTCAATCGACAGTTCAAAATCCTTTTCGACTGGTTTTGACCTAATTTTTGACGATTTGCACAGAACTAAATGGATCACAGCATCTTTGTCACTGGAGATTTCTTCAATCAGGCACTGATCATCGAGTTCCTCACCATTACATATCAGCTTCTGCTCAGACGGGTGAGCAAAACCGTTTCTCTTGCTGGCAATTTGCTGCTTGATGTATCCGATGTTCTTGTTCTGCTCCACATGGAATTTGTATTCCCTCCCAAATGTTGTTTTAACAGTGATGGTACGCAAGTCGCTCAGGCGGAGCGCAAGGTGAAGAATGTTACCGTTGCCCACGCCGTAGTCCCGGATCAGGCACTCGTTCCGAGCCAGTTCGCGCCCATCAAAGATCAGCTTCTGCTTCTTCACAACAAACCCTTTGCACCCCTGTATTCTTAGTTTCACGGATGCTATGGATTCGGAAGCCAGTACCCTCATCGGGATCCGCGCCGATCCCGAGGAGAATGAGAGGTAGATAAAGATGTATTCTGCTGTACAGTGAGGAGATCTAGAGCCATCGACGCCAAGGAGGGAGAGTGGATCTTCTGGGAGAGGGCTGAGAACGATTCCAGCAGAAGACATTTTCGGAAGGGGAATTCTTGAACTTGGGCTGACAACTGATCAAATGCGTCAAAATGACGTAAAAAACCAGCACTCCTTCGGGCGATTCGGATCTCTTCCTAGCCACAAAAGATGCATAACACCACGCCTACAAAGACATCGCGGATTCAAGGAATCGCCGCCGTCAGAGACGAGCAAGGCGAATCCTTGATCCCGACGGTGATACAAGAAACAAGCCCAATGAAAAGAACAGCTTCAAACCCTAGACCTTCTAGGGCACGGGTTTCGACTCCAAATCCCACAATCGGAGCAACGATTTGGGCGAATAGAGCAGTGCGGGGAATTGAGCGGATCTACCGGAACATACGAAACCTTGTGCATAAATCGAAAGAAAGAAAAGGTGGAAAGACACGGAGGGAGGACACAAACTCGGCGGGGAAGAGGGATTCTTCTTACCGAGCAGGAGAAGAGAACAAGAGAGCAAGGTGCTACGGACGATGGGCTCAAATCGGCCACCAAACGTAGCAATACACGGAATTCTTTTTACCGATCAGAGGCTCCATTTCCACATTTCTCTAGCCCAGCCTTCCATCTTCACTTCTCCTCTTCGATCTCCCCCACCCTCTCCTCCCTCGTCCCCAGAAATTCACTCTCACCGACAACTTCTCCTTCGTTCCCTTCCAAAGACCGAGAAAATCGGGGGCGAAAGCAAAACGGGGACGACGAAGGCCCCCCTCGGCGACCAGGCGAATTAATATCCTCGACAAGGCATCCGCCGGTCGGACTTGACGGCGAAACGGCCGTCAACTCCACCGTCAACAAACAGTCCTTGCCTTCCCATTCTTGAGACGCAATAACGGCGACAGATAAACGGAACGGCGGCACAACGCGTTCCAGCGGGAGACTTTCCTGTCTCCTTCCTCGCCTTCAATCCGTCAAAAGAGAAGACGACCACACCAACGGCTACTTGTGGCTCGGGACTTATCCGGCCCTTTCAAACCAGGGCCCACAAGCCCACCTGAGCCAATAGCCCAATGGTTGTTGCCCCCGAGAGAGAGAGAGTGACGGGCGGTCACCTTTTATTAATAATTATTAGAGAGGAGGAAAGCTCTGTGTTTTTCATGAAAGAGAAGAGAAGAGAAGAGAAGAGCTTCATAAGTTCCTCTGGATGAACTCCCAGATCCTCTGCTCCATGTAGATGCGGTCGGCAAGGCGGCGCGGCATGTGGCGCTCGTCGGGGAAGAGCAGGAGCTCGTAGGGCTTGCCCGCGGCGATGAGGGCGTTTACGAGCCTGGCGGTGTGCCGGAAGTGGACGTTCTCGTCTATCATGCCGTGGACGAGCAGCAGCTTGCCCCTGATCTTGGCCGCGTGGTGCATGACCGAGCTGCCCTCGTAGCGCCGCCCCCCGTCCTCCCCCGGCAGGCCCATGTACTTCTCGGTGTAGAAGGTGTCGTAGCCGTCCCACGCCGTCACGGGGGCGCCGGAGATGGCGCAGCAGAAGGTCTCGGGGAAGCGGGCCAAGGAGATGGCCGACAGATAGCCGCCGTAGCTCCACCCGTAGATCCCGATGTGGCCGGCTTTCGCTAGCCCTTCCTTGACGAGCCACTCTGCGCCGGTGCGCTGGTCGTGAGCGTCGACGTCTCCGAACCTGTGCTTGAGGGCGCCTTCGAACTTCAGGCCCCGCCGCGCCGTCCCTCTGTTGTCCAGCTGCCGACGACGCACCAGAGAAGATTCCCATTAAAAAAAACTCGGCAAACGCTTCAGACCAAAGGCAATACGCTGGGGGAAGGGGGGGGGGGGGGCTGACCTTCCATATTAGAAAACCTTTATTCCTCAGGAACTGCGCTCTCATGTCGACTGTGTTGATCCAAGAGTCGCACACAGTCTGCACACAAGGGCCGCCATAAACACTAATAAGTGTCTTGTAAGGAGGGGGACCGAACCTTTCAGCATCAGGCCTGTACAGGGCCCCATATAGAACGGTGCCGTCGCTTGCCGGGACCTGGACCATCTCCGGCGGCAAAAATCGGGACTGAAATTGTGGGCCGCCAAGTGCCTGCTCATACAGAGGGATGATCACACTGCCATCATGCAGCAAACAGAGGGTTACCCGAGGAGGAGAGTTCACGGAGTCATGGACATCCACAAATCTCTGCAACTGGTGATCGAGAATCACTGTGTGCCTTCCCTTGCCGTGAGTTAGCCTCCGAGGTGTCGGTAGAGGAAGGGTCCAGTTGGGGAAGAGGCTGACAGAGTACAGGTGACTTTCCAAAGGCCCGTCCACTGTCCCCGTGAAGTACACAACCCCAGCGTTCTCATTTACACCGGCGATTTGCTCGACCATCCAGTCGCCCTGTGTGAGAGGTCCCAAGCAGGCGCCGTGCCGGTCATGAAGATAGATATGTCTAAAGCCAGTCTTGTCGCTGGCCCAGATGAAGCCCCCCGCAAACTTATCGTTTCCCTTGTCCAAAGGCGTGAAGCAGTCATGCAGGCCGACCCAGGTCTCATTCTCTTCAACCAGTATGACTTCCCTCTGGCCTGTTCTTATATCAAACTTGAGGAGCTTCAACTGGGAATGGTGCCGGTTGAGAACCTGGGCTAGAAGAGCATTTTCAGGAGCCCAGTTTACTCTGGCCAGATATTCCTCATCGAAGTGTTTGCCACAAATGAGGTCCATCCAAGTAACCTCTCCGCCGAGGACAGAGACGACTCCAAGCCGGACCGTGACGTTGGACGTCCCAGCAAATGGATATGCATGGTCCTCCTCTGCATCACTACCGACGGAAGGCTTACCCTGATGCATGATTCTAAAGAGAGGAACTTCCGATGAATCCACCTCTGTGAAAGCAATGCACTTGCTGTCAGGGGACCACCAGAACCCAGTCTTCCGGTCCATTTCCTCCTGTAATCACAAAGCGACAGACAAAATAGATGAGACAAGAACAGGAGGCTACGTTCTTATCTGTGTGAGAATATCCGAGTGGAGAGAGAAAAAAAAAGAGAGAGAGAGGAGCACCTGCGCAATATACTCCGCAAGACCATGAGTCTGAAAATGCACCACAAAACAAGGCCTCAGACTTTGATGATCCACGGAGAAAAATGTGTACATTGATAATAAATTAATGAACCGAAAAGATTGACAATAAATGCCACAAAAACCAGAGGCATCCGTAGCTTTTCTCCAAGTAGAAAGGTTATATGAGAACAATATGGCGCAATATTGGCACAGGGGAGAAGATAAGGATGAACCGAAATGAATCAAGACTGAGAGAACATTCTCACTGTTCTAAACGGTAGTGTGTTTCCAGAGTGATAAGCAATCTTCCTATAATAAAGCATACCATAAAGAGACAAACACGAGAAGACACGTAGCAACAGAGTTCTAAACCACTATAGTTTCAGGTGAGCGAGATGAATGATCAAATTTGATCAAGTATATGAAGTTGCTAGTGACAGAGAAAATATAACGAAACAAATATGAACATAAAAATACACTGCCGGATCACTCAGACATCATTCAGAGTAGACCGCAGCATATTATAAATGGCCACAGCAGGACTTTCGTATTGAGACAGGAGAAGTAAATTTTTATTTCTCAAGTGATATTATCACGCTGAACAGGCGTTCACGGACGAACAACTCATTTTATTGAAATTCTGGACGTCCCAGTCACAGCTACGGGAAATCTGAGATCATTCAAGCGTTTGTCAAAAAAGCCCTTGACAGCGTTAGTCCAGTTATCCAGGTGCTTTCAAGTCAATGTCGATATGATTGGCTAGAAGCCATCCAAAATCCCCAACAACTGATTTCACATAGAAAAGTGAGTGGGATACGCCCTATGAAAAAGCTCCTGGGTTGAAGTTTATTCTGCATCATGGACATGCCAGAAGATTCTGATCTTATTCTCCATTGTACAATAGGCTTGTTACCACGTAACTATGGAGTGAGGTTAAATGGGTTCATTGCCATTCACTAGGTCTTCTCGCCCATTAAACACACGGTCGTTAAAATGTGAAATAACGAAGGAATATCCTCAGAGTATCTGATTCACTTATTACAGAATCATCTGTAAGGGTAGAACTCCAAAAATATTTAATAACACAAACATACATACGAGTGAACATATTTTGAAGGCTATCGAAAATTTTAAAATCAGAAAACACTAGGAGTTTGGAATATATTTCGTTTTCCCAGCTCATTTCACAGTTCTATCACTCATTCTTCTCTTCTTCCTCTTGATCTTCTTTATCTTTCTCCCGCCACTACAGGGGATTCTTATTGGTCAAGTCAGATATTGCAGAAGTGAGGTTCAAATGCGAAGAGATACGATAACTACTAAATTATAACCGGACTGGCCTTTTTCTTGCAAATTGCCAACTATAAAGACAACCAAGGCTTAAATGTATATAGTAAGTGCACTCATCAACGAAAATTTGTGCGTCACAGACGTTATATTATGCAGGGAGCACAATCTTTTCGATTCAGTGTATCTTGGCGAGATTTTTTTTTCTCGTCTCCTACCTTAAAACAAAAGTATGTTGCATTGACTAACTTAAGAAAAATGAAAAATCTGCCCACGTTCCACTGCAATGATCTCTTCCTTGCCATGCCAACCGATTCATTCAATCTATAATGTGTTCGATTCACACTCATGACTCTTTTTTCCTTCTAATTCGAGGGCGAACTACCACTTTCTTTCTTATTACGCCCACTCATTACATTGCTTACTTAGCTAATGTATACATTTTGCTCTGTACTTAAAGACCTTTATAATATATTATAATTTTAAGCAAGTTGACCTATGATGACGGACCGAAGCCTCACTTCTCTAAAATCTAGCCACTAAAAATAAATTTCCTCGTGACTGCTTGGACAAGAAACTTAGTCCCTGAAATCTGGATGATGCTGATTGTATATATATATATATCCAAACTTCCTGTACTACAACCAAACCAGGTGAGTCCAGCACCTAATATGTCATGTTGTGTGTGATATGTTCCTGATAAGTGAGTAGCAAAAGAAATTAGCCAACACTCCCATTTATTGCATTTGGAAAATATCGGTCCAATAGCATTTCATCCACAAATTGCCAGGAGAAAAGGTAACGATCTTTCCCAGCCTATGTGTCAAATAACTATTTGAGGCTTCAAAGGTTACGCAGAATTCCCTCTGTTTTGCCTTTGGTTTTACCAAAGAAAAATGAAAAGAAAGACGGATGGCACCATTCAGGATAGCTTTAAGAAATAAATAGCAGCATCCAAATCCAACCTGAAACAGGTACTGTAGAAATAAAAATAAAATCACCTTCGAATTTCCCCTAGCACCAAAAGTTAGTCGTCTTTGTTCCCCACTCGAGAGATTCTGAATGTGCAACTCGTAATCCTTTACATATGCAAGCATACTTCCATCTGGGGATAAATGAGGATCAATAATTGGTAAGCCAGCAATACCCGGCAGCTTAATCTCTGACACAGAACATCCTATTTCCTGGAAAAATATCTGTAGACGAAATAGATAAAAGTCATAAAGACATAAAATTTATGCATATTTAATTTCGCGGACAACATTGGGGAAAAAATAATGATGTAAAAAACGAGAAAACTATGAATATGGCCTACTTCTGAAAAGAAGGCAATATAGAGAATAAAAATTCAGTGGACTATGAATTCAAAACGTTAGAATGCGACATTCTCTGAAACATAACGAAATCTTTTTATTTTATTTGGAAACAATATGTCGTTCATCTGCTGTTTAATAACTTATGATGCGAGACTGTCTGAAGAAAACTTTATCAGATACGCCAATATACAGCAATAACACCGCAAACTATAGTAGAAATCCAGTCCAGTTATCTACGACTGTTCTTTACTCAGCCTGATAGACCAATCACACATACATATCCAACACCTAAACTATTATCACTGAGCTGCTCTCTTCTTCCATTCAGAAATCAGTAGAGCCTCAAAATTAAAGACGACAAGATGAATCGTCCACATGCAGCTTTAGACAAAGAAACCCACCACGTCGAAGGTAATTCGTGGAGAGTGTTTAATGAAATATTTTCAAATCATTTTCCGATCGAATCAAAGACATTTGAAGCCTCTGCATTGGTCGACCAGTTCTCACACAAAAAATCACTGTCGAGAGAACGATTTGTGTACATTATGCAAGTTCATCATTGTACCAATGTGGAGAGAGAGAGAGAGAGGGAGAGAGAGCGTGCGATACAATTCGAAGAGATTATTCAGCTCTAGTCAAGGACTAACAAGATTTATACAAATGGTAAGAGAATAGAGAGCGAACCCCGGCGGGCAAGGGCACCATGATTCCTGGTCTCTCGGAGCAAGATTTGGCCCTCCACTCGTAGCGGGTGACACCGAGACCCCTCTCCCTCGATCTCTCCCTTCGCAGCTTCTCCTCTTCAGATAGGTTGCTCTCGTCGAGTCCCCCCCCATCCGGAGGGCCGAAAATAAGCTCGTGCCGGCGGCTTGACAAGTCGAAGGCATAAACCTTCCTTCGTAGCGTGTTGTCCGGGCTGAATAGGTAGGAGATCAGTCGATCATCGGGGCTGAAGCTGATCGATGACGGGGCCACGTATCCAGGCAGCGGATGCTGGACGGTCTCCTCCACGGGGAAGTGATACAGATCATCACTGGCGTCAGCCGCAGGCATCTCGTCGTGCGCGCGTCGCGGCTTCTTCTGCCTTTGCTCCTCCAACACTACCACCTCCAATGACGTCGCTTGCATCACCGAGCCGGGACCCCCCCGCTCTTGTCTGCACCAAAACACCGCAACATAGATCGGTACGAGGAGACTGTCCGAGGATGATCACTGAGATCTCTGCGCATAACCTAGAAATGTGGAATCCCTGACATTGATAGCTCCCGAAATGAATTTCCCCCTCCGACCCAACTTTCCTCTTGATCGAACAACTCAGGGAAAAGGCTAGATATGCTCAATTCTCTCCTCATCGTCCGAAAGGAAAAGTCCAAGCCACCCACCCAAATTATTTAATATTATATTAGAAATTTGTCCGCTTGATTCTAGCAGAAAAACGAGAAAAAAATGCTTCTGAACAGCTTAAACAACCAACACCTGTATGCTTATACCGTCCCGTCGATCGGGCGACTCGCCGGCGAGGTGACGACGATCTCGGCTGCCGGAGAAATTCCAGCGCGAGGGGAGCGGAAGAGGTGGGGCTTCCCTCTTCCACCCGATACCCTCTCCTCCATAATTAGCACCAGAGGCCGCTCCCCTCTGCAGATCGCCTGGCGGTAGTAGATGCAGAGGGATGAAGAGACGGCTTCCCTCTTGTACACTGTAGATGGGGATCGATTGCCTGGTGGTCGATTTTTTATTTTTTTATTTTTACTTCAATCTCGATCCGTTGCTTTATAAAATTTCCCCGAAAAACGCTCATAAAATATAATTCTAAAAAATTAATAAATCCGCTCTTGATGATTATTAATTTTTTTTATTCATGATAAATTTGTCCGGTTCGGGCCGGTATTTGGCGGGACCGGCCCTGAGCCGGGAGCCCAAGCAGGTTTCTCTTGGTTTTTTGCATCGGTAGCGCTGGGACGATGAAGATTCTCGGAGGGCGGCCATCGGCTGGGGGGAGGGCGGGGTAGCCATTTCTTCTCCGTTGCTGCTTGGTTCGGCTTGGGTACGCAGCTAATCCACGTCTTCCCGTCCACAGTAGTCGCACCCGCGTTTGCTCATCGGCGAAAGTCAAAGCCCTAGGTCGTATTGTTTATTTTAGATGGTGTCAGACGGCTGAGTTTTGCATTATCTTCTCTCTATGCGGGGCCTTCTAGTTGGTTTTTTTGTGTCGGACTGTGTTCCTCACGAAATCGCCGTCCGCGTTCTTACTATAATTGCTCTTGTAGAAAACTCAGAATTGGTGTCGCCGAAGAGGTTATCGTGTTTAGTGGACTGGTTCTCAGCGTTATGAGGGACTTAGCCGACATTTGTTCGAGTTCTAACTTCCTCGCATTCCTCTCCACCGCTTGCAGATCTATTCTGCGGAGGGATATATCTCGATAAAGTAATGGATCTCGGGGATGCTACTGAAGACTGCCCAGACGACGTTGCATTTGGACTCGATGATTATTTCGTAATTTCCGAATCTTTCCGTTTCTTAGACCTGTATACGCACAGAAACCTCCATTTCGAAGCAGTTACTTGGCTTGACGGCTTAGCCACTGCAGTTCTACTGATTCTCTGACTGTCTGTCGATTAAATCATAGTTGTTATGCATGCCCATTTCTTCTCTTGTTTAAACAAACGAACATACATGAATTTTTTTTCTTTTTATTTACAAAAAATGCCAGTGGTTTCTATAGGATATGAAGCATCCAAGGATGAATCGGGAATTTTAGATCGTATTTTCGCATTTTGTTGAAGAAGGCTTCAGAGGACGATGTTTATTCCAGGATGCAGGCCGTTTCAGCTTCTCATATAGATGAAAATTCATTTTGGTATTTTTATCAGCTGCCCATTCATTGGCAGATTTCTACGTTTTTCCGAACCTGGAATATGCAAAAGCTTTGTAATGTCTTTGATATTAGAGTCAGCACCTTGATTTCCTCGCTCTCACGTTATATTTGCTGAAGGATCAAAGCTTTATCCTTTGAGATGCCCCTGATCGTTTGACCATATAATCGTCTGTAGGTCAAGAAATACTCAAATTGGCAAAATTTGTGCGTCTTTCAATCCATCTGGACTGCTAGTTTTCACTTTCATTTTGATGAGATGACATTTTTTTTTACTATTTCAGGACGATTCTGTCTTTGAGAATGAAACCTGCGGAATATGCCTGGATGTTGTCATCGACAGAGGGGTGTTGGATTGTTGTCAGCACTGGTAACTCTCTACTGCGATAATTTCTTCTTTTTCATGACATTCTACACGATTAATTCCTTACTCCTGTCTTCTAAATGCATTTTGGAGACCCTGTTGCTTCTGTAAGAATTTGTGTTGTTTGCTCTACATTTGAGAACACATGGTAATAAGTTCATACAATATATTGTGTATGCGATTCAACCTCCTGTTGTTTGGGTATTGCGGCCATTTATTCTGCGATCTCATCAGATTGTGAAATCATTCTACTAAAGTTCTTTGTGGTTGGAGTTGTAAATTCTTTCCAGTCAGATAGGTTTGCATGTGCATATTGCAAATGTATGTATGAGCCAGTATCCATTTAGCCTATGTTCGAAATATTGTCATCTGTGAAATATCATGATATAAATCACCGTGAAAAAATCGGATTTTTGTCTAGTACGTAAAATAATGTTTCAATGATATATTTACATGCGTTCCCTGCACAAGGTGTTCAATAGAAACTCTAACAACGTTATCATACGTATTTTTCTGTCTGGTGAGTGGATAGTACCACATGATCACAGCCAGAGAACATGAAGAGTACATGTGTATATAATAATCTAACGTGAGAAAAAAATCTGTCTACACATGACTAAGCAGCATGCACCTGGAGAGTTCATGGCCCTGATAGACCACTGATTTTGAAGTTCGAATTACTCATTTTTCGAGCCAGGCTTGTCCAAGACACAGTCTCTAGCAGACTGGGTGTGTGTTTGTACGTATAGTTGGGTTTGTTGGATGTAGGGGTGTGGGTGGGAGAAGTTACAATAAAAAATAATTGGATTATTCAATTCATAACGAATCGGCAATAATTGTTTTTGGTGCACATGTTTAAATCATGGATTTAATTTATCTCAACCAATGTGAGAAAAATATAGCTTGCCCCCTGACCTGCTAACCGACTCTTTTACCTCTGTCATGTCAGGAATATAAATAGGCTGTATGCAGCTTAGGGATAGACATGAAACTCTAGTGTCCTGAAGAATTTTGGCGGTAGAAGGAGGTTTATGAAATATCTTTGCGTAACTGGGTCTCTGGAACAGGGTTTATTCACTGATCAGGAGAACCTCCTCCCGGTACTCACAGCCTGTTGTGGGGAGTTTATTAAGATGGAATGCTAATTAGCGAAAATGAAGGCATGATAGTCCTTGCACGTTACTTAAATAAGCAAATGAGAAGAATTAAATTCTTCTATGATCTTATCATATATTGTTCTATAACTCTGTAATTGTTCTGCTAGTTTTCTGCTATTTCTTGCTTTTTTCTGTTTGTTGTAGTCGTTCTCATGGTAATGTCCATTTTCTAGGCTACTAATAAATGAGATGCTTTCTTACTCTCAGTGCTTATGACTTAATTTGTCAGTTTTTAAGATTTACCTTGTTTATCTATTAATCTTTTTTATCTCCCCGTCACGTTTCCTTTTTTTGTTTCTCTTACATGTACTTTTGTAGTTCTATTTCTTCATATGAACATCCAGCTAATCAAAATTAAGACAAGGATCTATTCAAGGTTGTTCTCCATCTACTTGTCAGGTTGTTGTGAGGCTGATTTCCGTTTAAAAAGATGTTGTTCAACTCCCTGGATTTTCTCCCCCCGGCTCTAACCCTACCCCACATTTATGCAATGACCCCTCATAAGGATGATTATAATGATGATTGTTGTGATCGTAAAGTGTTGTATTATTTGCTTTTGTTTTGGCATATTACTTAATGTTAGGTTACAAGCTGTATAATTCTGTTTTTACCTAAATGAGACGTATCCATTTAAATGTTCTGAACAGTATTCTATATTTTCTCCTGCTATGCGTAAGTTCATCTCTTGGAAAAGAGCTATTTGATTTGGAGAATATTGTAGAACCAAAGTGGGGCTTTTGTATTATCTCGTTTCTTTTCTTTCTCAGGTTTTGCTTTGCGTGCATTGATAACTGGGCCACTATCACAAATCTCTGTCCGATTTGCAAGAATGAGTTTCAACTCATCACATGTTTGCCTGTAAGTGATTTTCGTATCATAAATCACTCCTAGAAAATAATCTTAGATACATATTTAGGTTCACAAATTATGTTTCCTAAGTACACAAAACCCCAACATGAATGCCAGTACCATGAGTGGAGAAGTCTTCTTCTTAAGTCTATATTAATGTAGAGTCCCCCATTCCTGCTTTTGAAATTTCATTGAGAAATCTGGTTCCAGTATCTATTCATTCATAATTCAGAGCCCGGAAAACTCAATAGTTTCTTTTTACCAACTGAAGGTTTATGATACAATTGGAAATGCCAAGGTTGATGAACAGTCACTTTCCAGGTAAATCTATTGGCTTTTTTTCTGCGTATGCCAATTAATATTTTGATTCTTATGCTATCCTGAATTATCTGTATAGTTTAGGGTCGAATTTGGCTATGTCATTTCCTTTGAATTGGATGCCTCTAGTTTGAGTTTGAATGGTTATGCCCACTATGTCATTTTGATAGAGGACGTTATGTGAAACTTCCAAGTCACATGAAAATTGGACATTATGAGTTCGAGCAATATGGTGCAAAACTTACTGATGATAAAATGCTAAGATACAAAATAGGTATTACCATGTTTAAGTTGCAGCCTAGTCAACACAATAGTTTCTGCATGTCATTAGGTATCTTCAAGAGCAAGATAAAGTGAGTTGGCAGATCTAATAAGATTGGTATATATATATATATATATATATATATATATATATATATATATATATAGATAGATAGATAGATAGATGGATATCTTTTGATGCACCTGTGAAATCAATATTTTCTAAAAAGTATATTGTTTGACTTTCACGTAAATACTCAACTTCTAAGACTTGTTTACTCAGGTCCTAAGCTGATTCCACATTTGGGGGATGAATGATAGCATAAAGATAGTTCTCTTGTACAAAAGATACTGAGTGATTAACTTATTTCTCCAGGACTTGGTTTTTCATGTTTCAAGCTGATCCCGATCGATGGTTAATGCTTGATGATGATAGTGTGCTCCCTCTGTATTGCTGATGTGAAGGGAGATGAAGCAGTTAATCTTTATAATATCTTTATTTCAAGTTGTTGAAGTAGTTTTTTTCTCAGATGATATCGTTGAGATATAATTCTAATTTTGAATCAGATTAACGGTTATGTTTCTGTTGGAAATGCCTTTCAAAATTGTGGAGAACAAATTGCTGTTCACTGATAATCATCTGCCATAGCGGGCAGTATCTGAATTGCATTCCATAGGATCATGGACCAAATTGTTAGGATTTGTTGGCCCACCCTTTATATTAATAATCTGGACCATACTGACCAAGAGAAACAAGTATGTTGTTGCGCATGTACTTCCCGAGAGAAACAAATGGATGGGCGTGTGCTAGGATCAAAGTTGGTTCGTCCGTTTCTTTGTGAGGAAGGGGATAACTCTGCAATTGTATGTTTTTTTATATGATAGAACTGTTACCAACTTTAAGAGAATTTTTGAGAAAGTTTATTATTTTATGCTTGCCAAATTCCCAGTCAATGGAGAATATCATCTCAACATGTGGTAAACTAGTCTTTCAGTTTCTTTCTTCCTAATATACTGTTTTTTCCCCTTCTCAGGGATGACGACTGGTACATTCAGGGGAAGTGCAACACTCTTTCCTTTCCTTCATATTATATCAACGAAGATGTAATGAACTTTAATATTTTTCTATGCATTTTTTTGTACATATTGTTCGGATCTCATACATTTGTATCTTGTAGGCAGTTGTATGTTTGGATGGGGATGGTTGCAAAATAAGAAACAAATTGCCAACTGAAGAAGATTTAAATCTTGATACATCAATTGCTTGTGATTCATGTGACATCTGGTACATGCTTCCCCTTGCTTGTAAATTAATGTAAAAAGTGAACTAAAAAATCCTTATGATTACTTTTCTTTCCGGCTTTCTCTCGCTCTTTCATATTAATCCAGGGTAACCTATTGCTACCCTTGTATGTGAATTAAAGTGATATATTATGCTACATGAGAGCACACGTGTAGATATTCTATGGATCTCACTTAGCTTAGGGTACATGACTTAATGCATTGGCGGAAATCAGTGTTGCCAACCGCAGTTAATTGCACTTTGTGGATAATCTCGATGAAGAATTAGAATACCATGGTTGGTCTTCTAAAATCCTTGGACGAAATGATGCATGCAGATGTACCCTACAAATGTATGAAGAGCAAATGCAGGCTTCACATATTTCCAGTGCTATTCTTACAACTATTGGTGTTGGGTGGAGTTGAGAGCTTGATAACTTGGGAAAATAATCCGATTATGACTAACTGGGCCAATCCATCACCTTTAGAAACACTGGATCGAATCCATACGATCTTCTTTAAAAACTTATTTATCAACAATGAACTATTTTGGGTATATTGAACCAATTTATCCACGTCATGAGGCATATTACAAAAAATAGTTCCCTATGACTTTATTATATTGATACTATGCATACAGTAAACTAACTTTTCCCCCCTTATTGTACATTATTTTTTTTTTACATTACATTATGCATTGTGTGTTTAACATCTTTGCTTGGAAGTATATTAACTGCTTCTGTTTTGACGTCGATTCAGGTACCATGCTTTTTGTGTTGGATTTGATCCTGAAGGTACGTCCCATAGCTCATGGCTCTGTCCAAGGTAATATTTAACTCTGCTGGGGAATCATGCGTAAAATCACATAGTTGCTGCATATCAACTAAATAGAGGAAGAAAACCTTCTCTAACTTTTCTTTCTTTATTGTAGATGCAAAAACAACGGTTTACGACAAAGGTTAGAAGACATTTCTGAACAAAATCTGTTCAGTGATCATGATCAGAGAAATTCGTGCAGTCTTCAGTCAGTTGGTTCAGTTTTTTCGGGAAAGGTTTCGATATCTATTGCTGATGCTGGTGAGACAGCTGTTGTTGTCTCGATGGTTGAAGGAAAGCAGTCTACAAGTAGTGAAGAAGACCTCTTGGAGAGTGAGACTAATGTCAACGCATGTACAGAAGAGGAGGCCTTGATGACAAATGTCTCCTCTTGTGCTACTGATTTTGAGCAGTGCAAGTATAGAAATCTTGTTGATACAGATGATGATCAATGGTTGACCAGAAATGCTGCAGGAAATCAGAGCCGTTCTGAATTCTCATTGGAAGTTGCTTCTGATAAGGCCATTTCTTCGGACAGTTTAGTGCAGGAAAACTTTTTTGGCTCACTAACGTCGCTGGAGGCATCATCAGACGGAGATATCATCCACCATAATAATGGTGAGCCAGGGACACCATTTCCATTTTCTATGTCAGAAGGTATTTTTTCTTTTCCTTGTGATCCATTGGCTTCAGTTGGCTGAATACCTTATGACCCACACAGATTTTGGTCGGGGAGGCTTTCTGTTTTCCTTTTTTTTTTAATCTCCACTGGAAGTGACCTCTCGACGTCAAGTTGGAGAACGAATGATGTGACATTCTCATCATACATTGGTATCTTGTCTCACCTGATACTTTTCTACAATTGTTTTGGTGACACAGCAGTTTTGGACAAGGCTGAGGCTCAGCTTGGTGGTGATAGCACCCAGCCTTCCAATAATGTTTTCTCTTTATCAGGTATAAACTAATTACGGATGCATGTCTCCCGGTTGCCCATTTTCTTGGCTATTTTTCTTTTCGATAGTGACAGTTGGACAGAGGTAGTAACGTTAGTGTCTTGTTGCGAATGACTGTGACATTTAGACTTCATCTCTTTTGTAACTTTCAGTGGACGAATTTGTGAAGAATGATAGTGGGAATGTTGCTGATCTTGTTGATCAAGAGAATTCTGAAAGAAAAGATTTCATCAGAAAGGATTTTGAGATTCCTATATCGTCGCTGATGTAAGAAGCTACCTGTCGTTGTAAATATGTCTGACAACTGTTTATTACTTGGCTATACTTGTTTATTTTTGGTAGTCAGTTGAATATAAGCTTTTTTACAAGTGAAATCCTCTAAAGTAAAATCATTGACATGATTTCTCCAAAATATGAATTTCCATGTTGGAATCTGTCTTGGTGCTGCATTTGCAACCTGTATCAATCTTGTTCGGACATCCAAAATGCTTGTCTATTCTTACTTTCTTTTCAATTTGATTCTGTCTCAGGAATGATTCTAACAAGAGTGACCAATTCAAGAAGAGAGAAAGGGACGCCCATGCCAATGCAGCAACTGACGTTTGCAGAGAAATTGATGGCTTCGATGAGAAATGTAACATGTTGCCCCAAAGACGTCGGATCGATCCGTGCTTTGCAATGGATCCAAGAGAGTGGTCTGATCTGGCATCATCGTCTAAAGATTTAGAGTCAGATCAAGTTTCGGGAAAGGAAGATGGCACGTCAGATATTATGAGCATCGTCCAGGACACTGGGTGTAAATCCTCTATCACTCAGTCATCGAGCACTGATGGGAGACATCGTGGGGTTGGTTTAAGAGTGAAAAAGATATTGTGGAGATCTGGACATGACAATGAATCATCAGTATTAGTTCAGAAACTGCGAAATGAGATAAGAGAGAGAGTATGTGATAAAGATATATCAGATATCAGCAGAATTGTAGCTTTTGATGGGAAGCTTCTTTCTGCATTTCGTGCTGCAATAGCAAGACCGGAAAATAAGACCGTTAGTAAAGTTGATCCTCCATCTGTAAGAGCCAAGAATATTTTATTGCAGAAAGGAAAGGTACGGGAAAATCTAACCAAGAAAGTATACGCAACTACCAGCGGAAGGCGAAGACGTGCATGGGACCGAGATCGGGCAGTGGAATTTTGGAAGCATCGTTGCCTCAGCAGTGAACCAGAAAAAGTAAGAACCTTACAGTCTGTCCTTGACCTCCTCAAAAAAGTTAAGTCTCCACTCGTGCATCCTGAAATAGAACAAGGCCCTGAAACGCAGGCTTCTAATTCCTTACTTTCAAGACTATATTTGGCAGACACATCTGTCCTGCCTAGGACGGATGACATAAAGCCTCTCTCTGTTCTTGCTGATGACAAGACGGTTGGTGGAATTGCTTCTAAATATTCAGCAGAAGCCAATTCACAGAATAAAAGAGTGAAGATTGATGACCCAAGTTTCAAGGGTGAAAATACTTGGAGAAAGGAGCAGTCTTATGGAGTGAAGAATGGAGTGCAGTCCTCTATTTATGGATCGAGAAATGCCAAAAAGAGCAATGAATTGTCAAAGGAACCTCTTGCAAATTCTGCATCTTCTAAAAGTGATAAGAGGCAATGGGCACTAGAGATTCTTGCCAGAAAGAGTTCCTTGTCAAACACGGGGATGCCTCAGAGTGGAGAAGAAGATCATCATTTGCTTAAGGGAAATTATCCACTACTAGTATGTTGACACAATCGGATTTGTTTAAGCGAGTTGTTTAACTATTCTAGTTATTGAACTTCTCTCATCCTTACTGATGTCGTAACCCCCTAATATATTGGTGGGGCCAGGCACAGCTTCCAAAGGAGATGAGACCAGTGCCTGTATCCTGTAGCCACAACAAAATTCCTATGCCGGTTAGGCAGGTACATATTTGTCTCTTTTCTCTTCAGATACGTTTTCCGGTCTGTGTTACGATAGTTTGCAGTTGACTTGTGTGATAGGCTTGCTTTTAGATTTCGTTGCTCAGCATGCTAGTTTTTAGTAAAATTCACCTGTGCAGTTAGTCTCAGTGAACTTGGATGTTTAAAAATTTATTGTTTCACCTCGGCGAACTTGGAAGTTTCAAATTGCTTCAAAATGGTTTTCAACTCGAAGTTTGAATAATGTGTCATGTTTTCTTTCCTATCTGCTGCATATTTTTCTTTCAGGTCTGTTCTGATATGATGCATAGAATAGTCCTAGATCATAAAACTGCATCATACAGGAGAACGAATTCCCTGTTTAAGGGAAGATTGATGACGAGATTCTAAAAGCTGTAGTTTTGCTACAGATGCTTTCATTGCACATTATCGTGTATTTTTTGACTTGGCTTTCATATCCCTGCCTTGAGTAACTGTTGGTTGAGGTTGCTCAAACAAGGAGGAAATCTTGGCTTTGATGTCAGTAATTATCCATCTGCAGAAAGCTCCATTTCTCTTAGAACGTGGAGCCGATCCTTGGCAAATCTTGAATGCTTCGGCTCTGCATAAAACTTCCATTTTTCATATTTCTCAAGGATAGTATGGCCGATAAGTACTCCAAGGCTCAACAAATGACTGAGCAAATCCCTTCGAGAACTACTAGATATTGAGTGTTCTAGTATCTATAGTTGATTACTTAATAGCCCTGTGTTTTATAAAAAAAATAAAATTCTGTGCCAGGCACAAGTATATCGCCTCGCTGAACACTTTTTAAAGAGAGCTGGTGTGCCTGGGATCCACAGAACAGCCGAGGTAGAGCTAGCCGTGGCTGATGCGGTAAACATAGAGAAGGAAGCCTGCGAACGGTCCAAAAGCAAGCTGGTCTACGTGAATCTTTGCTCTCAGCATACAATCCACAGCACGGCCCCAAGAGCGGAGGTCGCTGATCTGACTGCGAGTCCCGCTGAAATGGTGCCCAATAGAGAAGCGACGCGCCCTCCATCGACAGATGACAGCGTGGAAGAAACCTTGAGACTGGCTGGCCTTCTGTCTGATTCCCCGCCAAGTAGTCCTCCCAATGGTGAAGAAGATGAAGACCTTGGGAGCATATCCGCTCCAAATCCTCACCCCGATTCAGATCTGAAAGGTGACCCACGTGCGGAAGATTTGGGCTCAGAAGCGAAGTCAGTGCTCTCCAGTTCCTCGGATGCAGTGGATGGCACGATGGAACAGCCCAGCCCTGGGAAGGACCAGGTAGTAACTGATCTCTGTGAGTCCAGGGCCCCTGAGCCAGATTCGTCCGTCTCTCCCAAGCACCTGCACGGTGATGATGATGCTGCTGCTGATCCCTGCACCCCTGCTCCATTGAAGCCTAGTAATGATACTTGTCAGCCCGAAATGGACCCATTGGAAAGCCAAAGAAATGAAGAACCTTCCTCGCATGGTTCAGAGATGGAAGCAGCGTCTGGAAGCTTGACTCCTGCTGACAACACAGCTGACAGATCGAGAAATGAAGCTGCTGTTTCTGGGTGTGAAAGGAGCAGACTCCCCATGGGCCATGAATCGACCGGAAGGGGAAGCTCTTCAAGCCATTTTCTGCCGACTGAACCCATTACAGCTGAGGAAGTTAGCAGCGATCTCCCAGGCTCGAGTGATTCCGTCTTAAAGAAGGTGCTGACGCCGCTTCCCCTTCTGGAACAGATTTCTCCCTCTTTTCCTCTGGCCCTATTGACTCGGTGCCGCCGCTGCAGGTGGAGGCCTACATCAAAGAGCACGTCAGGCCGCTCTGCAAGAGCGGCGTCATCACGGTGGAGCAGTACAGATGGGCGGTCGGCAGGGCCACGGACAAGGTGATGAGGTTCCATTCCAAGGCCAAGAACGCGAGCTTCCTCATCAAAGAAGGCGACAAGGTCAAGAAGCTCGCTGAGGAATACGTTGCGGCGTCTCAGAGGAAGGAATGGAAGCCCCGGCCGCCCACCGAAGGAGTTTGACCAGCAGGGCTCCTACCTTCCATGGAGTCATACGCGTATATATATATACCCACCATAGACAATCATTTTTCCCCGCCTTTCTTCCCCCAAGTTGACTATTTTTTTCCATGTACAGCTTAGTTTTCTATTTTTTGATAGAAAATAATCCGAAGAATATCTGGTCAACGTGAGGTGAATGGACGGCGATTGATCAGGTGGGGGTTGGCGGGTATGCGTGATGGACGATGGAGGGGCTGCGGGACCACCGAGAGCTCGCTAAAACCCCTCGAGGACAGAAACCCTCGCAGATTCCTGAGACATCGGTGCTTCTGGGTTGCGAGGATCCTGCCGTCTCCCATGGCGCTCTCCAGGTCCCTTTTCCACCTCAAGTCCCTAAAACCCTACCAGCTCCGCCTCTGTCACCGGCTGCCGTCCTCCTTCTTCGCCATCCGCCTCCTCTCGTTCGCCACGCCAGAGGAGGCTGCGGCCGAGCGCCGCCGCCGCAAGCGCCGCCTGCGCATCGAGCCGCCTATCTCCCCGGTCCGCCACTCGCAGTCTCCGCCACCGCATCAGCGGGTTCCTAACCCTAGGAACCCTGCTGCGACTAATCCCAATGCCCCCAAGCTCCCCGAGACGGCGGCGGTGCTCACCGGCAAGCGGCTCGAGCTCCACAACAATATTCTCAAACTGATCAGGGAGAATGACCTTGAGGAGGCCTCTCTCCTCGTCCGTCATTCGATCTACTCTAATTGCCGCCCCACGGTCTTCACCTGCAACGCCGTTCTCTCTGCCCTCATCCGCCAGTCCCGCTACCCCGACATGCTCTCGTTGCACCGCTTCATTACCCAGGCCGGTGTGGTCCCGACCGTCGTCACCCACAACCTACTTCTCCAGGTCTACTGCGACTGCCGCAAGACCGACACTGCCCTCGAGCACTACCGGCTACTCGTCAATGACGCGCCCTACAACCCTTCTCCCACCACGTACAGGATTCTGGTGAAGGGCCTTGTGGATAACTCCAAGGTCGATCGCGCAGTGGAGCTCAAGGACGATATGCTCGCCAAAGGTGTGTGCCCCGCAGACCCTGTAGTGTACAATCTTCTGATGTCTGGTTTCATCAAGAACGGAGACCCAGACAAGGCGCTGGAGTTGTACTCAGAATTGAAGGAAAAATTGGGGGGAGGAGCTATCGACGATGGTGTCATCTACGGGAATCTCATGAAGGGCTACTTCAACAAAGAAATGGAGAAGGAAGCCATGGATATCTATGATGAAGTTCTGGGGCCTGAGTCTACTGTTAGATTTGGGGCAGCGAGCTACAATTCAGTCTTGGATGCATTAAGCAAGAACAGAAAATACGACGATTCGACAAGGCTTTTTGATCGGATGATGTCCGAGCACAACCCGCCATTGAAGATTACAGTAAATGTTGGGAGTTTCAATGTCATGGTGGATGGTTTCTGTGCCCAGGGAAAGTTTGATGAGGCGATTGAGTTATTCGGGAAGATGGGTGACATGAAATGTACCCCAGATACGTTGTCCTATAACAACTTGATCGAGCAGCTCGGAAGGAACACGAAGATTTCAGAGGCAGAGCTTCTCTACCGGGAGATGGGCGAGAAGGGGATCACCCAAGATGAGTACACATATGTTCTTTTGGTGGAGGCATGTTTCCGAGTTAGTAGGGTGGATGATGCCACAGGATACTTCGAGAAGATGATCGAAGCGGGACTGAGGCCTAATGCAGCTGCATACAACAAGATGATCGAGGGAATGGTAAACGCAGGGAGAGTGGATGAAGCAAAGGGATTCTTTGATAAGATGGTAGAGAAGGAGGTGAAGCCAGATGTTACTAGTTATGATCTGCTGTTGAAGAAATATTGTGAGATGGGTAGGTTGGAGGATGCACTAAGAACTGTCAAAGATATAGTTTTGGACGACAATGTGTCTCTGTCTGAAGAGATGAAGGAGATGGTCGTAGAGTCTCTTAGGAAGGAAGGCAGGGAAGAGGAGCTAAACAAGGTTCTTGAAGAAGCAGAGAGGGAAAAGGCTGAGGCACTGGCCAGGGCAGCAGAGGAGAAGGCAAGAGCTGAAGCTGCAGCAAAGGCGGAGGAAGAGAGAAAGAAGGCCGAGGCCAAGGCTAAGGAGGAGGCAGCCAAAAGGGCAACCCAAGCTGCCATTGAGGCTGTTCTTGGAAAGAAAAATGCATCTGCTAGCAATGAAGAACAGGCCGAGGTAAGCCCGTCTTTGAACGAGGCTGATCCTTCAAATGGCAGCACAGATTTGTCGAGCGACAAAGGGCCAGTTGGGGACATCAATTCTGATGCACAGTTGACTGCCTGAAGAAGTCGGGACTTCTTGCGGGCGATTCCTTCGTGTGCTTTCGTGTCTAAAGAACAGTTGAAATAGTTCAGATTTTGATAGCCTCCATCAATCTATTGGTTGACGACTCTGGAAGAATCTTTCAGACCCTCTCCGCCATGAAATTTCTTGCTTGCAGAAGGCCTCAGAGTCAACGTGTTTATCGGTACGAGCCCTGGGCTTCTCGAGCTGCTGCTAGGTGGCCCAGCGCATTGTCATCTCTCTATCTCTCTCTTAAGTACGCATTTCCCTGCTTTATAAGCATGGTCGTATGAAGTAGTATCACATTCAAGCTGGCAGCATACGTAACACGAGATATTGTGGCAAATGATTGATAGCACACTCCTGGTCAGACCCATGGAGAAAGTCAACCTCGACAGTCTACTGGGACCCAAAATTTCCTCTTTTTCACCACAAAATCATTCAAAATCTACAAAAAAAAATCTCATTTATTCCCAATCGTGCGTCGATAATGAACACATCTTTCGAAGAACCCTCAAGGGGAAGAAGAGAGACTGCGGCGATAAATGGCCTGCTTGTAGAGGATGAATGAGATATTCACAGGAGGCCCTTCACGGAATTATATATATATATACACACACACTTAAGGAATTATACTTAAAGGTAATCTAATAGCTGATATCTCAATGACCTCATATTATTGATGACATTCTGAATTTACGATCAAATCCACCGGAAATGGGCCCATCAGTCTGCAATGAAAGAGAAATCAGAAATGATGAGAAGGAAAAATGTATGCTCAGTGAGGGCGATCATCCAAACTAGAGTGAAACGCATACAGGGCAGCTATCATGCGGCAGATAAACTGAATCCCCCTATCTAGTGAAGCAAGCAGACAGTCCAGAACTGGTCTAGGAGCATCATATGGTCATCTGTTGTTCTACACAGAGGATAACTGATGATTGCGGCTAGCCCAGACCATGGTGTAGATAGAACGATGGAAATTTTAGCCAGATCACGAAAAAATAGTTGGAGATTAGCTTCAAAGTAGTTTCAAATCAAGCGAGTGTATATAATGTGTTGTCAGTATCTTGTGAAATAGGCAGAAGAGCTTTCAATTAATACCTTGAATAAATGGGATCTTTTCGAAGCTAGGTATCAGGGGCTGGTACGTCAAATGGGAAAAAAATATGAAATATATCACGTCTAGAACACGTAGAATACTTGCAAAACTACTGGAACTAACTGAAAATTCACGGAAAAGGAAACCTCACCCACCAAACCATACTACAGATAAAACAAACAAAATCATTGGTCAACCATACGGTGATCTCATGCTGTAATGATTTCAGGGTTTTGTTTTTACATGACCTAAACTGATGGGAATATAAGCATATCATTTAGAGGAAGGGGGCAGAGAGAGAGGGACTCTATCGCCACTCAGAACAATAACAGCATCTTTCAGAAGAGTTGTGGCATCATATAATTTACGAGACACGTTGGCCCCGTTTATTGTTTAACTGTAAAATAACGAGGTACCTTGGCATGAAATTTGATTTTTTCCGCGATTTTAAGCCAGCGGAGTTTTGCGGGCAGTAGGTCTTTTCAGCAGTGGCTTTGATTTTCTGTGCGCAAACCAGAGAAAAGACATTCATATTAGAGTGACCAAAACTCCAATGTTGCCAATTTGCTAAGCAAATGTAAAAGGTGAATCGCAGACGTGACCAAGATCATAATTAGAACATTTTGCCAAAAATACCTCTTGGGGGATTTGTCAGCATTGATGACACCTTTCATTAATCCGCCCATATCAATGCCACGTTCCCGCATAATCTTATCATGGTACATCTTGCTTCCAATTTCTGTTATTTCTTCCTCCACCTCCTCCAATGTTTGGTCTATATTGAGTTTGAGCTCTCCTTTCCTTATAACAGTAACGTGGAATCCATTGGATTTGGCTTCCCGAAAGGCATCCTGCAGGGTAAGTGGTTGGAGTTCCACGCACAGATGGTAAGCTATCTCAAGTGCTGGCTGCATCTTTTGATGCTGATTAATCACCCATAAAAAAAAACTAAAATAACCCTGGTTTCCAGACTATTGCTTCCTGACTCTGGACGGGCTCAAGCAAGGAAATTATTGAGCCCGTCTACAAAACACAAGCAGGAAATATAACAATTAAAGCAATATCTAGAAAGTCTTACACTCGAGGAAATACTGACCTCTAATGGAAGAGTACATTAAAATTTAGTATAGATCATCTCATATATTGACATGCTTAGTCTTGCATAATTATCAAGGTAAAAAGACTTTACAATTCGATTATACTGCACTCTTTTCCTAATTGCAGTCATTTTCCTTTATTTATCATACTATTTCCACAACATTTTCATTAAGATCCTATGATGCAAGAAAAGGGCAGCAGCTGTCAAGTAATAAGTTTGGTTGGATCCAGTTATACTCATTCATGTCAAATAATCCAGTCATAAGCTAAAAAGTAGGCTGAATTCGGACGAACCAAGTCAGACAGGCAGTCTCCAGTCTTTCACACCTTTTTTAGATGGTCAGCAATCTTACAATATCAAATGGCTCTGAATATTGTAGCATATTCAATTGTCCTAGCACGAAATATTTCCATCATGAAAGGGGTGGGTATTTTGACCTAGAGGGCTTTTGATTAAAGATTTGGGTAAAACTCTAATAGTCTCCTGATCATAAAGATTCAATTTTTATCAATTAAGATTCGAGCCCTGTTTCCACCATAACAGCGACAATATGATGATTGAAAATAAAAGTCATGGCAATGTTACAGAAGCATTGCACATTTTCTCAACGTTCTAAGACTTCTGAACACGGAAAAGAAAAATGGTACCTTTGGAGGTCTGGCAACCACAAAAGCACTACCATTTCCCAGCATTTCCATATGAGCTTGTATGATGTGACAAAAGTTCTTAGAGTCTCCGGCATCCTCAAACGCAATGACATGATATTGCTTTGGATCTAGCTCAAGATCTGCAGCCATCTCTAAGGAGTAAAATCCTATTTTTGGGACGTCGTCTTCAACTCTGTAGAGCTCAATGCACTTCAAAGAAATAAAGAAGGAGCATGTTAAAGCAGGAAGAACTCAACAAGAAAAAAAGTCAGACGGGAGTTATCTAGAATCTCTAAATATGCGTAAAATAAATAAATGAAAGTAAAACAAAAATTCCTTACCAGTACGAAGCTAAGATCCAACCACCAAAGATAGTCCTCGTCCTTCTCATCTAAATATTCCTTATACTTGCTGACGACCGCTTGATGCCCAAACGTTTCAATTTCCCTCTTAAGCTTATCCATTTTCCTCTCGATGAACCTCCGCTTTCTTTTGGGTATTCTAGTCATCAGATCGGCCACATCCTGCACCTCTTTCTCTGTGATCCATTTGTCTAGATCCTTTCCCATATCTCTCATAATTGATTTCACCTCTGGATCTGTTTCTGCATTATAAAGTTCTAGAAACTCCCGGGACCATTTCTTTGTATGCTCCCAGTGCTCTTTGCCCAACTTTTTGCCAGATCTACTAGAACCATCACTACTTTCTATGATTGTCCTGGGACTTACAGATGTTCCATCTGAAGAAATTTTCCTCAGATTATGGACAGGAGAGGAAGGTGAGAGAGCATCTGATTGGGTTTTATCAGAAATCTGAAGGTCTTCCATATCCTCGCTTGCCATTTTACTCTCCAATGTCTCTTGTTGACCTCTAGCAAAGTTATTTAGAAACTCAGGATCTTCACTAAGTGGAGGACCTTTCCAACGGGGAACAATTTTCTCTAGAGGATCATGCAAGCTGATACCATCTGGAAAAAAAAACATAAAAAAGAATTATATCAATTCAAAGAGACATAAACAGAAAGTATGCATTTGTCAAAGACGAATAAATCAATATAAGTATTACCTATACCATAGTCGATGTTTTCAATCTTGGTGTGGATAAATTCATGCAATGCTAACATCCTATTGTTCTCTCTCTCTACCTTTCTTTCAAGACCCTCAAAGAATGCAACTTTCTCATCGGGGTCCATCAAATGAAAAGGCTCCCGTCCTGCCAACTCATTGTCACGAACTTTAAACACAATCTCCCTTAGATTTTCGTCATTCATCCATTCAAACTCTTCATCTTGTAATGCTATTTCACCTATTCCAGCACTAGGCACTTTCTGTTCTTTAGTCTTTTCTCTAGCTGACAAGTAGTTTTCTTGGAAACCAACTCCAATCTTCTCAAAGATAGGATCAAACTGCTCAAAATTCTTTTCAACCCAACTCTTCTCATCTTTTACTTGTACTTCAGTTTGACGATCATTATCCCGAGATTTCTCAGAAGATTCGGCACAAGAGTCAAGTGGACCGTTAACATCATTACAAACTTTAGGTCTCTCGACTTGTTCTTTGGGATGATGATCTTCATCCCTAAAATCACTATGATCAGGTTCATACAGCTCTACAGAATCGTCACTTTCTTTGTGTGCAGCCACCTCCTCTCTCTCAAAGTGGCGTGTAACCGAACTCTGAAGAGCTCCATCATCTGCATTTTCAGGGGACAAACAATTTGCACTTCCTACGTCACTTTTCTCCACATCCATAGATGAGAAGACATCTACTGCAGTAACGCAGGAAGGCTCGTTGATATATTTTGAATCTGCTCTATCTTGGACATGATCAAGAGCCATATGAGAAGAAAAGTCAGGAGAAATGGTTCTGTCCTTGGCACACTCAGCCAGTTCTACTTCAGCTGATTTGACAGCCTCTATCCTTTCTATAACGGTATTTAGACTCCTATTACTTAAAAACCCTGCTGACTGGCAATTATCTTGCGTTTTCAGCCTCGACTGCAGCTTATCTGTTGATGATGAATATTTTTTTTTAAGATATTCTCTAGCTTCACTGATTGACACTAAAACTTTAGGTTTTATCCCAGTGGCTTTTTTTCCCATTGAAGATGAATGATCTGAACAGGTTTGATCAAACTGTATTTCTTTCTGATCTTGTGGCATGATTAAATCACTGGATGGTCTCTTGTGTTCGATCTCCTCATTCCTTGAAGCATCCGCGTCCAGACTCCCAGAACTGTCTTCCATCTTAGAACGCTCAGCAGGAACATCAACAGTGATTCCATTCATGGAAACTACTGCACCTATTTCAGGATAATCGATGGTCTCATATTGTAGAGGTTCGGAATTTTTTATACTCGATGTTTCACCAGGGATATTACCCAGAGACCCCACAGAACTCCCATCCATAGGTCCTGCAATATTAATAGCCTCTGTATCTTCTGTTAATATGTTGCACTTAGAAGTAATACTGCCATCTGAGTGATTTTCCATAGGATGGATTTCTAAACTCATATCTGATTGCAATCCAGGCAACTGATGCTCAGTGGAAGGAAGAAAGAAAGGATCACTTTCATCGTTCCTCTTGCCAACGTGCTGTTTCTCTTCTTGCTCAAGCTCGTGAACCTGCTTTACCATCTCCCTTATTTCATAGACATGATCTTTAAAATTAGCATCACTATCGTCAAAATTTACCTGAGAGTTTGAGATCCTGGGTCCCTCTGTAGATGTCTTTGCTTTTATGTTCTTCATCAGTTCATGCTTATCTAATGGAGGTCTCCGCTCAGATCCCACTGGCAACTCTGGAGTGTTATTAACGACCTCAACACTCCCCTGCTCTATCGTACCCCTTTCCGTCCTTGACTTCAACTTTCTCCTCAGCATCTCTTTTTCCTCCTTCGTTGTTTCTATTCTCATATTCGTGAACAGAAGCTTCTTCAGAGACCAGGTGACAAAGAAGCTGAAAAAGAAAGGAAGCACAATTCGTGGGGAGATGGCAGTTAGTACTTTCCCACCAGGATTGAGAAAATGAAACCGGTCAACAGAAGAAGATGATTTCACTCCCTCAACCACAGTCTGGGCTACAGTACTATTCTCGGGGAGCTTATATTCCCCAGATTCAATCTCCTTGGCTATAAGCTTCGCCCGGGAAACCTTTGCATTCACGTCCATATAGTCTTCTCTCAGTTCTTTTGACAGCAAAGACAGCGTTCCACATTGATTCCTCCTGATGATTTCATCTTCATTCAAAGAAACCCGGATTACGTTTCCATCAGGATCTTTGTAAATCGTGAAGATTGGAGCAGATCCTATTCCCCAGATATCTGAGTCTTTCTTGTATTGATCGACCCAAGTTTCCAATTTATTCCATAAAACTGACTCGCTACCAAGCTCACGTTTCCCCTGGCTATCCTGATTGTATACGCTTTCTTCGTCGTTCTGTGTTCTGCTGCCATCACGCATTGAATTGGTATCAGAAGCGCTGGCGTTGACTCCACCAGTTTGCTCATCGGCTTGCCGACTTAATCTAGGTTGGGCATTCTCGGGTTGCAGTTCGGGAGTTATAACATCTAGGATTTTGCGCACCTGGTCGCTTCTGGTCAGGAGCTTCTCCCTCAAAGTGTTCCGCCGCTTGGGTTGCCGGCCCAGGCGTGAGAAAATCAGCAGCCTGCGGCTCCTTGGAGCTACCCGCTGGCGGAGGCTAGGGAGCTTCAGAAAGAAAACCGAGACGTCTCCGCTGTTCCTCACCGAGGTTCTCGAAGTCCACCATCCTGAGCCAGAGTATGGAGCGAAAGACTGCATAGCGCAGAGAGAATTGTTTCCTCCGAGTCCAAGGACAGGAGAACCATCAAAAACCACCACGTGGAGTTACCCAAGCGCGGAGAGGAGGACGGAGGGTCAAATAATGTGCAACCCACGAGGAACCTCGAACCTCCATGGCTGATGCAAAACCCTAACAAAAATCCTCGAGGCCTCGAGGACGCAAAACCCTATCCAGTGGGTAATCTTTCCAATGTGATCCTGCCATCCGACGGGTATCCGTTAACCAGTTTGGTGATCCCGCGAGTACATTCTTAACTGTCCCAACGTTCCAAAATAAGGCGACAACGGGCCGGGCACTAGTGAAGCCCCGGCCCGGAACGCGGAGGCCAAAATGGGTGGGTGGATCCTAACGGGCTGGACCAAGTAAAATCGGGCCCACTCACCTCTTACAAGACAAACTCTGCCCAAAGTTCAGAGAAAATTCTATAAGGTGGGATCTAATCCGAATATAGTCCCCGTCCCACCCGGCTCTCCTTGTACACCTATCTTAGAGAGAGAGAGAGAGAGAGAGAGAGAGAGAGAGAGAGAGAGAGAGAGAGAGAGAGAGAGAGAGAGGGAAATGGGTTATGCGCAGGAAGAGACGATGGGTTTTTAATAATTTTGCATTGACCATTTAGGCATTCAGAGGCATATGGTAGTCAAACTTGAGTTGCTAAACGCTACTGCTCTCAGATCATATTAAATCACACGCATGAAACGCAAATCTTGGAGTATTATGATCGACCAATCTCGGGTTCATCAATGGGAAATATTAATGAAGATCTTTGTCCAAATCAGCTCAATCGAAGGTGAATTCATTTTACTATTTTTATGTAAATAAAATGTGTTCAATAAGTCCTGTTCAAAAAATTCTGCTGTAGAATTGTCAGGGAGTGGTGCTTGAATTATTATTTTCATTAAATTTTTTTTTGCTACACATTAAAAAAAAAAAACCATTTACGAAGACATGCTTCCATGAAATATTTCTTTCTGCTACATCTGACCTAATCCACAAGCACATCCCAGCCTTCCTGAACTACCACTGATTTGCAAAAGCTTCTCTGCGGTTAACATCCTCCGCCTGCGTGATCTGTTTGGCAGCTGAATCCGTTAACCGGGATTTCAAAAGCCGCTGTGCCAGTCTATCTTTAGCAGTCACCTTCTTCCGCAACATGGAAGACAAACTCGGCTTCTTGGGTTTCAGCAGCGCTTGCTCAGAGCTCATTCCTTCCTCTACGAAAGCTGCTGATGTCAACGAAGTCGAACTGCAAGCAGCTTCTCTCAACACTGCTTCGTTGTGTTCCCGGACCTTAGCAATCTTCGCCCGCTTCAATGACTTCGATTCTCTGTCTCTTCCCCTCACGTTTCTAATGGCTTTCTCTGCCAGACGCTTCATCAGCTGATCACCAGAATGTGAAAGCTTTTCTTTGCTTTCATTCATCAGAGGGGCTCCCTCGGTTGGGATTTTCATGGGGTCGTCTCGGCGATCGTTGTCCACTTGATCTTTTCCATCTTCAGGTTCCTCTAATATGGTATTCCCATTCGGGTCTCGAGGTACGATCGGTCCGTGAAATGGGCAAACAGTGAGATCCCTCCTCTGGCAAAGGCCTCCATTCTTCAGAGGGGCAAGGCACGGTCGTATTTCAGCGGCTTGTTCTTGGTACAGGGACCAGTGGGCGCTTAGCTCGGCAATTCTTTCTCCTGGGATGATAGCATCCTGTTCCACTCTGCCCCAGTGGCTCTCCAGTTCTAGGCCCCGATAGTTGACCATGGCATCTTGGGTTGAACCCCAGCTCTCCAGGAAAGGTCCCCATTTCAGCACCGGAGCTTCAGCCAAAAGTCTGGACCTCGGCGATTCTGAATCTGTACAACTCTGGGAAACATTTGGTGATGCATCTTCAGCAGAAGGCACATCATCCGAGTGTCCGAGGTCAACAGGAGTATCGACGGAGGTATCACGGCCCACACAGACCTTGGTGTCCTGGAGATCAATGGAATTGCTACTGGTTGCCGCAAGAGAGCTAGCATTGACGGGATCATTAGCCTCGATCTTACCCTCCTCCCACATGTCCACTTCCTCTTCTTCCTGAGCAGTTGAAGGAAGAACACAACCCAATTCCTCACATTTCTTTTTCGCAGATTGAATCATATTACGGACATCAATACACTCTTTCAGGGCAGAGTCTCTAAATTTGTTATCAGCAAGATCGACTCTGACCAGGACAGAAATCCATTCTTGCACTGATGGCAGATGCTTTGAGAGGAGAAGCTTATAGAACTCCCTCAGTGCATCGAAAACAGCAGCATTTTCATCATTCTCATGCACCTTCTCTCCTTCTTTCAGGGATTGCTGGCGGATCTGCCGCAGGGTCAGACAAGTAAACTCTTCTGGTTCATCTTCTTCGGGGGAAGAGCAAGAGGCAAATTTGCCCTCTTTATTACATACTATTTCTAAGCATTCTCCCAGCTGGTCAAGCGTAGACTGTATTTCAGCCTTGATGGAGGAAAAATTTTCCTGCAATTTTTCATATTTATTCTGTAAAATCTCCCTTGATCTTATCTCCCTTTCTCTTCTCTCCTGCTGCAACCGCTCTGCATTTCCCAACCTATTAGGAAGCTGGTACCTCAAGGTGTTTTTTAAGTAATCTAAACTGAGTCTGAGCTGCCTGTAATGAACCCCAAATGATCCGTGCCACTTTTCCAATAACTCTAAGCTCTTAGACCGCAAGATGGAAGCAATGTTAGCGGGAGGAGGAAGGGGCATATTTCTCCTGAAGCCAACACTCAAACTCAAGAATTGATCGAAACTGTTGATGAAGAGGGATCGAAAAAGCTTTGACCGCATGAATAGCTCATCGATTATGAGCACTGCGAGATATCGTACCTGCAAGATCTCTCCACAGAAAAACACTATGAGATCTGAATCATAAAAGCATCCTGGGATTGTTAAAGGAGATAAATATTCGGAAGATTTTTCAGCAAACGATATTTGATGTAGGGCAGAATGTACCGGCAAGTAAGTGGAGTCAGCTTTTCCTATTAATCCAACATAGACAGATGGACCGTATTCTCCTAACGATTTTACAATTGGATAAGCTTTTCCATAGATATTCTTCCATCCTGAATTAGATATACACGTTCAAGTCATCCTACCATAGTCAATCGATTTGTCTGTGCATCAATTACTTTCACAAGGACAACAAGGAGAACCAATTTTCCGTTAGATGTCCAAGAAACTATATAATTCAAATTTAGTCCAGTAAATGGTATTTCACAAACTAGAATACTTACCGCCACCATTTTTCAAGTAACATGCTTTCCACTTTTCTTCAATGGAACATCATTTTTTCATCACTACTCTGGTTACTGAAGCAAAAAACGATTAAACTTGATGTTTAAAACTAATTGTCAAGTCCAGTTCCTTCTTTCACCATGACGGCTTAGAATGGCACAGCTTTGATGCATGAATATTATCTTATTCTTTCATATCGCGGGATAAAAAGAGGTTTTATGCATGAATGTTTTTGTCTTCACCACTCCTAAGTGCATCTATTTTAGGATCCGTTAGATTCATCAATTCCCGATGAATAATAGTTGTACAAGTTATCTTTCTCCTGAAATTGTTCAACTCCCCGTATGCACATCCTTGATGAACAGTAAAGTAGCAATGTTCTTCCCTAACTGGTAATCAACCCATTCCCCCCACAATACTGGAAATGAATACACAATAATTGTGGGATAATCTATCAAAAGGATTCTGGTCAGCTCGCCCAGATAATTTGAACTTCATAATGATAAGTAGTAAATGGCCACAAAATTGCAGATGATTCATCACAGATCAGACTTCAGAAATCAACTCGTTTGTTCGTAAGCCGGGTCGTTTCAGGAAATAAGTTTTCAATTTGAGAAAATTGTCACTTCAATTTGAGAAAAAACTTTTTTTTTTGAAGTTTACAATAAATGAAATTATTGTATTAGGAAACACGAATCATCCGACAACTCCAAGTGAGGTCAGCTATACCAGGTGAGAGATGATTTAAATTTGAGGCACCTTTCTTGACCATTATCATTATCATCGTTACAGAAACATCCTTATCCATTTGCCCCTTGACGAGACAGAATTTAGGGTAAAAAAAACTGTGGTTGTACAAAAGAATCAATCAAAATCACAAGGAGAGCGCACTTAGGACTTAATAATACATGAAAATAAATTAAAGTTAAATAACGAGTCTTTTCTAGAAATTGCGGCCAGAAAGACCGAGAAGAAGGAATATAGGAATAAGCACAATACTAGCAACAACCGATCTGCCTCCAGGAGCCATCAAAATCAATGTTTCAAATTCATGCGTGATAAAAGGAAGGATTTTCTAGAGCGTAAGCATTAGCATTGGAAATCAACCAATGTAAGCAAGTATAATTTGCAGATAACGCGTGAAAGCTAGGAAAAATGGGCGAAAATCAAGATAAACGGTGACCTGAGAATGTTCCTTCTTCATCTTGCTCATCAGAGCCTCAACGGCGGCCCGTAGCTCGTCGTCGGAAGATCGGACCGTGGACTTAATCGCCTTCAAGAGCCGCTGGTCTACTTCCCTGTCCGTCGAGTCGGTGGCCTTCTCGATAAGCCGCACGACGGCACCCCTCCCGGAATCCATCCTTCTCCGGGATTCGTCCCCCCTCCCTCCCAACGCCTCTCCACAGCCCGCCGGAATTTCCGGCGGAAACTATTTGATGACGAAGGACGGTGCGAAGCGTCGTTCAAGGAACTCGTCTTCTTGTCCTCGAGGGCTCACAATGAAGCCCGACCGAGTCGAGATTTTCGGGCTTGGGCTACACGACAACTGGGCTGGCGTGAGGCCAACTTCTTCCTTTCCGGTTAATGGGCCATAACCAGAGCCCCACGTATCGCAGCAGTGAGCCCAAAATAAACTTGGCCCAGAATAGCCCAGCCTGCTGGTGAGGAAATCGATCCTTAATCCCCATCGTGGCAGCCCATTCATGGAAGTTTGGGCCTTCGCATCGTCTAGGTGGGCCCCAACCCTTTTTCTCTCCGATTTTTTTATATCAAACCTGATGTCACTCTTTAATGGGTTTGCGCGAGAAATAAGAAAAATCTACTTGCTAGGTGGAGGTTATTTTTTAAATATATATATTTATTTATTTTAATTATATCACAGAATCATTTTATTTTAATAAAAAAATGAGACGTGGGCACATCATCTAGTAACTTTAGAGAGGAGAAAATTAATTATTTTCATAATTTATATATTAATCACCTCGGTAATAGTTTCCATATGCTAAAGGGATTTCATGATGCATTGCATTGCATAGCATAGTCTACCATCATTTCAAACTTGGTCGTAGAAAATCTATAAAAGATAGTTTTTTAAAGCCACGCTTTCGAACATGGTCGGAATTAAGTCCCGATGCAATAAAAATGGAAAAAGGTAGGCATAAACTCCGGCCTACGACGGTTCAGTCACTGCGCTAGGAGTGGTGCAAGCAATCACATCAGCTCGGTCATGCGGAAGAAGATGGCGCAAGCAATCACACCAGGCGTTTGACGACTTCTGTCGAACAGCTGAGGGGCACGAGACTTGCTCGCTTTGAAAGCCTTTTTCTTCGTCTTTACTCTTTCTTCTTCCCCCTCGTCTATCCACGCCATCCCCGTTACTTGTTTAGGCAGGAGATCAGCAGCCACGAGGCGCAAACCCTACGCGAGAGCTGTCGCCGTCGAAAACCACCCGGAATCCTTGCTGCTGGATGTTCCCTATGATGGAGATCCCGCTGTCCGTTCCGGCGAAGGCGAAGCAGAAAACTCCGTCCGTGTCCACCGGAATCAGATAGTTCTCAGCGGGAAGCGACACGTCGGCAGGGCTGCCGGCAGGGCCCTGGCCCCTGAAGTGGAACACCACGGTGGGGACCTTCACCTCCGTCTTCCCATTCAGGTCGTAGCAAGTGTCGAACAGCGAGAAACCCGCCGCCGGCTTCAGCCCCGACGCGCCGGCCTTGAAGGCGTTGCGCAGGGCGGCGTATGCCGGGCGGGCCAGCCTCGTGACCGAAGTCCCCGAGTCGACGATCACTCCGCCCTTCCCTGTCGAAGGATCCAGCAGGAGGTCGGAGGCCAGCACGCCGGGGACTCGCGCGCCGCCGACGCTGATCCCGGTGAGCTCCACGTAGTAGAAGGTGTCCAAGCTGGGATTCACGACCAGCGGCGTGAAGACGGCACCAGATCTGGGCACGGCCGATGGGCCGAAGATTATTGCAGAGGAGGCCCTCCTTGTCGATGTCGGAGAAGTGCGGTCCACCAGACAGTAGGAGAAACGGCGTCCGAAGCGTTTGCCCACCTGGGAGGGGAAGGAGAGCCTACCACGGCCGAGCCCGAGCAGGCCGGCGGCGGCGACGAAGAGACCCTGGTTGTCGTGGCCGCACCCGAACGCCACCCGCCCGATGCGCGTGCCGCCTCGGAAGGTGAGAGTCTCAGTGGAGAACTCACCCGTGGTGATGGAGCCGTCGCCGTAGGAGACCTGGTAGAGGCAAGAACCACGGCGGCTGTCGCAGCCGGCGACGTCAAGGCTGCGGCAGAGGAGGGTCCCGCAGGGGACGGCGGCGTAAGACCGAGACTTCTTGGGGTCGAAGATGGGGTCGGTCTGGGAGTAGCACTTCCTGCAGGGCGAGCACTGGAGCCAAACCACGTCGCTGCCGGTGTCGAGCACCATGTAGGCGTAGATGAGAGGGGTGCCGATCCCAATCCGGGTGAAGTATTCTCCGCTACCATGGGCGAGCCCGGAGACCACAGAGCTGGCGAAGCTGCCGGCGCCGGCGCGCCGCCGTGTCGCGTTCTGGCCCCCCGTGGCGGGGGATCCGGCGGCCGCCGCGGCGAGCGCCTCTAGGGTAGAGACCCGATGGGCGTCGCGCTCGAGTCGGAGGAGGAAGAGGCTCTGCGGTGTGGAGTTGGCGGCGTGTAGGATATCCCTGTGGCGCAGCGGAAGCAGGACGGAGGCGGATCCCTCGCCGGAGAAGGGAAGTGCGTCAGGGAGGGCCCCCGAATCGACCGTCCAAGTGAGGTCATCGTCGTCCAGGGGGCTCGCCGACGGTTTTGAAAGAGGAGACACCACCAGGGTCTGATACTCGATCAGCCTGCCGAAGCTCGCTTCGGCGAGGAGTAGAGAAGCAGTGACGAACAGGAAGAACTTCAAAGGAGGCGTCATGGAGGGGAGAGGCTACAGCGGTGAGGAGAGCTGTGGATGAGGGCCTAAAGAGCGAGCACAACAAAGGCCAGTGCCGCCGGCATGTCGGATGAGAAGCTTTGTTTACCTCAAAAATGGTCTCCGGCGTTGGTCCCGACCGCCCACCACTGTCACCTCCACATGCAAAAGGACGACGTCTGAAGACTTTCAGGCCCGGTGCACATTTGAGGAGAAGACGGCCGATTCTGTATGACAGCATTGAATGCCGCCGAAGCTAGAGCGAGAGAGAGAGAGAGAGAGACCCGTGAGCTCGTTGGGGAGGAACGGAGAAATAATTTTAAATATTAGACATCTTTTCTTTGAAATAAAAAAATTTGTGGCGGGGTCTCCAGCCGATCTGAGATCGGAAAAGACGTCCGGACTCGGAGTGGTAACTACCGGCCCGAGGCACGGCCCGGCCCGGTTCGTCAATACCGCCGTAAATTCCTTCACGCCGACAAGCCGCGTAAATCACGCCGCCATATTAAAGCGCGGGCCCCCGCCGTCAGTTTGCTTGGGGGGGCTCTGTGGGCTCCACGCCTCCGTTTGTTCTGGGGCGGCGCGCCGTCGCGGTTTTGTCGATGCCGGCGTGCCATGCGCAAGTTAGCGGGAAGAGCAGCCGTTCTCGCAACACGATTTTTTATAATATACATTCTGGATAATAGTTGGCGCCAAATCGGGTGGTTGTCTCGGATTCGAATTGGGTATCGGGTCACATCTTGGTGGATCCGCCAGGCACTTTCTCCCTTTCCGACGGTGTTTTGGGGCGTAGACGGTGGCAGCCGCTGGGCGCCTCAAGCGCGAAATCCGATCGCAGGCCTCTCCCTCCCCTCGTTTTCGTTTCCATGGCGGCCCTCCTTTCTCTTCCGGCCCCGCAGTCTCATCTCCTCAGACGACGTCTCGCTCGCCCAGCAGGCAAAGCAACCGTTCTCCGGTGTTCATCTTCTTTAAGGACACCGAATCCTTCAGGGGTCCCAGTGGACGGCTCTCCCGTCTCTTCGTCATCCGACGATGATCGTTACGACGGCCAAAACTCCAGCGAGAGTGTAGAGCGACTTCAGATGAGGTAGTTTCATGTCGGAGTTCAAGTTGACTGCTCTTTTAGATTCTGTGCCCTCTTTATAGTGGACTTCGTGCTCTCCACGGATTTCTTGATTGGTACCACTTAACGAACTTCAACACAGTTTCCCGAGAATTCTCTTTCCCCGATTTGCCGTCTGGAATTGCGATCTTTTTCCTTTCATCTTAGTCAAAACTTCTCCTTCTTTCTTGCTGTATCCACCGCTTTTCTTATTGTTAATAAGACTTATAATGAGATGGCTCGTCATGCGTCAGCCATTGGGATAAATGGTCTTCTATATTAAACCGTTATATGCGGATAAAAGTTGTGCGATTCTTTCATCTGGTATTCATTGGTATTGTTAGTGAAATTCTTCCAAGATAGAACGGGTTTCGTCTTGCCTAGGATGCCTCTATCCTGATTCCTGGACAGTGTGAAGCTAATGTTTTCCCTTTTTTTATTTAGCCTTTATCACTGATTTTTTTTATGACTATTTCTGGGAAAAAAAGTTGACAACAATTTGGGTTACCGTTTCAAACTCTGATCCTCCGAGCGCTTAAGGAAGTTAGAAGAGCTCCGACTTCCTTAAATTTTGGTGTATAACGAGCGTCTATCTGTTGCTAATCGATTCTCGTGTCATCAAGGCTTTATCTGATGTGTAGCGCCATGCAGTATAGGGGCGTGTTGCATGAATCGTAGCCTTGGATTGCTTTTTATGTCTCAATTTGTTTTAAATTTTCATTATTTTTTAAATGCGTGTTTCAGAGTACCCTTCGTATGCGAATTAATGAAAATGGTTACGTGGCCCTCTGAAGAGCAGCCTGGCTGTTGATGAAATTTAAGCAACATGAATGGCAAGTTCGTGTCACACAGGAATCGATATTGATTGATCTTAATTAAAGTGGTAGAACTGAGGTTCCCAGAAGCAAATCTGGATCATAATATCCCAATTTCTGTTGTTACGAGGTTCATTCATCTTAACCATCTCCGTTGACATTCTGATCACCTTCAAGAAAAAGAAAAGAGAAAATGATATCCTCGGGGATGTCATACTAGTCAGTTCTTTGTGTGGTTTATTTATAATTATCATCCGATAATAGAATTCTCTGAGTTTCTTGAAATCTCTTATGGTAGAACACTTATCATGGGGGAGCCCAAAACGTCCCCAATCAAACCTATTTGAATGGGTGGGATGACAGCTGAGATCATATTATTCCAGAGATAGTGCGATACAAATTTATGCTCTATTTTTTGGCTCCAGGTAGTTGGCATTATTTAAGATCTAGGCATTTAATTCCAGCCTACAGTAACGCAACAATCCCTCTAATACCTGGGGATAATCCTTTAACCATCCTCCTGCCTGTTGAAATGAATTATCCTTGGTATTTACCCTCATACCTGGGCATAATCTTCTTTGTTCTAGGATGAAAAATATGAAATTGCATGTTTTCATATGATTTTGGCAGATTAGTGATGTACAGAAACTAATGGTAATTGTATAATAATTGGATTATACGACCAGAATCCTGAGCTCAATCATCTGTAGGACTTTCCCCCGTTTTGACCGTCTACTTACGTTGTGTCTGGAAAATTTAGATGACAATGATCATCTTAATTTCTCAATTGATTTCCTCCCATTGACAGAATGTTCCACAATAAAATTGTCAAACGTAGCTTGCCTTTTTTTTATAGGATTGCTTCATTTAATAGGTTTTCCCCCATCACGTTGCCTCTGTCCTTTTTATTTCGTTTCATGCGACTTTGTGACAAAACTCTCTGAATCTAGGTCGGTCTGTCTGAAAATTTCAATCCAGGGGGTGCAAAACCTGCGGAAGAGAGGAGATTGAGAGGGGCTGCAATGGTGAGGGGAGGATCCAAGGGGGAATCGCCACTGTTCCAGGCTTTGGCTGGTGGCCTATCAAAGCTTACAGGCCTTGTCCAGGATTCGTGGAATCTGGTGGAAGATACAGGCGGCGTGGGCAAAGCATGGATGAGGTTGCCTTTGGAAGGGGAGGAAGAGAGTCTTCTACAGGGTCTTCAGACTAAGCAACTTCGAGGTAGTTCCTTGATTCCACCTTTTCATTGTACCCGCAATTTTTTTTTTATAATAATCTTACCCACCTTAGTGCCGTGATCTTCGTTAATTTTATTGGAAATGTATCCATAGATTCCTTACAACTGGGTTTCAAAGGGCCTTCTGTAATGTTCTTGTGGCCAGTGTGGAATTATTATTCACATTCCTGATGTATGCATAGTTTGATGATTTATGCAGGAAATAGAATTGAAGGGTGTGCCCCCCTTACCAAAGAAGCAAGATTCGGGTCCTTCAAACACTCCATCCTAATCCTGGACGATCGTATTATTTTCCATGCCTTGTATGCAAATCCCAAGATATGTGAATAATTCAGGGCACGTCTTATTTTCATTATTATTTTTTTTCTTTGATCAAATTTTATTAGATCCCAGAAGAAAATATATTTTTCATTATTTTGAAGGTCATGCGATTCGTTGACGTTGGGGAAGTGGATGGTAAGGAAGAGGCGAAAATTTCTTCATCCCAATCTCCAATATAATAAAATAAAAAAAATGTTTCCTCTTCATGAACAATATTTTATAAATATATATTTTTCTTGGATGGATATTTCCATAACCTGAAAAACGTTTTAGTTTTTTTTATAAACACACTTTTAAAAATAAACTCTTTATTTATTTGTAAATGGGCTGAACTAACCCAGAAGCCCAGCCAAGAGGTTTCTCATCCCCAAACAGGTCAAAAAGACAGGGTTAGAATCGTACTTGACTGCGCGGGATCGGCCGCCGAGTTCAGGACCGGTTTGATTTCCAAGTGCCAATTTTGAGATGAGTCTGAACTGATCCCTGGTGTCGGCCCATGTGGCCCAAAACGTTTTGGGCCCATTAGGGCCTTTGAAACATTTGCCCGGGGTCAACGTGTCGTTGCGAAAACAGACAATCTCGAGAAAGCATTGACAATCGATTCCGGTGGGAATCGGTTCGGTAGAGGTCCATCCATGGTCTCCGCCTCCCCTCGCCTTCTCCTGTCGCCACCGACGCGAGTTCAGTCGGTGTCGATCTGCCGGCGGGGGTGGACGTAGAGCAGAGGAGATGGACGCGGAGACGCGGCGTAGGATCAAGGAGACGGTGGTGGAGATATTGAAGGGCGCCGACATGGCGGAAACCACGGAGCTCAAGGTACGTTCCTTGGCGTCCGAGAAGCTAGGCGTCGACCTCAGCGTCCCCGAGCTCAAGCGATTCGTTCGGGAAGTTGTTGAGTCTTTCCTCCTCTCCAACGAAGTGGACCACTCGGGGGGATCAGGACGTGAAGTGGGAGAAGCTGCGGTTGCAGATGGTGGTAAGGAGTTGGAGAAGGCTGGACGAGAGGAGGAAGAGGAAGAGGAAGAGGAAGAAGGTCGCGAGAATAAGCGTAGTCTCGGAGAGAGGGAACTCGACGACGAGGGGAATCTTGTTGTCTGCCGGGTGAGCCCCTTAATCGAATTCGAAAATCGGTCGCCGTGACGAAATCCATACGGGAGGAGAATCTAGGATGCCCTAGGTTCTCCCATCTTACCTTTTGCTATGTATTTTCTCCCCTTATTGACTCCGGTGACTTGCATATACTGTTATTTCAGCTTTCTAGTAAGAGGAAGGTGACGATTCAGGATTTTAGAGGGAGGACGTTGGTATCAATTAGAGAATTCTACGACAAAGGCGGCAAGGAGCTTCCCTCAAACAAAGGTACGGTCTACCATCTTGTCTCTCTGGTGATCGTCCATTACATGATTTCCTTGGGACTATGAAATCTGTTGAGCATGCCTCTTCTCCTGATATCCAATTCTGCTGTCAGCAGCTCGTGAACTGATTGCAGCCCTGATGCTCCGTGGTTTTTTTCTTGTTCACCGCGATGATTCGTTCTCGGAATGGCTAGTTTAGCTGATATCTTGACTCCGTCTGGTATTTACGGGGAACTGTTCTTTTTATTTTTCCGATCCAACTGAGACAGAGTGGATGCCGCCCAAATCTAGCTTTGAATAGATCTGCTGCTGAGTTCTAAGGGCGTCGATTAGGAAAACATCACAGGGGTAGACGGGTGGAAAACAAAGATTGAGGCGGTTTAATTGGGTTCAGGAATGGGAAAGTGGAGAAATAAAAGGGCATTGAGTATTGATGCGGATGAGAAATTACTTGAAATCTGAGAAAATGAGAGGAAAGATACCCAATCATCGTTCATCAACCCATGAAAATGTGTAATAAATAACCGGGAGATCAATCTAGCAGAGAATGCCGGAAGCAGGCCATTAGACAGGAAGTCGGTAAGTATGTGTCATAATATACCAGAAAAATGGGGAGGAAATGAGGTATACGATGCTGTTTGATCCATGAGAAGCCAATCCTTTATGTACAGGGTAAGCCCATTTGATTCCATGAATTGGTTGTGACCGAATTAGGCGTTGGTTTCTTGCTGATCATGAACGCAAGATCTCTGTTTCTGCCATGGAGACGCTGGCGTTGATCCTCTCTGTCAAAGATAGGCCATAGGTCCTCAATCATCTTGGTTGATCTTTTTTCTTGCTATTTAGGTCATAGTAAAGCTTGATCTAATCGTCGAAATCATATGGTTCTTATTGGATTGTCTGGTGTAAGATTACTGCCAGACGAGCTTAAAGCCGCCTCACCACCCTTTTCCCCAAAAACAGTACCATGTGATCTGAAACCTTGTGAGATTATCAATGCTGGCATTCTGTGCTCTACAGAATCGCACCCATCTGCGAATCTCTAGACCCTAAACTCCGTTTTTTTTCCTGCTTTCAGGGATTAGCTTGACGGTGGACCAGTGGGCATCGTTTAGAGATGCCGTCCCTTCCATAGAGACGGCCATTAAGAAGTTGGAGTCGAGACTGCAATGAACCATGGCCCTGGCCCGCTCGCCAAGCAGCAGTATGAACCCTACGTGACGACGACCTGAAGAGTATCCTTCCGTCTTTTTTTTTTCTTGAGATATTTTGTTGGTGCCCTTATTAGGGAAGAAGGAGATGGGCAGACTTTGAAACCTGTTCGTCGAACGAGGGAGTCTCTTTGATGTCCAATTGATATCTAACTCTACGGTTATTCCGTGAGAAATTAACCCTAGTTAACGTCACTCCTCTCAGAGAGCGAGAGCGAGAGAGAGAGAGAGAACTTGCACTGAGGAACCTGGACTCTGAAGGGAAGACTTACAGAAACATACACTTGCAGAGACAACCTCAGTACATGAACAAGATGAGGCGACGGTGATAGAATCACTACGAGCGCTCCAAGTAGTGGACCACCGGAGACTTGCAGGCGGCGCCGCCGGGCCGGGCCTTCCTGGCCTGCGCCGGCGTGGCCTCCACCGAGCTGGCGAGGGTCCTCATCCTCTCGATGAGAGCCTCCGTTCCCCCTCCTCCGACCGACAGCATGGTCGCCAACGTCTCGGCGCCGATCGCCAGCTTGACCCTCCAGACGCCGTCCATCTGCTGGGGCAGCACCTCCAGATTCCTGGGGCGCTCGCAAGTCGCCGGAGACTCCGTCGCCGCGGACGGCTCCGGCACAGTCTCCCTCATGGAACGAGTTCTCCACGCCGCCCGCGGCCTGTCCAGGGGGAGAAGGTAGTACAGCCGGCCGTTCTGGAGCTGCTCGTGGTGGAGCAGCGGGGAGGACGCGTCGCCGGGGCGGAATATTCCGTGCCTGGGGAAGCCGGCGAGGAAGATCCCCACCTCGACGGGTCCTTGGAGATCTATCACGCCGCCGGTCTCCGTGACGACCCGGACGCGGACGGCGGCGCGGTAGGCTGCGACGGCGGCCGCCCTGTCCGCCGTGCAGCTCAGCGTCGTCCCCTTGACGGTGCAGTTCCCCATCCTCTGATCTGGAGCGGTAAGCACTCGCACGGTAGGCCTGAGATATACCCGTTTTCAAAATGATGAAATCTGGAGGATTCTCATCGATGAACGGGTAGGAGACAAAGCTTGGCAGACCTTTTCGTCTGCTGTTCCTTTCGCTCGCCCCACTCAAAGCTGGAAGCGAGGATCCAGCCGTCTGTTCCAGCTCTCCCCTGTCCATATTAGTGGATGAATCTACAGTACATACTCACCCGTTCACCCGTATGCCGACGCAGGGCCACAGAGAGAGAGAGGGAGAGAGGGAGGGAGAAGGAGGTCTCTAAACTCTCAAAAGCTGAAGAAGTTACGACAGGTTTTCTGAACTGAACTTTGTAGCTTTCCCCAGGCTGGGGACGGGCGGTCCACACCACAGCCAGCGCGGCGGGGGAAGCCACCAAGGAACCTCTGGCGATTACTGCCAGAGGCGTGCGCAGCATGTCCAGGGTCGTCCGCCCGACCATGGCAGGCCTAAGGAGGACGATCCTTGGGAATACCATCCCAGAGGAATCGCGTAACTCTACCCCGTAACATTCCACATGGTAAATTTGGAAGGTGTGATTGGCCATGATTAATCCATTCGAAATATTAAATCTTGAAAATCCTGGATCACAGCCAGAGCTTGTCATCTCCCTCGTCGGCTTTCAGCTCCAGATTGTTATAAAAGTTCTCTAAAATTATGAGCTGCGTGCTATCAGAGTTAAAGTGGAATCATGGCTCCAAAAAATTGATGTCAAATTTTTGACTTATCTTCTCAAACTTTGAAAAAAAAATCATGGATTATAGAAAATTTTATATCGAATGTACAACAAATAATTATAGTCAAGAGACTCAACTCATCATGCTAGGGCGAAGCCCCAGTGTCATGGGATTGGCACAATGAGGTCAGATTTATCAAAGTAGAATCTCATAGCTGACGGACAACTCACATGCAACAAGGCAGACACATGACATGGTTGGCGCGCATGACAAGGGGGGCACACAACACACAACAATGACAACTGACATGATGTGTGTGTGATACGATGTGACATAAGTTATGACTGTTAGTTAGATTTAAGTATTAATATTGCATAACTGATGCCAATAATTAAGAGACCTAGTTACTCATGAAAAAGGTTAGACTCTTAATATAAAGAGTAAGGTAATACAATTGGAGGAGTTGTACTTTGATTCAATACTCTCAGTCAAGAAGTATTAGATTGGTTGGGGTCACAGATGCCAAATGTTGACACGTTTGAAGTATTTAAGTAGACAACCATTTGACAATTGGTATCAGAATTCAGTTTGGTGTCCATATCAATTGTTACTTATTGTGAGTGTAGCATGACAATAGAATGTGTAATCAACACTTTTGATGCGTAGTATAACTATAGAGAGCATAATCAATACAAGACAATCATAATTGCCAATTTTGAGGAGAAGACAACTAATTCTTTTGTGGTCATAAGTACCTTTAAGGTTCAAATTCAGGAGATCAAGACTTGTCATTATTGAAGTTGATTGTTTGTTAGATTAAGCTGATGAAGAAGTTGAAGTTTTTCATTTGTCATTATTGAGTATGATGTGAAAAGGTTGATGAAGTTGCTGAATCTTCATGTATTTATTAATCTTTCAGTTCATAAATCTTATATAATAAATAAACTTTTATCCTACATCAACTTTTTTACTTTATTAAAACTCTAATGTTCTAGATATTGATTTAAAACCTTGTTGTTTTCCATAACACTTGTGGAATCTCCTGAATTTCATGGTCATTTGAATTCAAGTTTGAACTAGAGCTTTGTAACTTGATGAATATTTACATCACATTTAGATCATTAAGTTTATATTTTCTTTTGTCCACCTAAGTATCTCATGTTTCATTGTGAAGATAACCTTTCAATTAAATGACTACATCATCATAAATAATTTATGTAAAAGTATTTCACTTTCATGAATTTGTGTGTCAACTTATATCATATGACCATATACTTAATCTTATGCCTATTGATACTTTTTCATTTGATAATATTTTATCATCAAATATTCTTAACATAGAAAATCAGGTAATCTCAGGAATTAAACTATTAGATTTTAATAATTGGTAAAGATATCATAATCATTTAATCAAAAACTAAATAATAAATTTATGACATAAATTAAGTATTTAAAAACATCTAAGTGACACATATAAATAAGCATCAATATTTGATAATAGTTTATCAATAAATTTTTATTTGTAATCATCAAAATTAAGGATATCACCATGTTCTACTTTTTCCAATCATACTACATTGCTCTTCTTTTTTATAAGAATTTCAATCTAACCTAGATGAAAATTTTGAATTCTAATACTTAAAATGCTTATGAATCTTATTCTTGAATTCTAATATTTTTATGTGAATGCTTTAATCATGTGTTAGTATTAGGGGACTTGCAACCCCAACTAACCTAATACTTCTTGATTATGACTATTATATCAAATAAATTATTCATTTTATTGTAATATATAAGGTACTGTCTACATTAGGCTTGTAACTCTTTTCACAGAAAAGATTAGATTTCTTAATTATATAAATAATGTAATGTTAATATCTTATTAGTAATCACAACTTATGTGACATATGACATTATATCATGTTTCACATGTCAATTGGGTCACATGAACCTATCATGTTGTATGTAGTTTTTCATGTTATATGTTCATGTTATGTCATGTACATTAGTTGTGTCATGTGCAATTGTCATGTCACATATGTTCATTTTATAGTGCCTTATTAAGTTGTATATGACTTCTGATTATTTCACTTTAAAAATTACTTTTTTATGTTAAATATATTACATCATTTGCTTCATCCATATTCTAACAACCTCGTTGAAGGGTAATGTTTGAGATAATAATTGACAATATACTCAAATTACCAAACATTAGTTTCTCACTCTTATGTCATCTTATTTAGTACGATACACTACAGAAAGAAAAATAAGATGTTATGATATGTGTGGCATCGCCTATCATTATCGATCTTCTTACAATTTAAGATAAAATCAAACTTGGCAATTTTATGTACTCAGATTATTGGTGAAACTAGATGTAGATGATTTTACTTTTAATTCCCTATTTATCTAATACAATTTGAGTAGTGATGCAAAGATTCCTAGGTGTAGTGTAAGCCATCGTAGTAACTTAAATAAATATGCCAACTAGTTTACCCTTGAGATGACCTTAGTTGAGTCATCATATCACAACATTAAGCCCACATTAAGCAACTAGTAGTAGACATAACATTAATAAGTCATCTATATCAATACTCTATTTCAAATTAATCTTGATTAAAAAAATTCTTCATCTTATACATCACCCATGTCAACATTAATTGTGATTCTTCTATATACTAAGAATGTGTGAAACGATGGACAATAAATAATATCAGTCCACATTACTTAACTAATTATAATAATATTAAATATTGCTAATTTGTCTTGAGTTTGAATAGTGAATATCTCATTGACAAGTTATGTTGGATGTTGTTAGTAAAGTGATGTCAAACAATTTGACTCACTTCTCTTAGACATATGGTACATAATTAGGTAAATAATTGTTTAACATTCTATTGATGCACTTTGTTAGACCATTGGCTTTTGAATGTAAACTTGTTGAGAAGTTAAATTACATGTTAAGAAGGGTGAAGAGTGTTAACCAACCTTTATAGGTATAACATGTGTCCATATCAAAGATAATATCACTCAAAAAACTTTTCAATTTTACCACATGATATGAAAATTTATGTGATGTGCATCAATTAATGTACTCAAACTTAAATTTATGAACTCTTAAATATGATTAGGTAATATTAGATGAGTATAAATCAAATGATTTGATTTATTTATGTCATAAATAGTAATATTAGAGCAATTAAATTGAGTTATTTAAGAAAAAATACTTATTTTCTAAATAAATGAATTAAATATAGATTAAAATGAGATTTAAAATAAAGAGAAAAGATAAAAATTAAGCCACTAATTCACCAACATGTCAATGATGCTAAGTAAAGTGACAACATCAAGAGATCTCAATCGAAGTAGGTAGATGTCAATGATGTCTATTCTCTTATCTAGATACTTGCACAGAAATGAGTTATGAGCGAGAATATTACAAAGAGGATATATGATAGTAGAAAGAAAAGAGAGAGAAGTGAGAGAGAGGGAGAGGAATACAAACAAATTGGAGAGATAAGAGAGGCCTACTAGAAGAATGAGGAGGAGATGAGTAATAAAAAGATATTGACCAATCAAAGTTGAAAGGAGAGAGTGAATAGGTGACACGTAGCAAGGAGAGAGAGAGAGAGAGAGAGAGAGAGAGAGAGAGAGAGAGAGAGAGAGAGAGAGAGAGAGAGAGAGAGAGAGAGAGAGAGAGATTGTTAGTTAGAATGATATGATCAGTGAAAGGAAGTGAAAAAGAATTTGAAAACAGTTAAAAACAAAAAAAGAAGTTGAGATATAGGTTGAATGAAAGATAGAGAGGAATTTTTTTTAGAGAAAGGCAAAAATTCATTGATGAAAGAGAAAGTTGACAAGAGAAAATGAATAATCAAAGATAAAACAAGGGATCAAAGCATGTAAAAACAATTGAATAAATGTTGGGAATGTGGAAAAAGAAAGAAAGAAGAAAAATGAAGGGAGAGAAAAGGAAGAACGCATTAGAGAGAGAGAAATAAAGACACATTAGAAAATTAAAAAAACTAAAAATATAAATTTTGAAGAAGATGTCAATAATGATTTCATAGTGTGAGAGAAAATGAGAGAGAAGAGAGGGAGCCTTAAAGAGATAGAGAGAGATAGAAATATATACATGTTTATGTAATAAATGATCATGACCATAGAGAGTGATGTGTGACCAGCAGGCCATGAGGACATAGAGACCAAATTACCTCTAGTTTAGAGTTGAAATCTTCTTTCCATCTTGTATATATAAAATTAATTAATTAATTTTTAAAAGT